CAATCAATCGAAGATGCTTTACTCGATGGATTCGCGATCATTTTATCGCAAATCATTCAGCAATTTTAGTAACAATGCTCCGTGAATCGCATTAACAAAATTTTTGCCAATGATCCAGCGATTCTTGTTGCTTAATCCTTCACTGGCAATCTGTAGGAAAGTCACGATAATCAGATAAAAAATATGAGTTTTGGCTCTGGGAGGATTCGAACCCGTGCCAGTTGCTCGCCCTTTCTGAGGAAGGTGACACGGGTTTAGTCCCACATCGGTTGTGCGCTAAAGTTTCTGGCGAATATATAGTAATATTACATTTCTGATTAAGTCCCTTTCTCGCGCGTGTATGACCACTCCTTGCCCCACAGCCGGCTGGCCACTAGTGATGTGGAAGGGGAGTGGCGCACGCATGCCCCTTATCGATTCAAGCCACTTGAGCCCCTGCTCGCAGCTACTCCCCGACTGCACTTTCAACCCGCTTGCAGGCTTGGCTGGTCGGCGGGTCCGCCCCATTTTATTATATTTTTATTTCTTTTTCTTCATTTATCTCAAAAGTAAGACTGTAAAAATCATATAAATTCGTATAAAGTTACATAATTACCCAAAAATTCATGTTAATCAACTGAAAACCACTTTTCACACTTTAACACAAATATAAATCTATTTATCATGAGTTAAGGCTAAAACTATATTATTTACTAATTATTAACTCATGATAATGAAGACTTATCAAATATTATGAGGATTTTAATCTCTATAGTAACAACGAAGGGATGAAAACTCCATCAACTAGATGTGAATAATGATTTCCTATATAAATTTTTACATAAGGACCTATGAATTTTAGAAAAAAATAAGATATGATTTTTAAATTAAATAAATATTTATATAGACTGAAACACTAACTAAGGGCTTGGTTTAGTAAGCTCTTGATTATCATGCTTGAAATGAACTATCACCAAAGTAATGTCAATCATTATCTCTTTTGTAAACATACTAATAATGAAATTTCTATTTTATTAGTTTATGTTAATGACATAATTCTTACTTGAGATGATTTATTAGAAATTAAATTTTAAGTGATAAAGTATCCATGTGCTTTGAGATAAGATGATAAAAAAAATTAAAAAAAATGAAATAAAAATTACTTATTATAGACATGAAATATTTGTATCTCAAATGAAATACATGTTAGATTTACTAAAAGAGACTCATACTAGTGGCTGCAAACTAGCAACTACTCTCATTGATCCTAATGAGAAATTGGGCCAAAGAGAATACAATCCACCTATTAGTAGAGGAAGGTATCAAAGATTAATTAGAAAATTAATAAATCTCTCTCACACTCAACCATATATCACATAAATGGTTGAATTGTTAAGTTAATTTATGCATAGCCCTAGAGAAATCACAATGTTGTAGTAGGTGAATATTTATGTATCTAAATGGTACCCTCAAATATGGACTTCTATTTTAGTCACATGCACAAAAGAAAATTTAATCACTTGGAACAGCAAGAAAGGATCCAACATTGAGAGATGGATTATCATTTCATCAATGTGTAAAGGGCTCCATGGTCCTATAGTGATAAGATTTTGGAAAAATTTACGAATGGAAGATATCCATTCACTAGCTTGAGAGGGAATGTTAGAATGAGAGAGTTATCTTGTTTATTTTTTTATTATATTTTGTACTTCAGGTCCCATGTTTAGTTAAGGTTATCGGGCCAAGTCCATTTATGCCCTTGACTAACCCAATAGCCCTAAGTCATGTACTTAGCAGACCTTGAGCCCTAATTCAAAGATATATAATTTCATTTACTTTTCATTATTCTTGAGTGCTCACAATAGGGGTGGAGAAATCCAACACGTCTACTCCTATGACATACCTCATATGATATAAAAAGTTCTCTTTGAGGGGTCATATGATTAAGATCTGAGTTATATGGTTGAGGGACAAGATGATTGAGTTGTCTCATTCATGAAATCTTCTCCTTGAGTTTTTCAATCTCTCAATCATTAGAAGATATAGGTGATTGCTGGTGGATTGGTGTCAAGTTTACCTCGCCCTTGAAAGGGTCTCCCATGAAGTTTTCTTGCACAACTTTTCACTAAGTGGGTGGAGGGATTATGCTCATGTAGCCTTGACCCACTCGTGATGACTTTCTGTACAACTTCCAACAATATTCTTCTATGTGTTATCTTTTTATAGAAAGAGCATCAAAAGTTGGTGTTGGGGTCAACCTCTTACTTAGAGTTTTGACTTAGTTTTCTTTTGCTAGAAATGGAAGAGTCAACTGCATTTTTTGAATCTCAACTTTGACTAGGGTTCAACATTCACTCTTTCATTGTGAGGGCTGAGTTATTTGGGGGCTGATTTTCAATCACCATATTCGTATGGTTTTCCTCTCACTTGATTATAGTCATTATCTCTTCAAAATAAAGTACTTTCTCTCAATTTAAGAATTGACTTGCAAGCTTTTCATATTTGGTATTTAGTCCATATAAGAACTTTAGAGTGTGTCTTTTAATGTATAACTCCATTCTTATGAATCAAGGTTCTTCATTGATCTATAATGATCTATTTCCATCCATGTGGTTTCTTTCTAGCATAGTCTATGACACTTCGATTCCCTTGAAAGAGTGTCATCAAGTTTGTAATCAGTGGAGAGACTTCAGATTCATTGTTTCTCTTAGTGTGCAGTTAATGTACTTTGTCTTATATTTCTCTAATAGAAGATATGCAAAGGAAATATGATCAATAATTCCTAGATCCATATTATTTAACAACCATACCTTGATGATTACATCCACCTCTCACCATCGATTGTGTCAAGGGCTGGATGTTGGGCATGAATTTGCATTGGATGTTGGTTATGAATTTGCATTAAACAAGTGCTTTATTTTCTTTTGACTGAGTAAGATCATCGTGACATACTCCCCTTGTAATAAGTTTATTCCATTTAACCTATATTTTTCTAGGATTCTAAAGAGTTCAAATCACCTCGAGTATTCTTCTATTGCATTGACCTGCACTAGGGATAGTACAAGGGTCTTTCCATTCCTTAAAAGTTCTTCATTTGAATAAACACAGGCCTGCGAATCTAAGAAAGAACATGCTGGAAAAAGAAACCAATTATCATGAGTATTACTCTGTGAGCTCAACTAGTGCTCTAATACCATGTAAGACATTGTCAGTGAGCTCAACTAGAGATTTCAATAGGATAGAAGAAGAGAGTTTAAAATGAGGTCAACTAGTGCTCTAATACCATGGAAAGATATCATTTGTGAGCTCAATCTGCCTAAGGTTGGAAGTTGAAGACAAAGGTTGAAAGAGGAAAGAAAAATTGATTGATTCATTAAGGCACATCCTCTTAAGTACAATGACATCCGTTATCAAGTCAGTTACAAGGCATGTGACCCAACCTGATAACAATAACCATACTAACATAATAAGAAAAACATCTATGGTACTGTTATAATACAATATGTAGAAAATTCATCTTATAACAGAATTCATTGGATTGTGGACTTCAAGAGAGAATTGATTGGTTCACTAATAGAAAAGAAGAAACTTCATCATAGAGACATGAAATGATACTGGGTACCTAATTCATAATTCTTTAGAATGAAATATGATCCACAGTCTACTAAGTAATTTGTGTAGTTGGATTTCTCATTACATGAGCAAAGCAATTGATTGAGACACTAGGAGAAAGTTGTGATGTTCAAGTGAAAAACTAGTGAAACAAGGAGAAAGCATTGTGTATTTGCATCTAATGTTCGAGACCAGCTTCTGTTCATATTAAAATCGATGGTGCTAATAATCCATTTATAAGGGGTTAATTTTGAAATACTGTCATTATTAATCATGAAATTAAAGGGGGGCTGTATTAAATTTTCATTACTTTGCACTATGATTTAAGAAAAAAAATGAAGAACTTCAAAAGTCAGCAGCGTTTGTTTTCCTTTAAAATAAAAGAAGGATGCCCACTATGGATTTTATATGGTGACGATCTGATACAGCTTCGCTAAAAGTGAGAAAATCTGATTTAACCGAGTCATCCAACTTACAAGGAACCTAATAAAGTTGGAATAGCTGTAGTTATCTGTGCAATTATCCATCTTCAGCTCTGGTAGACAGATCCCAATCCCATCTTTCTCCGATCTCACAGCACACCTTTACGATGCATTGGGTAAACTAAAAGCCTGATCAGGACAGGGTAAATCTCACATCATGTTATATGTATTAACGGGCTGAGGATGCTCGGCCCGGTACCATATGGCTTGGGCTTCTCAAATCAGGCCTGGCCCGAAAAAGTTCCTTCCATCTGGTCGAGTGTAGGTAAGGTTCAGTCCGGAACACCATGAGCATGTAACGGTTCTGCCACCGCATTTTCACATCTCTCAAAAAAATCATGATAGAGAGGAGAGAGAGCGAGAGAGAAAGAGACAATGAGAGAGAGAGAGAGAGAGACAGACAGACAGACAGACAGAGAGACAGAGAGAGGCTAGCATTATTAAAGGTAAACATGTCTCAACAATTGATGGCCATAATTCGTTGAAGAAACTCTAGACTGGTCAACGGAGAGCTCCTGCCCTGCGTTAACACGAGATTTTGGGATCTACTCCCTATAAACAACCGGAGGAACTTTTTTATTATCGAGGAGATTAAAACCGGCTGGCCCATTAAATTGGGAACCGATCCCCATCTCGCTCTAATTTTGCCTGATTTCAGGTCAAATTAGAAAAAAAATCAAGGCTCTTCACGACAAAACAAGGAAAAAGAAACCCCATTTTCACCGGAAATTGAGGCTTTACAAGCTTACAAATAACGGCTCCAAGGTCAACGGACCCGGAACATCTTGACAACCGGGAAGAACGGACAAGCAAACGGAGGAAAGATCAAAGCAACAAGTTCAGAAAAAAAGTTGAGAAGTGATCACGAGTTGCAGAAAATGGATATATATACATATAGATAGAGGTTTGCGGCCGCAGGGGAACTCTTCAGATGAGGAAGAGGCATACCACGGTGGTCGCCAGGAGCACAACGGCGGCGGAGGAGGCGGTGGCGGCGGGGGCCGCCGATGGACCCGCCGGGGCCAATGCAGGAGGTACGGAGGAGGGACGGATCGGGCCCGAAGGCAGCGGCGGCTCGACAACGTCACTGTCGGCCAGGGGCGGCGGCGACGGCGGCAGCGCCGGCAGTCTGGACATATTCACCAACTCGCCAGGCGTGACGGGCTTCCAATAAGGCGGAGTGCTGTTACCCCCCGAACAAGGGCTCCCTGCGAAAATTTCAAAGAATCAGCTCCTAATCTTCCTACGGGCGGCACAGCAAGTGAAGATCGAGAACAGAAGAACCCTTACTTCTGAAGGCCTCCGCCGTCGCCGGAAACTCGGTGATCAGGCCCTCCACGCCCGCCCCCTTCACGAACAGGCTGATGTCCGCGATCGGGTCGTTGTACACGTCCCACGACACCGACACGAACTCGTTCTGGAACAGGTAGGCGAAGACCGGGAGCTTCTCTGCCTTGAACTTTTCCACCACCCTGGTTTTGTTCAACAGGTACTTTACGTTGTCCGGGTATATCGACTTCTTCGATACGGCCACGAAGGAGGCGAACCCAGCGATATCCTTGACCGCCGACGCGTCGACGTCGAGAATGAGCTCCTCGATCTTGTACATGAGCTTGTAGGAGGAGTTCAGCTGCTGCACCTTCTTCAGAACAGAGCTGTACGTCGACTGGATGATGACCTCCTGCTTCAGGTCCGACGCGTTCAACGCTTTCAGGACCTCGTCGGTTACGCCGAAGCCAAGATTCTCCAGCAGAAAAGGAGCGTCCTGCAGCAGAAGGACGAGGACCAGTCCGATGGTGAAGAACATGAACATAAAAACGTGGGAACAAGGGTCAAAGTTCTCGGGGCGTTGTGACCCCGATGTGATGACGAAACCCGTTTTGCGAAATCTGAGCCGGACGTGAAATTAACATGAATATAGTTCCTCATTTTTATGGGTTCTAAACTGACGCAATGACATGTATTTTTACATGAAATATCCAGGAATCCATGCCAAAATGTGGGTGCATATAACCTTGAAGAAGAGAGCGTAGACCTTAATGCCAGAAACACCAGGCTCATTCAATGCCAGAAACACTACTGCTGTTAAAAAGAAGTAGGGAGTTGTCATTTAGCAGTAGTCTGGTAAAGGCGAAAGTTCTACTCGGCTACTGCGTGTTTGTGAGACGACGTGAAATGCAGGGTGACCTACCTCTATGCTGATCAAGACTCCAGAACGAGGAGGGTTTTCCTTGGCAAGGGCCAAGAACTCGGTGAGGTTCAGGAAGGCTCCTGCGTTCCTCTTCGAAGGGTTCCGCAGCAGTTCATAATCTCTTAAATACGGGGTCGATATTTCAGCTGCAGAGAGGAGAGAGAGAAGGATCCGTAAGTAAATATCCGCGCTTCAGAGAATTCAAGAAACGATGCTGGTACTTAATGCGCTCATTGGTAGCATGAGGACGTTGACTTACGCTTTAGATTTGTCCGAATCTCTTCCCACGTAAAGTTGAAGGTGTATGCCCCTGGAGTACTCTTGATCCCCGGGATTGTAGAAATACGGGTACGGAAGGAAGAATTTGAGATTGTGGTGCCCGAGAAGAGATCTATATCAGGCAGGCAGACCAAAACTCCATCTTCGGTGACTTGGACAGGGCAGTCGATGTAGTCTGCACCATCCTCCACAGCCTTCTTGTATGCCAAATCAGTGCAGGACGGGAACATTCCCCCAGCTCCCCCGTAGGAAATCACGACGGGTTTTCCTGAAGCAGAAATGGAGTTTAGAACATGTAATGAATTCCAAAGGCCAGTATGATGATAAAAGACTAGGAACGAAGTGTTACCAGATGAAGGCGCGGAGCTGTTAATGTGAGACAGGCAACCTGCACGAGCAAGGAGAAATGCCAGTAAACATCGCGGATGCAGATCAATAAATTTGAAGGGGTCAACTGCAAGTCATCTTAATGAAAAGTGCGCTTGTTGTTAGTTTGAAGACCGGAGAGGAAACTGATGTTCGATAAAATAAAAACTGGTATTATGCTTGTATGGGTAGGCTGGGTCAATGAGAAACTGCATTGAGACTGTGGAATTGCGAACTGCGCATGAAAGAACCCAAGAATCAGGAGGGAGACGATCCATGTCAAGATGAGCAGATGGACATATCTGCCGGTTATTCTTGACTGAAAGAGTAAACAAGACAGGGGTATGTCACAGCTGATGACTACAAGTGTGAAACTGAAAATATGAGATGGTCTAAAAAATTCTGATTTGACCTGAAATCTCGGTGTTTTTGAGCTAAACTAGGGAATTGATAAAAAAAATCTTCATCGTTGTCGCTATTATTTTCTTCTATTTTAATGGATTATCACATTTGTATTGAATTCTAAATTGCCTAAATATCATCCGAAAACGAATGATAGAATCCAATCAGGTTTGTGTGGTCTCCCAATCCATTCCAATGACTTCTTAGAAAATGAAGGACTGAAAAGTCTTATCTTGTCTGAGAAGGTTGGGTGAGTTCACAGCTGGTTTCCACATGGGATTAACAGTCTAATCCTTCTTTGTTCCTAAACTGGATGATGCTTGCCTGGATTTTACTCTTTATCAAACTGACATAGATTGGGTTTCATAACTTGTCAGAAATCGTTTTGAGAGGCAAAGCTTTAACAGTCATTGGGGGGAGGCATCATCCATAACTATTTGAAAGACATGGAACCAAACAGGTAATCAAACAGCATACCTATCGCCGCAGATGCAGTGAGCGGGGAGTCCGTCAGAACGCCGTCGACTGAGAAATTACCATTGTCCACGAAATTCAGATATTCCTTCAATGGATCAAAACTGTAGTCATAGGCGAAGTCAAAGTCGTTTGCAAAGCCTGCTGCAAAGACTTTCAACCCGGCCTTGCGAGCATCCTGCACAACAGATGTGCTAGCAGATGCCAGTTTAAGATCTTTATTCACAGGCCAAATGTAATTCTTGGGCACCATAATTCCGGATGCAAACGTGCTGATAAAGGTCAAATTTTTCAACAAGGACCCGTAGGTTAGCCTTGTCGATGGCTCCACCTCGCCTGATTCAAGGAAACGAAAGACAGCCTGCGAGTTGGAGTCATTCAACCGTGGAGCTACTCGTCTCAGGAAAAACAGCTCCGGCGATGACACGTAGTCAACAGCGAAGGTCCTCGTAATATTGAGCAAATAGCTCGTCATGTTGAGCTTATGATCTGTGTAGAACTTATCGTGCTGCAAGATACGACGGGGAACCTCAATGCCACAGGGAATGGAAAGCGTTCAACAAGAAGAGTTTACTGAAATCTCAGATTCACATACGAAGAGCAGGGGAGAAGATATCTATTGTTTCAGACTATATGTAATTTTCATTGTGATATAAACATATGGTAAAAATTCGATTGATTTTTCCATCTCTCATACCTGAATATTTAACCAAAGACGCGGCACTTGTGGTAGTCCCTGCAAGTCGTCCACAGTGAGGATAGGATAGAATCCATCAAATTTGTCACTTCGAGAGAGAATCGATCGGTTCACTGCTCAGGAAGGAAGAAACTTCGTCAGAGAGACATCCAGTGGCGTTCCACACCTAATCTAACGAATGAACTGCGATAAAAACTCTACTGAATAAGATCCGTATGCGGAATTCTCATTACAGGAGCAAATCAATGGATTGGGAAACAAGGATAAAGACTGTGATGTTAAAATGAAAACCTCCCCCCCATACTATACAAATTTAGAAACTGGGCTGAGAATGAAAACCAGCATAGTGTATTGCGTGCAATTTTCAAGATCAGCCTCTATTTGTATTAAAATCCTCTCATTGATGACGCTAATAATCAATTGACCACGGGTTATTACTGTATACAAGAACACATCAACAAAAGAAGTGATATTGGCGACAAACAAGACCCAAACGGCACAAGAGTCAATCCGGTGCTAAGTCACTGCAAGTTAGAAAAATTGCTTTAACAGAGTCATCTGACTTACAAGAAACCGCAGCTAAGTCGCCAAAGTTGTAGTCGATAGAGAACCATCCTCTCTGAAGCACACCATTCACCGTGTAGTTCTTCTCATCACCAGGGTAAATATCGTAGATATTCGTGCAGTTATCCATCAAGATTTCTGGGAGACAGATCCCAAATCGATCTTTCGTCAATCTCACATCACACCACAACGATGCATTGGGTAAACTAAAGGCCTGAGCAGTCCCGTATGCCGGTGGACTGGAATCGGGATATAACCCCGAATGGCCTCCTTTGGCTATCACTAACGGCTCCTTACCTGCATTGCAGCATAGATAATATGAATTGTAATATTTCACATAAACATCCTATCCAAAATGACCGCAGGAACAAAAATGGATTTTCGAAATCTTTAAGTTTTCCGAAGAAAGAAACCTTACCCTGATAAGATAACGATAAGATAAGAATCTGGGAGCAGAGTTCCAAGACATCATGAACTGGATAATTGCTTACTTCATCTGGGGTCTGCAACTAGTTGGGGTGAAAAAATTCTCCATTTGTCTTTTTCTTTTTCTTTAATTCAAGGTTTTCTTTTTCTTTAATTCAAGGTTTTCTTTTCCTCTGCTCAACCATAACCGACTCTAGGTCATGATGTGCTTACTATATCTGTGGTTACTTCATATGTAGTCTGCAACTAATTCTGAAGCTAGGGATCCAGAAAAAATGTGGTCACATGCAGAAACTATACCGACACAAGTGCCTTCGCAAGATGTGTAATTAATAGGAAAGACATCAGAGTAATGAGTATGTTGAGCCATATAATGGCAACGTAGTTAAAACCGGTGAATCAGGTGATCGACATACACTCATGGGTCAGCTACTGGAAAAGATAGGAAGATCATAAATGCTATTTCGCGTCCCCCCGATGTGAAGAAATTGACTTTAACTTTGCGATACAGGTGATATCCCGTTGACCAGAAGAAATATCCATCAGCAGCAAAATCGACAATTTGTTTCAAATCTAAGACGATTCAGATGGCAGTGTAAAACCACATTAAGTGTACCTATTTATTTTTCTACACGAATATGTATGATAATTCCATTTAAGAAACTTTTTCTTATCCTGTTTTCATTCTGATCCTCTAGGAATATATATGCATTCGTCGTGCCTCGGAGGCGGCAAGGGGCTATGAATATCGAAGTTCACCTGTATATGACCTAAGTCATATGCACCACAATGGACAATACAGCGCCAAACAGCCAGAGGTGCTAGGGTCCAGAGGCGACATCAAGTAGATAAAACGAAAAGGCGCTTCCTATGACCACATCCCGCCACACACACGATTCTAAAACAACAAACATCTACAGATGCACGTCTATTTACGTAATCGACTAAGGAAGGCAGAGAGATGAACTCCATGACCGCCGGACCTTCCAACATAAACCAGAAAGACTCAAGCCGCAGAGCATAGCAGTTCGAACCGCTGAACACAAGGACAGGCGACCACAGGGAGAAAATTGAAGAGAGTACCGTCCAAGGTCAGCCACTTCTGCGCGGCCCCTGGGGTCGAATGTTGGATCAGAAGAACGAGAGCGAGAAACAGAAGATGGGGATCCCATCCCCGGCCTCGCATTGCTCCAAGAATTCAGCAGACCACACGAGAGCGAGAGAGAGAGAGAGAGAGAGAGAGAGAGAGAGAGATGATATCGCAAAGAATTTCCCGGAGGCAACGAGGAATCAATCGTCTGCAATTGCATACGGACGAAATAAGAGACAGAGCAGGCGGCGGCAGCCGCCTTCCACCGGTTCCTTGGCCCTCTTCCCCGTGCGACTTCTTACCACCATCCTCAGAAGTCTTCCTGTGTCTTTAACGGCGTAGGTGGCAATCAGCCTCCGTTCATCCTTTTCCCGGCGGCGCAAGCCGCTGACTTAACTTTCGTCCTTTTTGTCGATTAAACCCATTTCATTTCGCCTATCAGCCATATACCACATGAAAATAATAATTTACAAACCACTCTCCCTCTCCTCTCTCTCTCTCTCTCTCTCTCTCTCTCTCTCTCTACATTCGAACCACATAATGGCACGGACTGAGGTCAAAGAAAGAAAGCTAACTTTGGGAAATATTTTTGCTTTAGGCTACGAAACATAAAAAATTGTGTTCCTCTAGATTGGCCTGCGCCTAATCTAGAGAGAGAAGCTAACAGGGGTAGGAAGAAAGTTGAGAGAGAGAAAGAGAGAGATAGTGGCATGTGGGCATTCTAGATAGGGGCATTAGTGTTAGGGAATCATCCTCTCACAATAGTTCATGTTTTTCCTATGTGCCCCGGAAAAAGTAGTTAGGGGGAATTTTATTGAAATACGAGGCTTTTCTGTAAGTGTCTGATGTTGAGGGGTTCGTTGCAGTCCAAAAAGGATGAATCCTTGATGAAGTAAAAAAACCCGGACGGCCTCTGAATCGGATTTTGACCGACCGCGTTTCATCTGGTCAGACTGACCACATCCGGATGGGCCCACTCCGGGCGCGTACCTACCTACCACAACGAGTTTATCCATATTTTTAAATGATCATGACGACAACAATATATTATAAAAGCAACACACTTTGGAAAAATATATGTTTTAATCGTTATAAGTAGTAAAGTAATAAAAACGTCTCAAAACGTAGGCTTGAAGAGCTTTCAAGCCGTTGACTCGTGTTTTGGGTTGACCAAAGTATACGTGGTCCATGGAAATTTATTTGGATTTTTACTCGGAGCTACGAAGACATCGACTTACTGTCACATCATAATTATTCAGAAAATATTATCATAAATCTTGATCTCTCAAAATAAATGCAACATTGTTTTGTAAAAGAGGTTGGTGATTATGTTCTTAGCTTTTTTGTCCCCTTCATTAACCTGTGAATATAAGAAAATATATCGAAATCGTTTGGAGACGCAAAAATTATTTAAAATTTATTTTCCCAATCGATAAAAATATGAGCTCACGAGGTCATATTATAATGACAAGTATTAATACTAAATATAAAAATTATTGGTCCTCACATGATCGGGAACCTGTTCGTGTCTCCGCGTGAGGTTCTGAATTGGTCATACGCTTACGTTGACGATAACAGCGACTGATTGTCCAGCCTGTCGTCAATGATCAAATCATTCATACGGGCGAATGTCATGACCCAATCTACCTCATGTTATACATATTAACGGGCTGGGGATGCCGGGCCCGGACCATATGGGCTTGAGCTTCTCAAATCAGGCCCGCCCCAAAAAGTTCCTTCCAACTGGTCTAGTGTGGGCAAGGTCCAGTCAGGAAACGCCATTTTCACCGGAAATTGAGGCTTTACAAGCTTATAAATAACGGCTCCAAGGTCAACGGACCCGGAATATCTTGACAACCGGGAAGAACGGACAAGCAAACGGAGGAAAGATCAAAGCAACAAGTTCAGAAAAAAAGAAGTGATCACGAGTTGCAGAAAATGGATATATATACATATAGATAGAGGTTTGCGGCCGCAGGGGAACTCTTCAGATGAGGAAGAGGCATACCACGGTGGTCGCCAGGAGCACAACGGCGGCGGAGGAGGGGTGGCGGCGAGGGCCGCCGATGGACCCGCCGGGGCCAATGCAGGAGGTACGGAGGAGGGACGGATCGGGCCCGAAGGCAGCGGCGGCTCGACAACGTCACTGTCGGCCAGGGGGGGCGGCGACGGCGGCAGCGCCGGCAGTCTGGACATAATCACCAACTCGCCAGGCGTGACGGGCTTCCAATAAGGCAGAGTGCTGTTACCCCGCGAACAAGGGCTCCCTGCGAGAATTTCAAATCCCTCAAAGAGTGAGAATCAGCTCCTAATCTTCCTACGGGCGGCACAGCAAGTGAAGATCGAGAACAGAAGAACCCTTACTTCTGAAGGCCTCCGCCGTCGCCGGAAACTCGGTTATCAGGCCATCGACTCTCGCCCCCTTGACGAACAGGTTGATATCCGCAATCGGGTCGTTGTACACGTCCCACGACACCGACACGAACTCGTTCTGAAACAGGTAGGCGAAGACCAGGAGCTTCTCTGCCTTGAACTTTTCCACCACCCTGGTTTTGTTCAACAGGTACTTTATGTTGTCCGGGTATGCCCCTGGAGTACTCTTGATCGCCGGGATTGTAGAAATCCGGGTACGGAAGGAAGAATTTGAGATTGTGGTGCCCGAGAAGATATCTATATCAGGCAGGCAGACCAAAACTCCATCTTTGGTGACTTGGACAGGGCAGTCGATGTAGTCTGCACCATCCTCCACAGCCTTCTTGTATGCCAAATCAGTGCAGGACGGGAACATTCCCCCAGCCCCGCCGTACGAAATCACGACGGGGTTTCCTGAGGCAGCAATGGAGTTTAGAACAGCCGGTGGCTGGTGTATTATGTTAAGAATCCCTAAAGATTCTGAAGAGCTTCTGTGGTTTCCATGAGAGAGGCAACCTGCAGGACCACGGAGAAAGGCTAATGAACATAAGAACTAGGAAAAGATAATAATGCTACGTAAGCCCAAGGTAACAATGATCAGGGTCAAATGAAGGAAGAATGCAATTTGGACTGATGTTTCTGAACTAAACCTGGGAATTGAAAAAAAAAAAAAGTTCACAACCTTATTCCTGCTTTTCTGAATTGAACTGATTTCTAAATTGCCTAAATATTATCCGAAAACGAATGATAGGATCCAATCAGGCCTGTGTGTTGTTCGAATACATTCCAATGACTTCTTAGAAAATGAAGGACTGAAAAGTTTTATCTTGTCTGAGAAGGTTGGGTGAGTTCACAGCTGGTTTCCACATGGGATTAACAGCCTAATCCTGCTTTGTTCCTAAACTGGATGATGCTTGCCTGGGTTTTACTCTTTATCAAACTGACATAGATTGGGTTTCATAACTTGTCAGAAATCTTTTTGAGAGGCAAAGCTTTAACAGTCATTGGGGGGAGGCATCATCCATAACTATCTGAAAGACATGGAACCAAACAGGTAATCAAACAGCATACCTATCGCCGCAGATGCAGTGAGCGGGGAGTCCGTCAGAACGCCGTCGACTGAGAAATTACCATTGTCCACGAAATTCAGATATTCCTTCAATGGATCAAAACTGTAGTCATAGGCGAAGTCAAAGTCGTTTGCAAAGCCTGCTGCAAAAACTTTCAACCCGGCCTTGCGAGCATCCTGCACAACAGATGTGCTAGCAGATGCCAGTTTAAGATCTTTATTCACAGGCCAAATGTAATTCTTGGGCACCATAATTCCGGATGCAAACGTGCTGATAAAGGTCAAATTGTTCAACAAGGATCCGTAGGTTAGCCTGTCGATGGCTCCAGCTCGCCTGATTCAAGGAAACGAAAGACAGCCTGCGTGTTGGAGTCATTCAACCGTGGAGCTACTCGTCTCAGGAAAGACAGCTCCGGCGATGACACGTACCCAACAGCGAAGGTCCTCGTAATATTGAGCAGATAGCTCGTCATGTTGAGCTTATGATCTGTGTAGAACTTATCATGCTGCAAGATACGACGGGGTTCTTCAATACTACGGCAAATAGAAAGCATTCAACAAGAAGAGTGTACTGCAGTCTCAGATTCCCGAACGAAGAGCAGGGGAGGGACATGACGAATATAAAGATGGCAATGCTAAAGAATTAAATTGATTTTTCGCACTCTCATACCTGAATATTTAACCACAGACGCAGCTTTTTTAGTTGCTGCAAGTCGTCCACAGTGAGGATTTGATAGAATCCATCAAATTTGTCACTTCGAGAGAGAATCGATCGGTTCACTGGTCAGGAAGGAAGAAACATCGTCAGAGAGACGTGCAATGGCATTTGGGCACCTAATTCATAATTCTTCAGATGAATTGGGATCCAAAATCTACAGAGTAACTTGCGTAGGTGGATTTCTTATTACAAGAGCAAAGCAATTGATTGCGAAACAAGGAGAAAGGCGGTGATGTTCGACTGAAAAAGGATTAAAACAAGGAGAAGCAAGGAGAAAGCATTGTATTGTGTATTTGCATCCGTTTTCGAGACCGGCCTCTATTCGTATTAACTACTTGGATTAGTTCTTCATTACTTTGCATTATGAACCACGAAAAGAAATGAAGAACTTCGAAACTCAGTGGTGTTTGTTTTCTTTTCCAAGAAAAAAAAGGACCTTCACTATGGGATTTGTGCGGTGTGGACCTATTACGACTTCACCGAAAGTCAGAAAAATTGATTCAACAGAGTCATCTCACTTACAAGTAACCTTGTCTAAGTCGCCCAAGCTGTAGTCGACAGAGAACCATCCTCTCTGAGGCACACCATTCACCGTGTAGTTCTTAGCACCATTAGGGTACCAATTAGAGATATCCGTGCAGTTGTGCATATTGAGCTCAGGGAGACAGATCCCAATCCCATCTTTCGTCAATCGCACATCACACCACAACGATGCACTGGGTAAACTTTTCTCCTGCGCATTCCCGTATCCCTGTGAACTGGAGTCGGGATATAACCCGGAATGGCCTCCTTTGGCTATCACTAACGGCTCCTTACCTGCATTGCATTGCAGCATAGAGAACGTGAATTATAATATTTCACAAAAACACACCATAAAAGATGACCGCAGAATAGACATGAATTTTAGATCTTTCAAATTTGAAGAAAAGAATCTTAGCCTGATAAGATAAAGATAAGATTAGAATGTGGGAGCGGAGCTCCAAGACATCATGAAAGTTTGGATCGCAAGTCTCCCTGGTAATGTGCCATCTGGATTAGCATCTGAGGTAATTCTTTACTTCATACGGAGTTTGCAACTAGTTGGGGTAAAATCATTCTCTCCTTTTTTATATTTTTATTTAATTCAAAGTTTTCTTTTCCCCTGCTCAATCACGATCGACTCAAGGTGTTTAATTATGCATCTAGAGATCCATAAAAAATGTGGTCAAATGAACAAACTATACCCACAAAAGTGCGTTCGCTAGATGGACGATTAGTACGGAAGATGGCAGAGAATATAAGTATGTTGGGCCATTCAAAGCCAACGTAACTAAAACCATTAAATCAGGTTATCGACATGAATTTTAGGGATAAACACTGGAAAACGTCCGAAGATCAGAAGTGTTCTTTGGTATCTCCCCGATGTGAAGAATGCCATTTGATCTTGAGATTAAGCTGATATCCCGTTGACCAGAAGAAACATCCATCAGGAACCACGTGGATCAATTTCTTTCCAAATATAAGAAGATTCAGAGGCCCGAAGAATAATTTTCCGATCCCCTAGGAGCAGGATATTCGTTCGTCGCCCCTCAGAAGCGGCAAGGGGCCACGAATTTCGAATTTCATGTGTATATGGGCTAATTCTCCAAGGATGTCTGCACAACAGGGACAATACAGCGCCAGACAACCAGAGGTGCTCAGGTTCCAGATGCGACATCAAGCAGATAAAGCGAAAAGGCGCTTCCTATGACCACATTCCGCCTCATACACGACTCGGAAACAACAAAACATCTACAAAGTTATGCACGATCTATTTACACAATCGAGAAACTAAGACAGAGAGACGAACTCCATGACCGCCGGACCTTCCAAACTTTTCCCATTCAAAATCATAAACCAGAAAGGCTCAAGCCGTAGAGCGCAGCGGTTGGAACCACTGCACACAAAGGAAAGACGGCCACAGGGAGAAAACTGAAGAGAGTACCGTCAAAGGTCAGCCACTTCTGGGCGGCTCCTGGAGTCGAGTGCTGGATGAGAAGAAGGAGAGCGAGAAACAGAAGACGGGAGCCCCATCCCTCCCCTTGCATTGCTCTCGGAATTCACCAAACCACAAGAGAGCAAGATAGACAGAAGGATAGAGCGAGAGAGACAGAGCTAAAGGATCTCACAAGGAATTTCCCGGGAGTAAAGAGGAATCAACTCTCTGCAATCGCACTTGGAGGACATGAGAGACACAGCAGGCCGCGGCTTCCCACCACCATCCTCAGCAGTCCAACGCAATCAGCCTACGTTGACCATTTTTCCAGCGGCGCAACACCGGTGACTCACTTTCATGCCGGGTTGTTACAAATAAACCCATTCACTTCTTGCATTTTCGCTGTAAAACCCTTAAACATAACCGCTTATCAAGGTACTCTCCATCTCTCAATCTTTCTTTCCTTCGATCCCCATAAGGGCATGGGATGAGGTCAAAGAAATAAAGGAAAACTTTGGAAAAATATTATTTCTTTATCCATGAAACCTGAAAAAAGAGCTTCTCTGTGGTTATCAAGAGGTAGTCATTTTTTTAATCTAGAGAGAGAAGCCAAGATGGGGAAGAGTAAAATTAAGAGAGAGAGAGAGAGAGAGAGAGAGAAATGAGGGCATTCTACCATGAGGGAACGTAGTCAGGAGCAGTTTTAAAGAGTTCAGGGCCTTTTTGCAAGTATCTGATATTGAGGGGTTCGTTGCTGCCCATAAAGGCTGAGAGATTGACGAACTAAAAAGGAAAAACTGACAGCCTCCGACCGGGTTCGACGGTCCGCCCGACGACTCTGTGTCCCACTCCGAGTGCGGACCTAGGTGCGGCAAAAGGTTTATACATATTTTTAAATAATAAAATAATATTATAAAATCAGCAGCTTGTAAAAACTAATTTTCTAATCTTAAGACTTAGAAAAGTAACAAAAACGAGCCAGAATTTACTCCTAAATAACTCTTCAACGAGTTGACTAGAGTCTTGGGTTGACAAAAGTCAAATCAGTGATATCTCCGTGGGTACGAAGACGTGGATTCTGTCTCATAAACTAGAGTCTTGTGATATATCTTGATATCTCGAAGTAAATGCGACATTTACTTGCAAATTACGTCTCATAGATTTGAGCTTTCTGGACCCGTCATTAATCGATGAATCTAAAAATAAATTCGATTCAACTGGCGAAGCTTCATTAAAGTTTGTGTTCCCATAAACGAAAATATGACCCCACGAGATCATATAATTATGACGAAATATCAATATTAAATATAACAATCCTGGCTCGCACTTGACAGGTGACTCAGTCGTGGCTCCGTGTGGGTTTCTGCGGTGGTCCCAGGCTCGCGGCGACGATAACTGGGTTCGACTCGTTCTCAAACGTCAAATCATTCACCTGGGTTAACATCATGGCCCAAGCGGTCCCCACCATGTAAGCATATCCACGAGCTGGAGAAGCCCGGCCTGGTACCATCTGGGCTCGGGCTTTCCACTCCATCTTATACTGCGGCCGCTTTCCACATCACTTAAAAAATATCATTAGTTTTGCAAATTTTACTGAGAAAATGGCCAAAATAAAAATGACTTAGAGAGACTCAAATGCCTGATAGAACCTTCCACGTAGTAATTTGTGTTTGCACTAAATAGTGTTTACATAACTAATCCATTAATTAATTAATTAATAGATTTTGATCATAATATTAGCCACAAATGCACAAGAACAGTTGGCAAGTGAAGATGGTGGTGGTTCATCTGTCCGAATGAAAAAGGGACGATAAAAAATAATTTCTATAACTATATAAATAATAACTAATTATGATATTTGACCTTGTTAAAGCAGAAAATCATGAATAAGGTAATTTGTGCTCAAATATTATCAATATCCCTAATCTCACCGCCGCCTCTTCCTCGAATTCCTAGTTGCTGCCCAACACTCTATTTTTTAAATTTCATATTTTCATAAAATAGTCTATAGGTAAAGTATTTTTATGAAATAAAATGGTTGTTGATAACTAAATATATTTTTCACTACCTTCTATGATGCAGTGCAAGGGTCCAACTCGAATATAGTGGGGTCTCTTTATTTTACTTGCTTATTTCACATGTAAGGCCTATATAAGGCCTGTCTCTCCGCCCTAGAGACAACAGACCACTAAAATTTGAAGAAGAGATTTACCTTCGTGAGGCTCCGTCGCCTGCTTCTGGTCGTGAAGAACCCCAACGCCCCAATTGGGTTGGTCGTGAGGACCCCGTCGCCCTCGTGCTACCAGTCGGAGCTCTATCGCCACCGTCCGTCGTCAGTGCCGCTAGAATTGCCGCCGTCCGACGCCCCCGCCACCTGTATCATCGCCGGCTGCTATCAAACCTTCGCCCACCACCACCATCTGAGCGGTTAGGGCTTAAATCTCGGGAGCCGCAGTTAGGCCCATCTTTGCTACCAGCCCACTACTTGGGTCCATTCTATCATAGCCCCCGAGTTCTTACCGTCGGACCTGAGCTGTAACCCGGTGAACTGCCAGCCCTCCGATCTATCCACTGACCTGGTCAATGGTCAACAGTCAACAGCCACCATATAGGTCAATAGTCAACAATATTCTGATAAGACCAAATTAGATTTATGGTTTTCGATTTTTCTTCCTTCTTCTAGTGAATAGTAGAAAGCTTGGAAGCACTCGGCAATTGTCTTAGAGAGAGAGAAACAGATAATGTCAAGGGTAAACTTGACATTTACGTGTTGTAATAAATGATGGCCATAATTCGTAGAAGTGACTTCCAGTGGCGTGGTCAAAACTAATGGCTTATCCACTCGGTTGACGCGAGATCTTCGGAGGCTAATTCCAATAAACTTGGAAAATCGGAGGGGCTTTATCATTACATAGGTGATTAAAATGGGCCGGCCCATGAAACTGGGATCTGATTCCCATCTCGTTCGAATTTTGATTGATTTCAGTTCAAAGCAGAGAAAAATCAAACATTTTTCCACAAAACCAGGAGAAAAGATACCCCATATTCACCGTAAATTGAGGCCTCACAAGCTTACAAACAAACGGCGCAACGTCAACGGACTCAGAACATCTTGAAAACCTGGCAGAATGAACATGCATACGGAGAAAAGATCAGAGCACCAACCTCAGAAAAAGGTTCACAAGTCATCACGAGTTGCAGATGATATATATATCTCTATACATATGTTTGTGTGTGTGTGCATACACGTATGTATGTAGAGAGGTTCGTGGCCGGAGGGGGACTCTTCAGATGAGGAAGAGGGATACTAAGGCGGCCGCCAGGAGAAGAATGGCGGCGGAGGAGGCGGTCGAGGAGGTGGCGGCATTGGTGGCCGGCGGTGGCCCTTCCTTCTGCGGCGACGGGGCCGGCGCAGGAGGCACGGAAGGGAGGGGGATCGGCGCCGAAGGCAACGGCGGCTCGACAACGTCACTGTCGGCCAGGGGCGGCGGCGACGGCGGCAGCGCCGGCAGTCTGGACATATTCACCAACTTGCCAGGCGTGACGGGCTTCCAATAAGGCGGAGTGCTGTTACCCCGCGAACAAGGGCTCCCTGCGAGAATTTCAAATCCCTCAAAGAGTGAGAATCAGCTCCTAATCTTCCTACGGGCGGCACAGCAAGTGAAGATCGAGAACAGAAGAACCCTTACTTCTGAAGGCCTCCGCCGTCGCCGGAAACTCGGTGATCAGGCCCTCCACGCCCGCCCCCTTCACGAACAGGTTGATGTCCGCGATCGGGTCGTTGTACACGTCCCACGACACCGACAAGAACTCGTTCTGAAACAGGTACGCAAAGACCGGGAGCTTCTCTGCCTTGAACTTCTCCACGACCCTGGTTTTGTTCAACAGGTACTTTATGTTGTCCGGGTATATCGACGTCTTCGATACGGCCACGAAGGAGGCGAACCCAGCGATATCCTTGACCGCCGACGCCTCGATGTCGAGAATGGGCTCCTCGATCTTGTACATGAGCTTGTAGGAGGAGTTCAGCTGCTGCACCTTCTTCAGAACAGAGCTGTTCGTCGACTGGATGATGACCTCCTGCTTCAGGTCCGACGCGTTCAACGCTTTCAGGACCTCGTCGGTCACGCCGAAGCCAAGATTCTCCAGCAGAAAAGGAGCGTGCTGCAGCAGAAGGACGAGGATCAGTCCGATGGTGAAGAACATGAACATAAAAACGTGGGAACAAGGGTCAAAGTTCTCGGGGCGTTGTGACCCCGATGTGATGATGAAACCTGTTTCCGAAATCTGAGCTGGACGTGAAAGTAACATGAATATAGTTCATCAGGAGTAGTTAAACTAGATAAGGCTGTAAGACGAGGAAGATGAAGCTGCTCGAGTAGATAGAGGCCGCCTACTCTACGGCCGGGCCCATCGGCTATCTATTTTTATGGGTTCTAAACTGGACTCTATTTTTATAAGAAATATTCACGGGCCAATGCCAAAATAAGGACACACATAACCTCACAAGAAGTGAGCGTAGACTTTAATGCCGGAAATAACAGCCTCATTTAGTGCCAGAAGCACCACCGCTGTTAAAGAGCCGCAGCTCTTTGACTTTTACCACTTGTCTGGTAAAAGTCAAGTCGCTGCTGCGTTTTTGTGAGGTGGAAATGAAATTCAGGGTAAAAGGCAGCTACCTCTATACTGATTAAGACTCCAGAAAGAGAAGTGTTTTCCTTGGCAAGGGCCAAGAACTTGGTGAGGTTCAGGAAGGCTCCTGCGTTCCTCTTCGAAGGGTTCCGCAGCAGTCCATAATCTTTTAAATACGGGGTCGATATTTCAGCTGCAGAGAGGAGAGAAAGAAGGATCCGTAAGTAAATATCCGCGCTTCAGAGAATTCAAGAAACGATGCTCGTACTCCAGCTTCAAGAGAGGAATTTGGCGCCGATGTGTCTTACTTAATCCGCTCATTGGTATCAAGAGGAGGTTGACTTACGCTTTAGATTTTTCTGAATCTCTTCCCACGTAAAGTTGAAGGTGTATGCCCCTGGAGTACTCTTGATCGCCGGGATTCTAGAAATACGGTTACGGAAGGAAGAATTTGAGATTGTGGTGCCCGAGAAGAGATCTATATCAGGCATACAGACCAAAACTCCATCTTTGGTGACTTGGACAGGGCAGTCGATGTAGTCTGCACCATCCTCCACAGCTAGCTTGTATGCCAAATCAGTGCAGGACGGGAACATTCCCCCAGCTCCCCCGTAGGAAATCACGACGGGTTTTCCTGAAGCAGAAATGGAGTTTAGAACAGCCGGCGGGTCGTCTTCCATGTAATGAATTCCAAAGGCCAGTATGATGATAAAAGACTAGGAACGTAGTGTTACCAGATGAAGGCGCGGAGCTGTTAATGTGAGACAGGCAACCTGCACGAGCAAGGAGAAATGCCAGTAAACATCACGGATGCAGATCAATAAATTTGAAGGGGTCAACTGCAAGTCATCTTAATGAAAAGTGCGCTTGTTGTTAGTTTGAAGACCGGAGAGGAAACTGCTGTTCGATAAAATAAAAACTGGTACTATGCTTGTATGGGTAGGCTGGGTCAATGAGAAACTGCATTGAGACTATGTGGAATTGCGAACTGCGCATGAAAGAACCCAAGAATCAGGAGGGAGACGATCCATGTCAAGATGAGCAGATGGATATAGCTGCCGGTTATTCTTGACTGAAAGAGTAAACAAGACAGGGGTACGTCACAGCCGATGACTACAAGTGTGAAACTGAAAATATGAGATGGTCTAAAAGATTCTGATTTGACCTGAAATCTCGGTGTTTTTGAGCTAAACTAGGGAATTGATAAAAAAATCTTCATCGTTGTCGCTATTATTTTCTTCTATTTTAATGGATTATCACATTTGTATTGAATTCTAAATTGCCTAAATATCATCCGAAAACGAATGATAGAATCCAATCAGGACTGTGTGTTCTTCGAATCCATTCCAATGACTTCTTAGAAAATGAAGGACTGAAAAGTCTTATCTTGTCTGAGAAGGTTGGGTGAGTTCACAGCTGGTTTCCACATGGGCACATGGGATTAACAGCCTAATCCTGCTTTGTTCCTAAACTGGATGATGCTTGCCTGGATTTTACTCTTTATCAAACTGACATAGATTGGGTTTCATAACTTGTCAGAAATCTTTTTGAGAGGCAAAGCTTTAACAGTCATTGGGGGGAGGCATCATCCATAACTATCTGAAAGACATGGAACCAAACAGGTAATCAAACAGCATACCTATCGCCGCAGATGCAGTGAGCGGGGAGTCCGTCAGAACGCCGTCGACTGAGAAATTACCATTGTCCACGAAATTCAGATATTCCTTCAATGGATCAAAACTGTAGTCATAGGCGAAGTCAAAGTCGTTTGCAAAGCCTGCTGCAAAGACTTTCAACCCGGCCTTGCGAGCATCCTGCGCAACAGATGTGCTAGCAGATGCCAGTTTAAGATCTTTATTCACAGGCCAAATGTAATTCTTGGGCACCATAATTCCGGATGCAAACGTGCTGATAAAGGTCAAATTGTTCAACAACGACCCGTAGGTTAGCCTTGTCGATGGCTCCAGCTCGCCCAATTCAAGGAAACGAAAGATAGCCTTCGTGTTGGACCCCTTCAATCGTGGAGCTACACGTCTCAGGAAGGACAGCTCCGGCGATGACACGTACCCAACAGCGAAGGTCCTCGTAATATTGAGCAGATAGCTCGTCATGTTGAGCTTATGATCTGTGTAGAACTTATCATGCTGCAAGATACGACGGGGTTCTTCAATACTACGGCAAATAGAAAGTATTCAACAAGAAGAGTGTACTGCAGTCTCAGATTCCCGAACGAAGAGCAGGGGAGGGACATGGCGAATATAAAGATGGCAATGCTAAAGAATTAAATTGATTTTTCGCACTCTCATACCTGAATATTTAACCACAGACGCGGCTTTTTTAGTTGCTGCAAGTCGTCCACAGTGAGGATTTGATAGAATCCATCAAATATGTCACTTCGAGAGAGAATCGATCGGTTCACTGGTCAGGAAGGAAGAAACATCGTCAGAGAGACGTGCAATGGCATTTGGGTACCTGATTCATAATTCTTCAGAGTGAACTGCGATCCAAAATCTACAGAGTAATTTTCGTACGCTGATTTCTCATTTCACGACCAGAGGAATTGATTTCGAAACAAGGAGAAAGGCGGTGATGTTCAAATGAAAAAGGATTAAAACAAGGAGAAGCAAGGAGAAAGCATTGTATTGTGTATTTGCATCCGTTTTCGAGACCGGCGTCTATTCGTATTAACTACTTGGATTAGTTCTTCATTACTTTGCATTATGAACCACGAAAAGAAATGAAGAACTTTGAAACTCAGTGGTGTTTGTTTTCTTTTCCAAGAAAAAAAAAGGACCTTCACTATGGGATTTGGGCGGTGTGGGCCTATTACGACTTCACCGAAAGTCAGAAAAATTGATTCAACAGAGTCATCTCACTTACAAGTAACCTTGTCTAAGTCGCCCAAGCTGTAGTCGACAGAGAACCATCCTCTCTGAGGCACACCATTCACCGTGTACTTCTTAGCACCATTAGGGTACCAATTAGAGATATCCGTGCAGTTGTGCATATTGAGCTCAGGGAGACAGATCCCAATCCCATCTTTCGTCAATCGCACATCACACCACAACGATGCACTGGGTAAACTATAATCCTTCGCAGTCCCGTATCCCTGTGAACTGGAGTCGGGATATAACCCCGAATGGCCTCCTTTGGCTATCACTAACGGCTCCTTACCTGCATTGCATTGCAGCATAGATAATATGAATTGTAATATTTCACATAAACATACTATCCAAAACGACCGCAGGGACATGAATCAATTCGAAAACTATACCCATACAAGTGCCTTCGCAAGATGGACGATTAATACGGAAGATGACAGAGGATATAAGTATGTTGGGTCATTCAAAGCCAACGGAATCCGAAACCGGTCAATCAGGTGGTCGACAGAGATTCAAGGGACAAACACTGGAAAAGGTCGGAAGATCACGTCTTCTTTAGTATCTCCTCGATGTGAAGAAATTGACTTTAACTTTGAGATACAGGTGATATCCCGTTGACCAGAAGAAACAACCATCAGGAACCACATCGATTAATGTTTTTCAAATATAGGAAGATTCAGAAGCCCGGAAAATAATTTTCCGATCCCCTAGGAATAATACATGCATTCATCGTGCCTCGCAAGCGGGATTTCATCTCTTTTATGGCCTTGTTCTCTCAGGATGTCTGCACAACAGGGACAATACAGCGCCAGACAACCAGAGGCGCTCAGGTTCCAGAGGCAACATCAGGTCCATAAAACAAAAAGGCGCTTCCTTTGACCACATTCCGCCTCACACACGACTCGGAAACGACAAACATCTAGAAATCTATGTACGCAGGGACGAACTCCGTCGCCGCAGCACCTTCCAAACTGAAGACATAGCAGTTCGAACCGCTGAACACAAGGACAGGCGACCACAGGGAGAAAATTGAAGAGAGTACCGTCCAAGGTCAGCCACTTCAGCGCGGCCCCTGGAGTCGAGTGCTGGATGAGAAGAAGGAGAGCGAGAAACAGAAGACGGGGACCCCATCCCCGGTCTTGCATGGCTCTCGGCATTGAGCAGACCAAAGGAGTGCTTGATTGATAGATGGATAGAGCGAGCGAGAGACAGAAGGAGAGAGAGAGAGAATGGGAGAAGAGATCTGGCAAAGAATTTCCCGGAGTCAAAGAGAGATCATTCCTCTGCAATTGCACACGGAGAATATAAGAGACAGAGCAGGACGCGATAGGCCATTTTCCACTAGTTCTTGTCCTTGTTGCCTGTACTGCTTCCCATCGCCATCCTAAGCATTCATCCTATTTCTTCAAGTATCAATCAGCCTACGTTGACCCTTTTGACACTGGTGCAGAGCCGTTGACTCATTCGTACTCTCCGTTATTCCGAATAAACCCATTCAGTTCTTTTATTTTATTATACAACCGATAAAATAACGATTTTCACGGTACTCTCTCTCTCTCTCTCTATCTGTGTGCATTCGATCCACCTGAGGGTATGGGACTTAAAATAAATGAGTTTCTCTCTGGTAGGCCTGCGTTGAATCTAGAGAGAGAAGCCAAGTAAAAAAGTTGGACAGCGTCCGTACTGCATCCGACGAACCCCGGAAGAGGGTGCTATCCAGTAGTTTGATCGTACCCGGACGGGTCCACTCTGTGCGGAGTTCCCTGCCCACAAGGGTTATATACACATTTTTAAATAATAATATTATATTATAAAAATAAGTATAAATTATGATAATAAAATATACATATTTTTTAATCTTTAACGTAGTAAAGTAATAAAAGAGGGTCAGAACGTAGGCGTAGACAACTTTTAAATCGTTGACTTGAGAGTTTGGTTGATAAAACGACAGATATCGACGCTGCATAAATTTGTTTGGATTTCTGTGCGGATTTAGTAAGACATCGAATCGATGTCACCTCGGTTATTTAATGTCATAAATCTTGATCTCTCAGAAAATTGCCGCATTTTCTGGTAAGAGAGGTCGGCGGATCAAGTTCTGAGGAAAAAACTTGTTGGAATCTTATTTTCCTAATCAATTAATATATGAGCGCACCGTGGTCATTTACTAATGGCAAAATATTCATATTAAATATAAATCCTGTTCTTGACCCCGTCTAAGTTTCTGCGGTTTCTATCACTGCTTTCACACCTATTAAAGATATAATTAATTTTCCATATTTTATTAATAATATTATCCACAAAACCGGGTCCTCTCAGTGAAGATGACGCCTACTCTTATTGACGACTGAAAAGGAAATAAATAAAAATCTTATCTATAATTTATAGATGCGGGGCCCTCTATGCTCAAAGATTATCCATACCCCCTCTGTTTTTTAAAAAACGATATTTTTATATAAAAAAAGAATTATCTTATTTTTTAAAAAAATCATACGACCGATTCATCTAACATAGTCTATGGTTTGTTGAGAGAGATGAAACGCTTCAAACGAAAAGCGACATTCTTCTCCATATTCCTGTAACAGAAACGGTCAACGATAACGAAAAGTTATATTTTACTATCTTCTGCGTTCAATCCGATTTCTCTGAAATTGTTAGGCTGGAAATCTGTTACGGTCGTGGGTGGTGTCGTAGGGAGAAGATCGACTCGCCATGTCCCCCACTCACTGAAATTTACGTTGACGTCAAGGAAGATGACCAAGATTAGTCAACATAAGTATACCCGTAATTTGGTCCGTTCTTTGATGTGAATGTTTCCCCGGATAAATAAGCGAATAAATGAGTGATACTTGATGCAAGTTTATTACGTGGGAAAAATAAAGCTCTATACTAGACAATTGTCTAATAGTTAGAGCGAGCGAGCGAGAGAGAGAGAGAGAGGAGAGAGAGAGAGCGAAGAGAGAGAAGGAGGGAGAGAGAGAGAGATACTGCCATTATCAAGGGTAACTACTTGGTGTCCTATTAAACTGGGATCTGATTGCTATCTCGCACGAATTTTGTCAGATTACATGTTAAACTAGAAAAATAATCAAAACTTTTTCCGCAAAACCAGGAAAAAAGAAACGCCATTTTCACCGTAAATTGAGTCGTTACAAGGCTACAGGCAAGGCCTCCAAGGTCAACGGACACTGGACATCTTAAAGACCAGGAAGAATGGACATGCACACGGAGAAAAGATCTGAGCAACAAGCAGAAAGCTTCAAAAGTGATCACGAGTCGGAGAAGACTGATATATACGTCGGTGGCTGCCGAGGACATGCAAACGGGGGCGAAGAAAAATGTATATAGCAAAGTTTGCTTGCAGAAGAGACGAGAAAAATGTGAGAATATAAATATATTCAATGTAGATTGTATAGTAGTTAGAAGATTGATTGGAGGCTAGTGATAGCTGAAATATGCGGTATTTTCTTGTGGGCTGTGAGACAAGACTAATTCTAGACTGCTTACAGACATATTTCAACAGGGCATTTGTGAGATCTTGACGGTCTTGTCGACTAAATCGTTGCAGTCAGTTGCTCTCATCTTATTACATCATATTTTTTTCTTATATCCTTAACTTGGCTTCTAGTCGTATTTAGTTAGATAATATTTTCTGTTCCCTGTTGATCTTGGCTGGTTTTATTCTAGCGCCGAAGGCAATGGCGGCTCGACAACGTCACTGTCGGCCAGGGGGGGCGGCGACGGCGGCAGCGCCGGCAGTGTGGACAAATTCACCAACTCGCCAGGCGTGACGGGCGTCCAATAAGGCGGAGTGCTGTTGCCCCCCGAACAAGGGCTCCCTGCGAGAATTTCAAATCCCTCAAAGAGTGAGAATCAGCTCCTAATCTTCCTACGGGCGGCACAGCAAGTGAAGATCGAGAACAGAAGAACCCTTACTTCTGAAGGCCTCCGCCGTCGCCGGAAACTCGGTGATCAGGCCCTCCACGCCCGCCCCCTTGATGAATAGGTTGATGTCCGCGATCGGGTCGTTGTACACGTCCCACGACACCGACACGAACTCGTTCTGGAACAGGTAGGCAAAGACCGGGAGCTTCTCTGCCTTGAACTTCTCCACCACCCTGGTTTTGTTCAACAGGAACTTTATGTTGTCCGGGTATATCGACGTCTTCGATACGGCCACGAAGGAGGCGAACCCAGCGATATCCTTGACCGCCGACGCGTCGACGTCGAGAATGAGCTCCTCGATCTTGTACATGAGCTTGTAGGAGGAGTTCAGCTGCTGCACCTTCTTCAGAACAGAGCTGTTCGTCGACTGGATGATGACCTCCTGCTTCAGGTCCGACGCGTTCAACGCTTTCAGGACCTCGTCGGTCACGCCGAAGCCAAGATTCTCCAGCAGAAAAGGAGCGTGCTGCAGCAGAAGGACGAGGACCAGTCCGATGGTGAAGAACATGAACATAAAAACGTGGGAACAAGGGTCAAAGTTCTCGGGGCGTTGTGACCCCGATGTGATGACGAAACCCGTTTTGCGAAATCTGAGCCGGACGTGAAATTAACATGAATATAGTTCCTCATTTTTATGGGTTCTAAACTGACGCAATGACATGTATTTTTACATGAAATATCAAGGAATCCATGCCAAAATGTGGGTGCATATAACCTTGAAGAAGAGAGCGTAGACCTTAACGCCAGAAACACCAGGCTCATTTAATGCCAGAAACACTACTGCTGTTAAAATGCAGTAGGGAGTTGACTTTTAGCAGTAGTCTGGTAAAGGCGCAAGTTCTACTCGGCTACTGCGTGTTTGTTAGACGAAATGAAATTCAGGGTAAAAGGCAGCTACCTCTATGCTGATCAAGACTCCAGAACGAGGGGGGTTTTCCTTAGCGAGGGCCAAGAACTCGGTGAGGTTCAGGAAGGCTCCTGCGTTCCTCTTCGAAGGGTTCCGCAGCAGTCCATACTCTTTTAAGTACGGGGTCGATATTTCAGCTGCAGAGAGGAGAGAGAGAAGGATCCGTAAGTAAATATCCGCGCTTCAGAGAATTCAAGAAACGATGCTCGTATTCCAGCTTCCAGAGAGGAATTTGGCGCCGAAGCGTCCTTAAAAAGTATAAATAAATAAAATATGGCAATAAACTCCGAGTGCCTCCAATATTACCGTATTACTTAATCCGCTCCTTGATAGAAAGAGGAGGTTGACTTACGCTTTAGATTTTTCTGAATCTCTTCCCACGTAAAGTTGAAGGTGTATGCCCCTGGAGTACTCTTGATCCCCGGGATTGTAGAAATACGGGTACGGAAGGAAGAATTTGAGATTGTGGTGCCCGAGAAGAGATCTATATCAGGCAGGCAGACCAAAACTCCATCTTCGGTGACTTGGACAGGGCAGTCGATGTAGTCTGCACCATCCTCCACAGCTAGCTTGTATGCCAAATCAGTGCAGGACGGGAACATTCCCCCAGCTCCCCCGTAGGAAATCACGACGGGTTTTCCTGAAGCAGAAATGGAGTTTAGAACAGCCGGCGGGTCGTCTTCCATGTAATGAATTCCAAAGGCCAGTATGATGATAAAAGACTAGGAACGTAGTGTTACCAGATGAAGGCGCGGAGCTGTTAATGTGAGACAGGCAACCTGCACGAGCAAGGAGAAATGCCAGTAAACATCGCGGATGCAGATCAATAAATTTGAAGGGGTCAACTGCAAGTCATCTTAATGAAAAGTGCGCTTGTTGTTAGTTTGAAGACCGGAGAGGAAACTGCTGTTCGATAAAATAAAAACTGGTACTATGCTTGTATGGGTAGGCTGGGTCAATGAGAAACTGCATTGAGACTATGTGGAATTGCGAACTGCGCATGAAAGAACCCAAGAATCAGGAGGGAGACGATCCATGTCAAGATGAGCAGATGGACATAGCTGCCGGTTATTCTTGACTGAAAAGAGTAAACAAGACAGGGGTACGTTACAGCCGATGACTACAAGTGTGAAACTGAAAATATGAGATGGTCTAAAAGATTCTGATTTGACCTGAAATCTCGGTGTTTTTGAGCTAAACTAGGGAATTGATAAAAAAAATCTTCATCGTTGTCGCTATTATTTTCTTCTATTTTAATGGATTATCACATTTGTATTGAATTCTAAATTGCCTAAATATCATCCGAAAACGAATGATAGAATCCAATCAGGTTTGTGTGGTCTCCTAATCCATTCCAATGACTTCTTAGCTTAGAAAATGAAGGACTGAAAAGTCTTATCTTGTCTGAGAAGGTTGGGTGAGTTCACAGCTGGTTTCCACATGGGCACATGGGATTAACAGCCTAATCCTGCTTTGTTCCTAAACTGGATGATGCTTGCCTGGATTTTACTCTTTATCAAACTGACATAGATTGGGTTTCATAACTTGTCAGAAATCTTTTTGAGAGGCAAAGCTTTAACAGTCATTGGGGGAAGGCATCATCCATAACTATCTGAAAGACATGGAACCAAACAGGTAATCAAACAGCATACCTATCGCCGCAGATGCAGTGAGCGGGGAGTCCGTCAGAACGCCGTCGACTGAGAAATTACCATTGTCCACGAAATTCAGATATTCCTTCAATGGATCAAAACTGTAGTCATAGGCGAAGTCAAAGTCGTTTGCAAAGCCTGCTGCAAAGACTTTCAACCCGGCCTTGCGAGCATCCTGCGCAACAGATGTGCTAGCAGATGCCAGTTTAAGATCTTTATTCACAGGCCAAATGTAATTCTTGGGCACCATAATTCCGGATGCAAACGTGCTGATAAAGGTCAAATTGTTCAACAACGACCCGTAGGTTAGCCTTGTCGATGGCTCCAGCTCGCCCAATTCAAGGAAACGAAAGATAGCCTTCGTGTTGGACCCCTTCAATCGTGGAGCTACACGTCTCAGGAAGGACAGCTCCGGCGATGACACGTACCCAACAGCGAAGGTCCTCGTAATATTGAGCAGATAGCTCGTCATGTTGAGCTTATGATCTGTGTAGAACTTATCATGCTGCAAGATACGACGGGGTTCTTCAATACTACGGCAAATAGAAAGTATTCAACAAGAAGAGTGTACTGCAGTCTCAGATTCCCGAACGAAGAGCAGGGGAGGGACATGGCGAATATAAAGATGGCAATGCTAAAGAATTAAATTGATTTTTCGCACTCTCATACCTGAATATTTAACCACAGACGCAGCTTTTTTAGTTGCTGCAAGTCGTCCACAGTGAGGATTTGATAGAATCCATCAAATTTGTCACTTCGAGAGAGAATCGATCGGTTCACTGGTCAGGAAGGAAGAAACATCGTCAGAGAGACGTGCAATGGCATTTGGGTACCTGATTCATAATTCTTCAGAGTGAACTGCGATCCAAAATCTACAGAGTAATTTTCGTACGCTGATTTCTCATTGCACGACCAGAGGAATTGATTTCGAAACAAGGAGAAAGGCGGTGATGTTCAAATGAAAAAGGATTAAAACAAGGAGAAGCAAGGAGAAAGCATTGTATTGTGTATTTGCATCCGTTTTCGAGACCGGCGTCTATTCGTATTAACTACTTGGATTAGTTCTTCATTACTTTGCATTAGAACTTCGAAACTCAATGGTGTTTGTTTTCTTTTCCAAGAAAAAAAAGGACCTTCACTATGGGATTTGGGCGGCGTGGGCCTATTACGACTTCACCGAAAGTTAGAAAAATTGATTCAACAGAGTCATCTCACTTACAAGTAACACTGTATAAGTCGTCCAAGCTGTAGTCGACAGGGAACCATCCTCTCTGAGGCACACCATTCACCGTGTAGTTCTTAGCACCATTAGGGTACCAATTAGAGATATCCGTGCAGTTGTCCATAGTGAGCTCAGGGAGACAGATCCCAAACCCATCTTTCGTCAATCGCACATCACACCACAACGATGCATTGGGTAAACTATAATCCTTCGCAGTCCCGTATCCCTCTCCACTGGAGTCGGGATATAACCCGGAATGGCCTCCTTTGGCTATCATTAACGGCTCCTTACCTGCATTGCATTGCAGCATAGATAATATGAATTGTAATATTTCACATAAACATACTATCCAAAACGACCGCAGGGACATGAATCAATTCGAAAACTATACCCATACAAGTGCCTTCGCAAGATGGACGATTAATACGGAAGATGACAGAGGATATAAGTATGTTGGGTCATTCAAAGCCAACGGAATCCGAAACCGGTCAATCAGGTGGTCGACAGAGATTCAAGGGACAAACACTGGAAAAGGTCGGAAGATCACGTCTTCTTTAGTATCTCCTCGATGTGAAGAAATTGACTTTAACTTTGAGATACAGGTGATATCCCGTTGACCAGAAGAAACAACCATCAGGAACCACATCGATTAATGTTTTTCAAATATAGGAAGATTCAGAAGCCCGGAAAATAATTTTCCGATCCCCTAGGAATAATACATGCATTCATCGTGCCTCGCAAGCGGGATTTCATCTCTTTTATGGCCTTGTTCTCTCAGGATGTCTGCACAACAGGGACAATACAGCGCCAGACAACCAGAGGCGCTCAGGTTCCAGAGGCAACATCAGGTCCATAAAACAAAAAGGCGCTTCCTTTGACCACATTCCGCCTCACACACGACTCGGAAACGACAAACATCTAGAAATCTATGTACGCAGGGACGAACTCCGTCGCCGCAGCACCTTCCAAACTGAAGACATAGCAGTTCGAACCGCTGAACACAAGGACAGGCGACCACAGGGAGAAAATTGAAGAGAGTACCGTCCAAGGTCAGCCACTTCAGCGCGGCCCCTGGAGTCGAGTGCTGGATGAGAAGAAGGAGAGCGAGAAACAGAAGACGGGGACCCCATCCCCGGTCTTGCATGGCTCTCGGCATTGAGCAGACCAAAGGAGTGCTTGATTGATAGATGGATAGAGCGAGCGAGAGACAGAAGGAGAGAGAGAGAGAATGGGAGAAGAGATCTGGCAAAGAATTTCCCGGAGTCAAAGAGAGATCATTCCTCTGCAATTGCACACGGAGAATATAAGAGACAGAGCAGGACGCGATAGGCCATTTTCCACTAGTTCTTGTCCTTGTTGCCTGTACTGCTTCCCATCGCCATCCTAAGCATTCATCCTATTTCTTCAAGTATCAATCAGCCTACGTTGACCCTTTTGACACTGGTGCAGAGCCGTTGACTCATTCGTACTCTCCGTTATTCCGAATAAACCCATTCAGTTCTTTTATTTTATTATATAACCGATAAAATAACGATTTTCACGGTACTCTCTCTCTCTCTCTACATTCGATCACCTGAAGGCATGAGATGAGGTCAAAGAAAGACACAAACTTTGGGAGAATACTTTTTATTTAGGGCATGTAACTTTAAAAACTGATTCTCTCCGGTTAGTAAGTGGTAGGCCTGAGTTTAATCTAGAGAGAGAAGCCAAGAGGGGGAGTATATTGAGGAGTTCATCGATAAAGTAAAAAAAATGGACAGTCACCGTACTCGGTCCGACGACCTCGGAAGAGCGTGCTATCTAGTTAGTTGACCATTTCCGGATGGGCCCACTCCGGGTGCGGAGTTCCCTGCCACAAAGGTTATATTCATATTTTTTAAAATAATGATAATATATATTATAATAAAAAAATATGTATTTAATCTTTAGACTTAGTCAAGTAATAAAAGCGAGTCAGAACGTACATATGAACAACTTTTAAAAGTGTTGACTTGAGCGTTGAAGTTAACTGAGTGATACTAAGCCGCATAAATTTCTTTGGACTTTATACGGACTTAGGACGACGTCGAATAGATGTCAGCTCAATTATTCAATGTCAGAAAAATTCCCTTCCTTTTTATGGTAAAACATGTCGGTGGATCATGTTCTTAGTTTTCTTGTGCCCGTCAATAATCAGAAAATATAAAAACACTCGATTCAGGAGAAGAAACTTAGTCAAATCAATAAAAATATGAAGGCCCATGGTCGTTTACTAACGACAAAATCTTCATATTAAATATAAGACCTGTTCTCGTCTCCGTGTGAGTTTCTGAGGCTTCTATCGCTTCTTTCCACACCTCTTAAAAATTTCATTAATTTTCCAGGTTTTATTAACAAAGTTGGCCACAAAACCGGGCCCTCTCAATGAATATGGGGGTTGCTCTTCTTGATGAATGAAAAGGAAATAACTAAAAATCTTATCTATAATTATAAATTTGGGCCCTCTATGTTGAAATATTATCCATACCCCAAACCTCGCCCCCGCTTCCACCTTGACTTTACCAAAATTTAATGCATAAACGTTATTTAATTTAAACTCAATACCCCCAATGAAAACATAATTATTGAGAGATCAAATATCTTCATAAATAATTTTGGAAATATTTTCGTTATAATTTCATTCTAGAAATAAATAAAATGACCTCATGAATAAAAAAAAATTATGTGATAAGTGCTGACAACATAAGACCATAGACCGGTGCCATCCTAATGACTTCATCCGGTCGGACCCGTTCATTTCGTCTGGCGCGACGTGCCGTTTCTCCCGTCCAGACGCGCCGAACTGGGCTCCTGCCCGATGCACGCCAAACCAGTCGCCCGATATGGCACACCGTTTCGCGTGGCGAACTGTGCGTCTGGTCGCTCTTCCATCCAGCATGGCCCGAAACGATGCAGCCGTCACATCCGATTGCCCTCTGCCCCTTCCGCCCTCCCCCAGGCCGAGCGACCTACCACACTCGGGACTATCTTCAGGCCAAAACGGCCTTTCTATACTCCCCTTGGCCCAGCTGAGGGCCATTACGGTCGTTTCGATAGGGAATGCGGCGTACAGCCTGCCCGTTCACCCCACGTCCCCTGCCGGTCTTTGAGCGACTGAGAGGGTGAGGCAGCGCGCGAAAACCCAAGCGGTCCACCGTCCCTCCCTCCCCCTTTCGTTCAGAAACGGGAAAGAGGAGAAAGGGGGCGAGTCCCTCCTCTCTCCAGCTACCCAGGGCACACCTTTGATGGGGCAGAGACCACACCTCATGGCGCTCCGCCACATGGCCTATAGGATATTGGAATCTATCAATGGCGTCCGTATAGTCACATTGAACGCCTATGACGACACATTGCTCATTCAGACACTAAGTCCACCTCGGTCTTCATGGTTGTGCACATGATTCCAAGTAATTCATTCCCACTCAAACAAATCATTTATAATTTTTCATTCTATAAAACCCAACATAAATGACTTTAATACCATTTTCTAGAGATTAAAGACGTAGTAAAATGATGTTAAGAGAATCAAAAGTCATCTATAACTTGTCATTCTCTAAAACCCAACACAAATGATTTTAATACCACTTTATAGAGATTACAGATCTTGTATTGAGTTATGAAGAATAAGAATAATAAAGTGAGAATGAGTAAGAAAATCATACACGAGTCCATGATAACTCAAGAATGGGGTGCAGCTTTTAAGATCAAGAAAAGGAGTCATTCATATTGTATTACTTTCTCTAGGAGTGATGGTTTCTTTCAGAGTTGACTCTCAAGTTGTGGGACCCAAGAACAATGACCATGTGTATCAACATGCTGGTGAAGCCCGGCCCGGTACCATTTGGGCTTGGGCTTCTAAAATCAGGCCCGGCCTAAAAAAGTTCCTTCCAAGAGCATGAGCCTCGAACTATTCAGCCACCGAGTTTCCATATCTCTTATAGAAATAATTAATTATTCAGATTTAACTAAAAATGCTAAGAAAAAGTATTTAGAGAGAGACTCAAATTCTTAGTAGAAGCTTCCAATCCCCCAATCTAACCCTCCGTGTGGTAATTTGTGTTAATTATTTAATTACTAGAGTTAATTAATGATATTAGCCACAAATTCAGAGTATTATCTTTAATTATATAATTGAGAATTAATTACGGCTTTTGAGCTTTCAAAAGAAGCAAATTATGAATATGTCCCTCTATGCTCGAATATCATCCATACCCTCAAGCTCCCCCCCCGCTTCCCTCTTTACTTCCTAGTTGCTCCCCACACCTCTATTTTTAAAAACAGTCAAATAGCTTATTCTTAAAAATTCTTACCGTCGGGCCGAGTTCGCCGGCAAGGCATCGCTTCCCTTCTCCGCCATCCAATCCGTTGGTAATGTCCGATACCTGGCCCTCTTCTCGATCCACGCCGCCGCCACCGCCGTCTCCGCTCAGACTCACTGCCAGACGAGGAGAATGGAGGCGGCGAGACTTGCCGCTGGCGGTGCCCCCCGGTGGGTTTTCCGGGGGAAACAGACTCCAGCTCCGCTGCCTGCGACCCAGTTCATCGGAGGGCCCATTCCTGGGCTCCACCATGCTCCCAGGCTCCGTCTCGGCCGCCGCCGGGTCTCTCAGGCAGCTCCGCGCTGCTCGAACGAGTCTGGAACTGGAGAGGGCGGCAGCCGCCCGCTGGATCAATTCCTGAAAGTCTACGCCGCCATTAATGAAGGCAATGCTGACGGAATCATGGATTCTATAGATCATGTGATCCCGCTCCCCCCCAAACTCATTCCTTTCTTCTGGCTCCTGAAGGGGAAGAAGGTAAACCACCGAAATCTCCCCGTCTTCAGCCATGGCAGTCCCCACCAGGCTGATCTCACTCAACGGTGGTTTTGGTCCAGGGAGCGATGCGGATCTTCTCCTCTCTCATGGGACTCGTCACAAACAACGTGGAGTTCTTCGTCAAGCCCAAGGATGACGGCACCGATGTCGGCGTCTCCTGGACATTTGGTCAGCTCCCTCCATACTCACCGCTCTCTCTCGGCCTCTTTCACCGTGGTCTCACATGTCCTCCTCCCCGCGGCCATGGGGCGTCTCTTAAACCGCAGTGTGGAAAACGACCCAAGATCTCCCGGGCAGAGAGTGCAGCTTCGACACCGCCCACGTGTACAAGGGGCGGATGTTCTTGAGGTAAGCCTTCAGAGACAGGGTTTCCTCCTGGGGAGTGACGTGATGTTTAGTCATTCTGAAACCCTATAGGAACGTGGAGCTACTCCTGGACCCCATGACCCAAGTGGATTCCCTCTCGAAGGTAGCTTCCTCCCCCCCACTAATCAGGATATTCTCCCGACCCGCGTGAGCTTGACGAGCATGTTGCAGAGATTAATGGCGTTTCTGAGGCGAAGTGGAGATCCGGTTGATAACGGCGACGTCGTTCAGAAGAAAACCTGGTGGGGATCGATGCTGCTTGTGGCTCTGCTCCTCGTGACCGTCGCGTTCTTAGTTATCAGGAAGCTGCCCCACTGATCGCGGAGGGAGGATGTAATTCCTGAAGCATCCGATTAACCAAATTGTACATATGAAGCCATTATATAATACAAATAAAGAAAGGTCGGCGTCATTTTAGTCCACTTTATAAAAATATATTTTATTTTTTTAACATTTTAGTACGGGAAAGATAATAATTAGTGAGATAAATATTAAGTGCAATGATCTTAGTAACAGGTTAAATAATATGATCTGTTACCTTTAACTAACCCTCTTTCGAAGACGAAATCCATATTTTAGCCCTCACAATCATCCGGTTCGTTCCGAGGATAATGTCAAATGATAGTTTTGATAAAGTAGGCCGAGTAGTGTTCAACTGAAATCTATGAAAATTTCATTCGAGTTCAGCATCGTCTCTCGGTCTCCCATATATAAACTTGGATGCGAACGACGTCAAGCCTCTCTCTCTCTCTCTCTCTCTCTCTCTCTCCCTCTCTCTCTCTCCCTCTCTCTCTTTCTTCCCTCTTCCTCACAAGAGAATCGTCAACAAACCAAAGCAACCAAGGCAAAGTACACTTCGAAGGTGGCGATTCCAATGACAGCCCGCCGCCTGCCTCCGATGGGTGGGAAATCTCGCTATGGGGAGGAGAACCCTCTCGACCTCCTAAACCGCCACGGGGTTGGTTGAATAAATGCTGCTGGCCATATTCGTGTCGGGCCAACTCGAATCGACCCAGACGAGGTCGGACGACTCGGTGAAGTTGAGGGTGCACCGGACTCCGGCCAGGGCAGCGACGGGGTTCCCCGGCTCAGGTTCCTGAACTCAGCAAGGCTGAAAGAACTGCGGGAGAGCATGGAAGAGTAGAGACCAGAGCTCCGTCGAGGTCAGGTTAGAGAGCGAGAGAGAGCGAGAGATAGAGAGAGAGAGAGAGAGAGAGAGAGAGAGAGAGAGAGAGAGAGAGAGAGAGAGAGAGAGAGAGAGAGAGAGAGAGAGAGAGAGAGAGAGAACAGGCAGTGAACCAAAGGACGGATGAAGGAATGGTGATGATTCAAGAGAAGTTAAAAAGTAGCGGGGCCACATTTCCTCGAGTATCGGTTCTTGCGGGTGAAGTGCAGCTTCAAACAAGCACGCGACTTGTGAAGTTGGCATGGGCTTTGGGCCAAAAATGGGTCGAACTTAAGTTTTCTAGTAGAGGGTCCGTTGGGCCCTAATTATTCGGCCCAGTGGGCGTTAATAGCCCATAGAAGGCCCGGGAGGGGCGAACGGAGGGATCTTCGGATCTGGCGGAAGCCTCGGAGCTTCCCGCCGGATTTGCCATCTAGATCGCGCCTATAACGTCCTCTTCCACGGCCGGTGCAATCGGCAACGCTCTTGTTATTCGGCACCAAGTTACAGAGTCACCGTCGGCGATCGAGGTAACGGCTCTTGGTTTCCTAGGGTTTTGCTTCGTTGTTTGTCTTTATTGCCTCGGGTGTGAGGTGTGGGTGGCTTCCATGAAAGATGAATAGGCTGTTTTGGGGTTGATTTGTGGTATTTTTCCCATTGGGGTGCCGATTGATTTTGAGGATTTTTTGACTCTTTTTCTGCGGTCGTCCTTTTTGTTTTCCCGTTGTTTTTCCTTGGTTTACTTCTGAGGGCGGCTTTTGGCCCGCAACATTCCGCGTTTCTAACGCGAATTGATCACCAAACCAGTGCCATAGTGTTTTCCCCCTTATTAGATTATCTCACTAGAACGCTGATCACTGCTTCCACTGCGGCTCTTTTCTCTCCTTCAGTTGAGAACACATTATTGGAGTTCTATCTAGTGACGGGTGCGGCGATCAAGACGCTATCTTCAGGTTTCTCATCGAACTCGTTGATAGAAGATTGGAGAGGGTGCATTTAGATGATGACGAAGGAGAAGCACATGCCTGGAGTTGTCACAGAATATCACTTTGTGGATGAGAAGGACGAACCCGTCTGCTTCTCCTTGTTGCCTGTGCAGTGGAGTGAGGACGAGATTGTCGACGTTCAAAATGAAAAGGTATTCCTCCAGGGTAAGACTGACGACGGTCTCCAGAAGATCTACAAGCAAGTTGTTGCCTGGAAGGTAGAAATTCTTGGTAATGGCCCACAGGTCAAAGTCCTCTCCAAAGACAAGACATGGTTGAAGATCCAGAAACCACGAAATGCTTATCAGGATACAATAAGAAATATCCTGATAACGTTAGAGTGCCTCTTCTACTTAAAGAGAAACCCATCGTCTTCAGACAAATCCCTTTGGGGTCATGTACGGAAGGCGCTCAGGTTTGGGCCTAATTTTGCCTAAAAAACTTAAGGTGATCCCGGTTTAAGATGATGCTCTAATGGCTGTCCTGATGTGCAGCCAGTTTGAGGTCAGAGCTTGCAAGGACGATCTCATCATTCATCAAACACTTATTCAGTCTATTGTTGAGAGAGATGATACATTATCAAACGCAAAGGTACATCTTCCCTGCATTTTAATAACAGAAATGGTCAAGGATAACGACATATAATTTTACTACTTCTGCATGCAGACCGTTTTTTTGCCTGTGTTACGATAATTACTTCATTAGGCTGGAAATCAGTTACCCTAGATGAATGAAGCTGAAGCACTTCTCTGCTTTGTAGAAACCCCAGCAAACAGAATAGTCTCGCAATAGCTTAAGTATACTCGTCGTTTGTTATCTTTTTTTTGTAGTTGTGGACCCAGCTTTTACTATGATTTCATTATTTATTTCATAGGTGTTACCGAAGCTTCTTCGTCACTTGTCTAAGAAGAGATCTACAAATCTGGTAAGTAACTTTTTAGCTCTTGACCAACTCTGCCTTGGATACTGGATTTCATATTAAAGTGTTTCTCAGTGTGTTGTCGGAAACCAACAGAAGTATACCAGACAGTCTTCCAATGGGGACCTCAAAGATGACCAGAAGACTCAGAAGTTCAATCTTGGCGGTGATGGTGGTAGTAGCAAGGATGGCAGTGATGATGATGATAATTCTGCGAACGATGATGGAGATGAGTTTGGCGAAGATGTTGGATGCCTTGATCATGTTTGTGCTATTTGTGACAATGGTGGTGAACTTTTGTGGTATATACACCCTCTTGTCTTGGTTTTTTTCGACTTGCAACAACTAATCTTTTCAGTCTTTGTTCTGTGAGAAATTTCCCAATCGTTTAGTCTTGCTTAGATCTATTTATCATGTTCAATGAGATTTCAACTTTGATAAAAATTGATGATTTATAATATGGATACTGTCTCCTCCCCAGTGTTATACATGTATGACTCTTTTGTTAGTCTGAATGTTCTTGGCAGCAATGGATGCTAGTTGGTCATGAAGATGCCGACATATTTTATTTTCCTTTTGAATGCAGTTGTGAAGGAGAATGCCGAAGATCTTTTCATGCAACAAAAGGTGCAGGCATTGATTCACACTGCAAAACTCTAGGATATACGAGGGCACAAGTTCATGTAAGAGGCACTGGTTCTATTTTAGCGCTAGGATTTTCCCACTCGCTTAGTCATTGATTTTCTTTACTTTATTGTTAACCATGCAGGCCATCCAGAAATTTTTCTGCCCCAATTGTTTGCATAAGAGGCACCAGTGTTTTGCTTGTGGCCAATTGGGGAATTCTGATAAACAAGCCGAGCCCGAGGTTTGGCCATCTGATAAACTTCTGTGCTCTAATTATTTATATTTTTTTGTCGTTTTTCAGTTGGATTTTGAGATTCCTGCCGTGGTGTTGTTCCTGTAACTTGGTTTTTTTGTTCATAGTACCATCGAAAAACACACTCCGGTTCATATTTAAGATCCCAACGTTGGCTACTGGGCGTTCAAATCTTTTTACGTTTACTAACTTTTGGTAGTTTGATTACCATCAACAAGAGGGTGATTAGTTTTGACAGAGCATCATTTACAGGTTTTTCGTTGTATATCTGCTTCCTGCGGTCACTTCTATCATCCTGGCTGTGTTGCAAAGTTACTACATCCGGAAAATGAAGGTGAAGGAGCTGTGCTAGAAGCAAAGATTGCTGCTGGAGAATCTTTTCTTTGTCCTGCCCATAAATGTAGGGTTTGTAAACAATTTGAAAACAAGGAAGTCAAGGAACTGCAATTTGCCATGTGCAGAAGGTGTCCAAAGTCCTACCATAGAAAATGTTTGCCCAGGTATCTTTTTTTCTGGATTTTCCAGTGAAGCGTTGCTTATGTTGATCAATGCAGATGCTAATAAATTTTTTGGCGTCGCAGGAGGATTTCTTTTGAGGATCCAGATTGCGAAGAGACTGAACAGAGAGCCTGGGATGACCTCATCCCTAATAGAATTTTAATATACTGCCTGTAATATCTTCTCTTTCTTTTTCTCTTGCCCATTGATCATATTTTCTGTTTCTACCATTGAAAATTATTTTTTGAATAGGAAGCACAAAATAGATAAGGAGATTGGCACACCAGTAAGGAATCATATGATATTCCCAGGGATCATGGAGAGTGAAGTTGTGCCATCAACTGATTCAGACAAGAAAAAGGTTCTGGTGAAGAGGAAGGCTGAAGTTTCCTTCTCTGAAAAGAAACCCAGAAAGTTAATCAGAATGCCTTCAGATGTTGAGGCAAATGACTATGTTGCTTCCAGACAACCACTCCACACTTCTAAGAATCTGAAAACACCTGCTACGTTGAAAAAGATCTCAAAAGATTGCACTAAGAATGTGTCAACTACGGAGCAGAAGGTTCCTTCGAAAGATGACAAGGCTTGCTCTCCAGTGCTGGGAAATGGGTCGCAGTCGTCAGAACTCGCAGCTAATGGCATGCTCAGCAATATTCCCTCTGAGGAGGAACCAGAAAGTTCGGTTACCTTAATTGATGAAGAAGCTAAAAAGAGGTACATATGTCTCACCATCCCACCTGAATAATGTATTTTTTTACAGACATGTTTCTGCCCGCTAGTCTTTCCCTGTAACTATTGCTTTAGCTGCCTGAATCTCACAACTGTAAGTTTCGCTCGCAGAATTTCGCTTTTAGTAAAGCAGTCATCTTCATCATCATTGAAAGTGAAAGATTTATTGCAAAAGAAGCGGTTTCCAGCTGCTTACTTATACAGTGAGAAACATGTTGGGAAGACAATTACACAAGGAAAGGTGGAGGATTCCATTGAGGTATACTGCTTTAGTGCAGTAAAAGTCATACTGTGACACGATTACTAAGAATAGCATTAAATTGTCTTACTTTGCATGTGGATATGCTATGTGGTAGGCTATTCGAGCAGCTCTACAAAAAATCGACAATGGCTGCAGCATTGAGGATGCCAAAGCTGTTTGTGGACCTGACATTCTGAATCAGATACTTGTCTGGAAGGTATTTTGCAGTTACTTCTTCATCGATGTGAAGGTGTTTATAGTCTTCCTATTAATTTGATTGTTACCTCAAGGTTCTTATTCATTTCCTTAGTATGAGTACTTGTCACCTTGACTTAGCTCTTAGTTGATTTGGTATTGTGATGAGACTTGGAAAGTAGAAACACTGAGTCACGTCACATTGTTTTACTTTAGTCATTCTAACATGGAATGAGCTGAGTTAGACCTGTGAGATTATTTTTTCAAAGCGTTCACTAGCTAATACAGTCGATAAAAGAAAATCAGCAAAATTGGTGGGGTTTTTTCGACCGAGTGATGGGGACCTGAAGTACGAAGAAATCGTCAAACTCGTATCCTAATGACTTACAATTCATCAAATTGTTTTTCGACTCTTTATGCACAAAGGACGGTGATCTTAAATTTGACTATTATAGAGATATCTAAGGGCGTGCGTTTTTTCTGCTCATCATTTTAATTACTGTGTAATGAATGATTATTAATGAAACTTCTATTTGCGACAGAAAGAATTAAGGTTCTACCTTGCACCTTTCCTCCATGGGTTGCCCTTATCAACTTGCGGTGGTCATGTCCGAAAAGTGAGCAAAGTAGAAGAGGTATTTGTCATGAATCCAACTCACTCTTTTGCCTGTTTTAGTTGATGATATTGTCGGAAAACTATTTTTTCCTGGTGAAAATATCAGTTTTGATCACTAACTTTTTTATTCCTATTTCCAGATTTCCAATTTGCAGGCTGTTGAGAGGCTTCATTGGTATGTGCAAAATGGTGACATGGTAAGTAAACATGATTGCAATTGACATCTAGATGATTATTTGATGGTAGGTAGATATCAACATATCCTCCTTGGAAATGCAGATCTGTTTGTCAAATGGGTTTGATCTTGGATCTAGTCCGGAATACCTGTGGACGATTGATTACCTGGCTTGCACAACGAAATACTTTCCAAAATGTTTTCCCATGTTATTGCGTTATATGTTTCATTAACTTATATAAAAAAATTAAACACAGAAGTTTATGAACCAAAAGCCTCAGCTCCGGTGGGGTAAATACATTACAAGGGAAATGTAGCTTGGTTATCTTTGATGGGTGTCTTGCTTCGTTGAAACTTATGTTATAGTTCATTTAGCATTTGAGGAGAATGCGAGGAGGGCAGAGATGGGTACGAAACCATAACTTGGGGTTTGCCTTCAGGGGAGAGAAAAATCCCTCTCAAGCTTTGTCACCAAGTTTAGGGGGTAGACTCTAAGATGTGAGAAATAGACCAAGATGCTCATTGTATACTAGTTCGTCTGGAATGGGTTATTGGGTCTCACAGTCCATATATTTTGACCTATAAAGGTTAACTATGCATGGAGGGCTGCAATCTAGAAGAAACAGTATTCATCAGTTACTATTTTTGTGCTTACCGGAAATTGTGGCGTCCAAAGTCTTATCACGAACGCCATGCTTTTTTCTGTTGTTTGTGTGTTTCTTCCCATCTTCGTTTGACAAAATTCGCCATTTAATTGAGATTTGTTGTCTTTGTTGATGCCTGTCTTTTAATATTATGTCTCTAAATGTGAACTTAGTTATGACATTTTATTTTGTACGATGCGGCTGATTTTGTTGGCTTCGCTTACCAGTCATTTTTTTTTTTATGGCCCCTTCCTACCGATTTGTTCAATTGGTGTCCAAAATACCTCTAGTGACCCTGCCATATGATCTTCTTTACATGAATCAATAAACTTCGAGGTTATGAAATGGTACCAAATCATGCTTGTCCTATTCAAATCTCACCTCCCCCCAACTCCCTCATCATTAAGGCTGACTCCTGGTTTTTTTTTTTTTTTTTTTTTTGGCTTCGGTTAATTTATGGAATGAGGCTAATGAATGAATGGTTGAATGATTAAACAGATCCTTGACTTCGGCTGTGAAGCAAATGATTTTAGCCTCCTCATGAAGAAGAAGCTAGAATCAACTGGGAAGGAGTGTTCATTCCAGAATTATGATATTTTTCCGCCCAAGGTATCTTTGCCATTTTCCATGAACAATTAGGCTTTCTTTGGAACCTATCGGTGATGAAGCTAATTTTTCTTGGCCACCTCTGTTATAAGTTATGTTGGAGGAAGCACACTCGTGGTCAACCTTATGGCTCAGCGATCATTTACTTATGAATATTAATAATTATATCAGTATTTATCATTATCTTGAACCTTGGATTTTATTTTTTTTCTGTGCAGAGCGATTCTAATTTTGAGAGCAGGGACTGGACGACGGTTGAGCCCACGGAGCTACTGCCGGCATCTCAACTGGTACAATGTTCTTCATCTCTGTTGAATCATTTCTTCTTCGACTTACCTCTGAGAGAATAATTCAAATTCTTACCCTGGGTTCAAACAGATAATAGGATTGAATCTTCCGTTTGGAGTCAATTCCGATCTTGCCAACAAGTTCATTGACAAGGCTCTAACATTCAACCCGAAGCTTCTCTTCCTTGTTGCTCCAAAGGAACCGGAGAGGTGCAAGCCTTTGCTGTAAAAATTCTCTCTTTTCGCCTCTCCTTCTCCCAAACTTAATTTATCTATCTTAAAATCTTCCTACCAGGCTAGATACAAAACCAGAAGCATACGATCTGCTTTGGGAGTATGCACAAAAACTTTCAGGGCAGGTATGACACGAGAGCAAAGGGAATCCATTTTCTTCATGCCTATATAGTTCTGTATATTTATGCCCATCTCTAACCTTTGACGTGACCCTCTGTCCCCAGTCCCACCTGCCCGGATCTGTCGATGCATCTGATAATCAGATTGAGGAGTGGAATATGAGGCCGCCCTTTCTTTACCTATGGAGTCGGCCCGATTGGACCTCCAGGCACAGTGCCATAGCCATGAAACGCGGCCACACATTAAATGATCCCAAGAAAGACCATTTAGGAGCTGAGGATGAACCATCGGCTCTTACCTTCCAGCCGCAGGATCACAATCTGGAGGATCGAGCTTCAGAATCCAAGGATGGCGGTGCTCTCCCCGATGCCTGGGCCGACAGCGGCGGTCTCGAGCCTGAGGATAAGAGGAGAGGGGAGCACAAGGGCTCCAGGCCCAGTGACAGAGATAAACCAGGAGAAAAAACTAGGAAGAGATCCCGCAGGACAAAGCTATATAAACGAAATAAGGAACCAGAAGAGAGAAAAAGCAATGGGCCATCACCACATCAAGCTGGCCCTGAAGACCAGCAGGAATGCAATCCTTCCCCTGACCCAATCTCAGAGGGAGCCTCTGGCCTGGGCAACCATCGCAGGCCTTTCGTAGACTCTGGAAGATCACACAGAGGGCTCTGGAGTACTTCCAGTGTTCCCAGAGGAGACATTGAGGCCATCAGACGGAGATATGAGACTCCCAGCGGGAGCGGGAGCTCGAGTTATGAACGGTTCTCTGGGCCCCTCAGGAACAGCCTAGACCCTACAGGGGAACCCCAACCCAGGGTCAACGAGGAGAGTCCAATGCATGGGCACCATGAGTTCATTGACCTCCAAAGGGGCAGCAGGAATAATAACAGTCCACAGGCTACATTTGGTCAACCGGGCTCGTACCCATCACACAGGTATAATGTTCCTGGCCTGCCGGGCCACGTGGTGTCTAGCGGTCTGCCACGAAGACTGGGAGATGGCGGCATGCGAGAGATGCCCGGGTCTCGGCCCCCTCACCTCAATGAGGCAAGCTATCTGCAGGCCCACTATATGCCCGGCACCATGCGGTACAGATTGGGTGGAGAAAATTTACAGGAGATCTCCGAGCATCGGCCGGCTCGACATGCAGAGATGGACTACTTCCATGGCCGCTCGATGGCCGCCGGCACGCAGGCAATGCTCGAGCCTCGGCGGCCTCCGCACGCTGGGCCGGGCTATTTGCCGGATCGGTTCATGTCCAAGGTACCCGAGTCTCGGCCCCATTACCCACATTTCAGAAGATGGTACTCTGGTGGTTGGCCTGACGAGTAGCACATCCTGTGAGTTCCCCTTGTGATTTCTCCACATAATTATATTGTATGTATTATTTACCCATGGTCAGCCACCTTGCTATGGTGTACTCATTTTATTTCAATATTTAAAATATCTCTTCTCTCATGAGCGATATAAACGAAAAATAAGATATATTTTTTCCCCTTCTTTTCTTTTCCCCACCTCCCATTATCTCAAGAACTCCTTAACAGGTTTACAGTGGACGCCCATCGGGACGCAATCTCACGCAGCAGCATCTCCCCTGGAGGGCTTCACACCCGGACCTGATTAGGGTTCTTCCCTCTCTAGCAAAGCTTCTTCCTTCTCTTCCAGCCTCAGAGAATTGAGCCTTCTCAGCCTCTGATCGAGCTCGGCCATCACCGCCGGCTCCTGCTTCCTCCGCTGTCTGGTGATGGCGTTCGTCGTCATCGACCCGATCTTATCAAACGCCACCTGGACGGAATACATGCAAGATCGAGAGCATATATCCAGTCGGGGGATTTGTGTTAAATATTTTATATAAGAATAAACAATAAAAAATCATATATTTAAAATAATACCGTCAGCAGTTCATCGGGATCATAAAGGTGGCGGGTAGACGTCTGCAAGATGTCAATCACATCCCCAATCTGGTGGGCGCCCAACAACCTCTCCTCCTCCATCTGGGAAAATAAAAAATAAAAAATTGAAAGAACATAGCTAATATATATTATTATGGGTCTAGATAAGTGATGGACTAGGATAAGAAGAGGAAATAATTATCCGTGCACCTTAAAGATGGCCAAGGCCACGTGGAACAGAACCTTTGCCCCTTCGTTGAAGAGGACATCCCACACGCGCATAGTTGTCTTTAAAATAATAATAATAAAAATTCCGATAAGGTGCATAAATATTGCATTAATGGGTTCTTATTTAGAGAGAGAGAAAATAAGAAATAAAAAAGAAAATAAAGTTCCCTCAGGACGACCTCTGACGGCAAGCTCTTAGAGAAGAGACACAGGAACCACTCGGTGGCCACCAAGGAGACGTCGAATCCCATTTCATCTAAATGAGCGGCGATCCTGCAGGTTATTTATTTATTTATTTATTTATTTATAGGGTTTTTACTAAAAAATATGGCTGAATTCGGAAGAAAACTCATGAACTGAAACTGATTAAGAATTTTTAATATATCGGTTTCTTTCGAGGAGCAAAAATAGAAAAAAAAAGAGAAAAAAACCTTGGGGATTTCTCGGTGAGGAGACCCTTGAACACTCGCTGCTCCACGTGGCAACCCGAGAGGTTGTCGGTGTAACAATCGTTCACCAAGACGTCCTCCAAGAGAACGGCGAGCATCCAGAAGGCATCCTCCTCCGCCGTCATCACCAGCAGTAACAGGGCGGCCACATAGTTTAGGCCCTGAGTTAATTTAGGATCTGGTTATCTTTTCCATTTTTGTGCACTAAATAAGGAAGATAGAGAGAGAGAGAGAGAGAGAGAGAGAGAGAGAGAGGTGGAGATGATCTCCCCCACCTGGCAATACCCGACATCCGAATCGCGGAAGGAATACGCGACGAGCACGCGTCTCAGAGAGGCTTGGCCTTGTGGAGTGTCGAGCCATGGATGGCCCGGAAAGGTCCTCGGTAGATCCTGCGAAAGCAGGTTATTTTTATCTCTTCGCCAATTATGGAAATGTTTCAGATGACGCAGGAAGAACATGAAGATGATGATGGCCTACGAGGGTCGGTCAAAATTCAGCGAAGAAAGGACGACATATTTCAGATGAAAATCAACGATGGTCGTGAACTTTGATCCTGATTTAGAGAGGCTTTCCCAGAAACTTGGAGAATCCCCACGAAAAGAAGTGTACTCGAAAGGATAAAAAATCCACGATGCCCAGAGAAAATTACTCTTAAATTATTCTTAAATCTTCTTCGAGCAGCAGCAGATTACTTTCATCATCATCTTCTTCTTCGTCGACGTCGTCGTCGTCATCGTCGTTGTCGTCGTCGTTGTCGTCGTCTTCTAGGTGTTGATGCTCAGAGAGGTTTCTCAGAATGCAGAATTAGAAACCCACGATGCCCAGAGAATGTTACTCTCAAATAATTCTTAAATCTTCTTCCCTGCAGCGACAGATTATTTTATTTTCTTGGAGAATTCCTACGAAAAAATAAGGATTGAAAACCCACGATACCCAGAGAAGAAAACTGCCCTTAAAATTCTCCGAAATCTTCCTCGAACAGCTACAGACTATTTTCATCATTACCTTCTAAGGTTTGATGCATGCAACCAGAGGAGGAGGAGGAGGAGGAGGGAGAGAGGACTTACTTGGTCGATCTGTAGGGTGGCGGCGGTGACCTTCTCGTCGATGGCTCTGAGCAGGTCGTCGTAGTAGCTGTCGGGGACGGTGGAGCGCTTCTTCGCCGCGCCAGAGACGGAGAACCAGACCTTCGGCCGCAGCGCCGGCGGGACGCCCTTCCTCACGAGCTTCTTCCTCACGTCGCCGTCGCCGGCAGCAGCGCCGCCGAGGAGAGAGAAACGAAGGGAGGAGAGGCCCTCACCACCGCCGGCAGAGAGGGAAGAGATCCAATTGGGTCCTTTGCTGGCCTCCATTGCCCACCAGACCTTCCCCTGCCGCTTCACCCGCTCTCTAACCTCGTTCAGCACATTGACGTCCTCGAGGCTCCCCTCCACGGCGAACCCGTACAGGTCCTGGAACTTCACAGAGAAGCTCGCCGCCGGCGACATGGCGGCCTTCGAGCAGTGCCTCTGCATGCCGAACCCATCGCCGCCGGAGCTGTCCCTCCTCCTCACCAGCATCCTCCCTCCCTCTCTCTCTCTCTCTCTCTCTCTCTCTTCTGTACGAACCCTGGATTGACCCGGCGTGGCCTCTGTGCAGGAGGGGAGGGAGGTTGACGAAGAGGGTTGACTTCGTGGTGGGTTTCGAGATCTGGTGCTAGTCGGGCTTTAATAATGCGGAGTCGTAGGAGGGTCTGGGAAAATGTGGATTGGCTTTATCAACCCTTATCACTCGTCTGGGTGGTGTAGTCGGTTATCACGCTAGTCTCACACACTAGAGGTCCCCGGTTCGAACCCGGGCTCAGACAAATGAAGATCGTATCCTATCTAATCATTTTATTTTTATTTTGATGAGTAACAATTCTATTGCATGCTTGCTACTCTATAGCAAGCACACTTCTTTCTCCATCATTATGAGAAAGAGAGAGAGGCCCTCATCTTTCTTTCAAAATTAACTTTGAGACCCAAAAAATTGATAATTGGGCCTCGGGGAGGATGTGGGGGCATGAAGCTAAGACTAAAATTAAATAAAAATTAATCGATAGGTGATTTAGTGTCGCTATGAGTCCTCTCATATGCAGTCTCCACTTAGCCTAAGAGCCAACCCGGCATCACATCAAAAACCCTCTCCAACTTCATACAAAGACTTGTGCTTTCACAACGAGCCCGCGCTCGGGAGGATTCTCATGGAGTTGCAGGCACAGGGTCCTCCTTGGATATGGCCACATAGTTGGCAGGCGCTGAGAGCCGGCTTCCATTCTCTCTCTTCCCATCCTTGCTAGAGGACCGCGGCCCGCCACCGTTCTGGAGAGAGAGTTTCCTATTTGGGGTCCCATTTGACCCACCGTTGACCCTCGGGCCCATCACCTTCTTCGGCCCGAGCGGGCGGCCCGGGCTCGGGCTCGGCCGCGAGCCAAAGATGGCCTCTTGCTCGGTGTTGAGCTGCTCGTTGTACTTCTTCTGATCCTGGAAAATGAGGGAAAATGGGCGGTTACCCAAGAGAGCAGCAAGTTAGAAGCCAAAGTCTGGTGCCGGCGATGATGTTCCCTGGGGATTAGCTGCAGCAATTCGGAGAAAAATAGTGATTACCCTCAATCTCCTCTTCTCTTCTTCTCTGTCCTGCCTGAGCATATTATATTCGTCAAGCATGGCTACAAGAGGAACACCATCATAGATAAATGCCATCCCACGGTCCTCCTCCCAGGCCCGAGTCTTAGCCATCAGATTCTCCACAAGAGCTGCAAGCAAGAGAGAGAGAGAGGGAGAGACAGAGGTAGAGAGAGATAGATAGAGAGAGAGAGAGAGACAAACAGACAGAGGTAGAGAGAGAGAGATAGAGAGAGAGAGACAGAGGTAGAGAGAGATATATATATATAGAGAGAGAGAGAGGTAGAGAGAGATAGATAGGGAGAGAAAGAGATAGATGGAGACAGAGATAGAGAGAGAAAGAGAGAGATAGAGAGAGATTAATTAGTCAGAGTCACCAGGTAGACATTGTATTACTTACTGTAAGCGTTGTCACAGGAATATTTGCTAGATTGGGTTTTCTTTATTTTCTGTCAAGAAAGCCCAAAAAAAATATACGAGTGTTTGAAGAATATATCCTTGAGAAATTATCGTGAGTTTCAAGAATACCTGGGATTTTGTTCACTAGCACGCGGGCTTTCTCTGCACGTTTAAGATTTAAGTGAGCACCTCTGCTTGCACTGTATCTGTTCTCGTCCTGCCCAAATCAACACCAAAAACCTTTGGAGTCAACCACGTGAGGTTTGAAGACACAAAACACTAGAACAGACCCTAATGGCACTCTTCCCTTTTTCGGAAGACCAATGAGTCAACTCTAACTGCTGTTTAAGAGATAAGTCAACCCTGAGAGCATGGTAGCAATTTATCACCCACCCTATTGTAATCTTCGAGCCAGCTTTCCTCTTCGCACGCCGACATCCATCTGTCAACCTTCTCCAGTATCTCTTTCCTGCCAAAAGCTTCCTCCTTGGCTTTTAAGATTTGGTTGTCCATGTCAGCAAGTAGTTCAGTAGGTTCGATATTCCCTGAATTAATAATGGACATTATCTTCTCCTGGGCGGCAGCCGAGTCAATTTCTATGTGGGCCCGGGCATATATGTCTTCAAGTTCAGCCTGCCTCTTCAAGGCAATCTCCTTCATCTTGCTGGCCTTGAGCTGATCGAGCCTCTCGACTTCGATTTCAGCCTTTAAAAATAAATAAATAAATAAATACATTAAATTAAATTAATGCCGGGTTAAAAAAATCAACAAAATTACGGATAATCATTTAATAGAAAGATCTAGATGAAATGGGAATAGTATAATCCTAACCTGCTCTAGGAGATCAAGAGCGAGAGCTCCAGGAGTGGTAACCTCGTCGACTCCCGCTGAGATGTTACAGGTGATGTGACTGAACAGGCTCCGTTCATCCTCTGGAGTATCCATAAGGTTCCAGAGATCGATCAGCTGGGCTGACAAGACTTGAAGCTAAACGAGTTCCAGGCACCAAGGATCATGATTAATTAATCAAAGGAACTCGAAATTAAGTCGCCATAAAAACAATCACAAGTATCTATTATGCGCTGGAAAGATCATCAGTGATCAGAAGTTCCACTGGTTCATCTTTCTTCTTGCTTTGTCAGACAGATTTAAACCGAATGACACACAGATTTGAGATAAAAGACGTGGATATTAAGAGTTCACAACGACACAGGTTTATCAGATAAAGAGAACCCATTCGAATTGACACACCATTCAAGGGCACCAAACTCAAAAACTTCGAATTCTTGAAGAATATCGAGGCAAATTCAAGCCGTTGGAAATCGCTAATCAATAACCCAGAACGGGTACGAAGACCTTTTTGTCTTAAGGAAACAAAAAGTGCGGTCAAACCATAAGATTACCAGAAAGCTAACAATTGCTTAGTCTTGTCTTAATGTCTGTGGGGCGAAGGAATGAGTAAGAAGGGCCACCTTTTGTAGTCTCGACGTTTTGTCTTCTCTTAGAGAGAGAACCATCCTAGCGAGCTTGGACAAAGTATCATCACTGATGCTCTTTGATCGCACACCGACGGAGTCAGTTAAGCTAGGGTGCACCTCGGACACAGTGCTGAAGAAATCCATCCCCAAGACGGCACATAGATCGTGTATCACACTCACAAAGTCGAGAACCTTGTGGAGTCTGTCACTCTGGCAAGTAGGAAAATCCAGCATGGAAAAGAGATTATGTTTAGGGGAAATCCGTACTTTAGTGACTCCAAGACCACCATTAAATATATTATTTTTTAAAAAATAATATAGAAAAAAAGGAGGTGGAACCTTCTCTTTCTGAAGCTCTCTAAGTTGAGATTGGAATTGATCCAACTTCTTCAAAGACAGGTCACTCTCGTCAACTGTCAACGCTCCCACTTGCTTCCCGGGCTTCGAGCTCCCAGAGATCTCCCCGTATATTCTCTGAATCTGAGACTGAACGTCAGCAAAGTCCTTAACCCTGTCCTCCTTCAGTTTCTTTAGTTGTTCTAGGACGGGAGTTATTGCCGCAAGCTGCTCTTTGATTGTTCCAGATGACTTCTCAAACTGCAAAACGCCCAAGAAATAAATGCGTAAAAAATTATTATGATTCCAAATAAAAATTACAAATTCATCAAATAGTCCTTGCGAAAATATCGTTAAATTATCGATGAGTGAGTCTGATTATGGAGGAAATCACCACAGAAATGTTATGATCTCAGCGAAGATTTAAAAATATAAATGGGGATAAACATCTTCTCAATAGGAATCACTTGGGCTCATGATGGACGTTATGTTGAGAGTATTTACCGTGCTAAAGTTGTTATTATCTCCAAGGGAAGAATAAAGGTTGACCAGCTTTGACTGAGAATCAGCGAGGGACTGCAGGAGATGCGCCCTGTTCTTCGTGGCCTGGTCAACTTTCCTCTTGTAGACGTCCAAACAATCCTGCTCCAATTGCAGCAACATCCTATCACGCTCCTCGTCGCTCTCTCCCACATCATCCCATATTTTCTGATAAAAATACAAAAAAAAGCTCATTTAACATTTATTATACTGGGAACACGGAGAATGATGATCATTCAAGTTCTATGCACATCGCAGCACCTGAAGCTGGTGGAGGAGAGATCCACAAGAGGTTTCACTGAAGATTTGACTTTCCGAAGTAGCCACAGCCATAGCAGCTCAACAAGGGCCTGAGGAAGCATCTCAAAGAGTAAGTTACGAAAAATCCATTTGCATGAGAAGAAGCATTCAAGAACAAATCCTCATATGATTACTCTGAAATCCTGCAAGGGTCGCCTCAATCTAGCATAGACAGCAGCTGGCTGCGCCTTTGAGCTTGAACTGAGGGGATCAGGCTAACCGTGGGCTGCAATAACGTAAAAAATATCATGTAAAGGACTGATTAAATATGAGACCAAGCATGAAACTTTATTCCTCGGAGAAATCTTAAACTATTTAAGAAGATGAACCCACAGACCCAATCGCATCTATGTCTCATTTTAAACTGAAAAATGTCGAAATACGTATTAATGTACGGAGGATATATAGGCTCATTAAGTTTTCACGGTGACTTGAATGCCAATACGAGCAGGAGGTTGAACAAATTCAGCGAGGGGCGGCGGGTTGCGAGAGATATGCTGACGTACCGGGCAACTCCCAAAATGAGGACCTTTAGACCACGGAAATCCAACGTCAAGGAGCCGAGGAGAAGTTCTACACCATGATGTGAAGTAAGACGATGCCTATGAAGTCCAGGAAACTCGGAAGGCCCCGAGCAGAGATCCTCACTGAGAGGCCGCCCAATCTACAGACGGCGACAGCCCCCCCAAAAGCAGTGGAAAAGCCACTCTGTGTCTGGACTAGAGAGCTGAGATCACACTTGCTTCTTCACTCGATCACACCCAAATCCCCAAGGAACGAGAAAGGAGAAAAGGCCGAATAAAAAAGGAAATAAGAGCACTACCAACCGGATCACGCGGCGCTGGGAGCTGCCAGCCCTCTGAGAGCGTTCGCAATCTTCTTCCACAGAAGATCCGGAAGGACTCTCCCCTCCTCCGTCCTCTACGCTGTCTGAGCAGAGCCGAGAGCTACCCACTGCGCCACAGAGAGAGAGAGAGAGAGAGTGAGTGTCCTGCGCGAGTGTTCTTGGAGAGGGAGGGGGGGGGGGACGAGGGGATAGAGAAAATGAAAAATAATGAGGGAAAATGAGGAAATGGGCCCCACGGTTAGAAACGGATGGCGAGACAAAAAAAATTCCCCCTTTTGACCCCCTTTAAATAGGACTCCCATATATATCAACATAGTTTTTTTACAAGCCGGGGGCCTTTCGAAAGGAGGGCCAGAGCCCACAAGTCTCATTTCACACGGAAAAAACCAACATTTCAGAAATATTTTACATGCGTATTTAAATCTATATGTTTACATTTTATTTATTAACTATGAAATAGCTATTTACGGTAAGATTAAAAATATTAGTATGTTTAAATAAAAGAACCCTTTGAAAATGGTCCTTCCCGCCCCCTCGCTTTGAAGAGCCTCCCGCGATAGCCGGCGGCTGCAACGCTGTGGGTCCCACTTCTTCGGGTTTGTCCTTCCCGGTCTTTTGCTGGTCCCGAGGCAAATCCGCTCACCGCCTTACGCTCACCGATCGGGTTGACGAATTAACTCCGCTGCGCCGCCTTGATCGGGTACAGGGAGGGAAGAAATCGCCGTCTTGATCGTCCCTCCGCTGCGCCGCTTAGGCGGCGGGAGCGGTGACGTCACCGGTTCGGTCAAAGATCTCCTAAGCTGACCGACAGTAGAAGTTATTGTCTGTGCACCGGGCGTCTTTTTCGCCACCTGCCAGCGCATCGCCTGCGCCCAGTGGGCCCCGCGCGCACATGGGAAGTCACGTGTCGACAAGGCACGCCGGCTAGTACGACGAGCTCTACCCGCTCCGTTGCCGTTAGATGCCGATCCAAACGGATTCGAAATGATCCCACGTTCTGGATCTCTCATCTGACAGCTGGCGGGTTTGGACAAGCCTCCCCCATTGGACCTCTATATCTCCTTTAGGTGTCAGATGGGCCCCCATAATCTTATCGGGCCATTCACCTTTTTGGGCTAAGATGGACCGGGCATATAAAACTCCAGCTTGACACCATACAACACAGACCATTCATCATTGTACATCAAACCATCCACAGTAACTACAGATTATAGTCCCCACTTAGCTCGATCGAGCGAATTAATGCGAATTAAATTACAGTCTCACCTCCAACGTTGACTTGGCGAGCCAGAGCAGGCCTGGGTCGTTCCTCTTCAAGACGATGAACGCCTCCTCGGCCACAACGTCCTCGCAGAAGCCCACCACCGCCAGGATCTCCATTGCAGCTGCCCCCATCCAAACCCAGAGATTATTATTAATTTAACTATTCACTAGCCTCATTACTATGATCATTATTATTAGAGAGATAATGATGATGATGATTCACGGGAGGAAATGCGCTGACCCTGGTAGCTGGCGACGTGGCGTTGGATCAGCGGATTGGCCTGAGAGAGCATTCCCCCCAGAGGATTCAGTAAAAGGAAACAAAGATTCAATCTGGCTTCTGAATTGGGAAAAGATAGGGGGAGTAGTACCTTCCGCAGCCGTCTGAATTTTGCCTCTTCGGGATGATCGATAACGTTCCTAGAGGAGCACGCAGAAAGCCCGTCAGAGCCAATTGATTGTGTCTCTCTCTCTCATTCTCTCTTCATTGAGGGTGGGGGATCTGACCTGATGATCTTGAGGAGGGTGTCGAGAGATGAGACGGCCTCGGAGGGTGGCGCCTCGGATCGCAGCGCCTCGAAGGCCTTCTGGAGACGTCTGCACATCGCCGCAGCGGGCTCTTCAAGCTCCCCAAAGGGAGAACTTCCTTCCGTTTCTGTTTCTGGGCCAGCAGCGCCGCCATTTCCAAATACGGAATCGTCCGGGTCTGGCTCGGTCATGGCCCGGTCGGGACCATCGTCGGGGTCGGGCTCGAGGAATTCTCCGCCAGCTGAGCCGCCATTTCCAAACCCGGAATCGTCCGGGTCGGGCTCGGCCACGGCCCGGTCCAGACCATCGTCGGGATCGGGCTCGAGGAATCCTCCGCCGGCGTCGCCGCCATTTCCAAATAGGGAATCGTCCGGGTCTGGCTCGGTCATGGCCCGGTCCGGACCATCGTCGGGATCGGGCTCGAGGAATCCTCCGCCGGCGGCGCCGTCATTTCCAAACCCGGAATCGTCCGGGTCGGGCTCGGCTACGGCCCGGTCTGAACCATCGTCGGGATCGGGCTCGAGGAGTTCTCCTCCGGCAGCCGGGCCTGGTTCGACCGCCGCGTCGGAGATTCTTTCCGATCCGTCAGCGGCGGCGCTGAGGAGCCGGCCGAGGGCGGCGGCAACGGAAGATGCCCGGGGATCGACTGGTGGCCCCAGGTAGCTGCCCCCGAGCTTCTGGGAGCTCCTTTGATGGGTTGACCCAGAAGGGACCACATCTTCGAAACTCTCTCTGACTCTGTGCCCGGTCAACGTGCGGCTTCCAGACCTTGTCCAGTCCATCCGAGCCGCCTCCTCCTTCAGCTGCATTGAATGAAACTTTCTAATTCAGGAAGAAGAAAGAAGAAGAAGATGATGATGATGATGGTGATGGTGATATCTGAAGTGCTGTACCTGTTTATCGAGGGCGTAGAAGTCAGCGTCATGTTCGGAGTGCACCATATGAGCCTGAGATGGAGGAAGGTGAGTCCCTTTTTTAATGATAGTTCGGGAAAGGTTTCTACTGGATTAGTGCTTGGAGCATTCGAACTTACAAGTTCGTGAAAGAGAGTATTTTTAATGCTCTCATACTTCCTGAACCCCTTGAGGTCGTCGGTTCGAAGGCGGAGAGATATCTCCTCCCCACGGTTCTGCAAAAGGATTGTAAGTAGTCAAATGAGCATCTGGATTCCCACAACCCCACCATCGGTTTCTTATTTGGTCACCTACCTTGTTGAACCCAAGGAGACACTTTGGGCTGACGCCCACGTAGCCCACAGGCGCCATTTCTGTCATGATCCCCACGCGCCAACGATGCTGAGGGAAAGGGGAAAATTAAAAATTAAAAAATCCACGTGTCAGCAGCAGGAAGGCAGAAAATCTGAGAAAATCTGAGGAATGTACCTTGTTCATGATGGCAATGATTCCGGGATCACAGGCGAGCATGTGCATTCTTCTCAATGCTTCAGAAGGCGGCGGGTTTAGCTGCAAGTAGAAAATGGGGGTTTAAGAGGTAAAAGACTAACCATTTCGGGTAAAGTGAGAAGTAAAAGACGGAGTGGAGAGCAGACCTCGATCCCTGGTATGGTCAGCGTACGGAAATCACAGAAAATGTAGGGCCCTTGTGGGAGTTTTAGGGAGGATTGGGGTGCGGTCAGCAATCGCCGCCTCAGCCTTTCTTCTTCTTCGTCAAAGCCCCGGATTCTCGAATCTGAGTTTGAGCTATTTTTAGAAACTTCCTCGATTTCGTATTCGAACACCCCCATCATTCTAATGGGCTTCCCCTGCCATTGAAAACAGACAAACAATGAAACTCGATATTCTGCAGGAGGCAGCTAGGTGCATGAACTTTAATATACTACCAAAATAGTCCCAACCCATAGTCAACGGCCCAAAAACGTCCACTTTGTAGTTGCATACAGATGCCAAAGAAAAAGGTCAAAAAATTAAATGCAATTTTGTCTCCGTTGCGAGCCACACTGTAGATAGGCATGTTGACCATTAGGTAAGTCAACCTCTGGGCCTCTATCCAGATCACGAGGACTAAACTTCTTCCAGATCGTACTATTTCCTACGGAATAAAAAATAACCGAGGATTTTGGTTTACGTAGTTTTTAATGGAAAAACAAGTTTCTAAGTTGGAATGTCATGACAAATGCTGCTGCTTACACAACAAGAAATATTTTCATATAGATGTCAGCCTATTTTTTATTGTGTTTCAACAAATCGATGGCTAATATTAACCGGGAAAAAATATTACGACTTCCTGAATCAAACTTGCTCTTTTCCCTCATCCTGTGAACCCTTTCTATGTCTATGAAAGACGCTGAGTTTTGCTCATTGGTGCCTAGGCCTCTCAATACGAAATGAACTTCTCCACCCTCTAACTGGTCTTCAATGGAACTCTGGAAGATTTCCTTTGGTCTAAGTAGGAACCTATCACCACCACAGAAAATTGACCTCTGGTTGCTAGTTTATTGGAGTCTGCATTAGAGCAACAACTGACCAGCGGCGAAACCGTGGAAGCAATGTCAAAAACGTCTTTCCATAAAATATTTAGCTTTAGACTCGGAGCAAAAAAGGGATGAAATATTCCAAGCGAAGGGTAATAAAATAATCCCTGAAAATAGGGTGTCTTAGAATTCCCTCATTTGCGTACTTGGCACGTAATTTACTAAATCACAACGGTTGTTCCAACAAGCAGCTTGGTTATTCCAACAAGTTGCAGCACACTAGGGTAGAAACTCAAACATAGGATCACTCAGTATGTGGCCATAGAAAAGTGTTTCAGAGTATTATGGACTGGATTTCCAGGACCTGAAAATTAAAAAATAAAGAAATTAAACGTCACAGAAAATCAACAGTTTCTTCCAGAGAGCAGCATCCGCCTGCTTGTTGTGTCATACCCCAGACTGTTCATTTCTTACAGCCAGAAGGCCATACATTATGGGTAACTCTTCTTACTCAAATGCTTCAACTATTCTATCTCCACAGACCTCCACCCACGGTGACTACGGTATCTCGTTTGGAGCAGCAAAGTTTATTTCATACTAGTATTTATATAAGGCTCGACACCATCACCTATGTGATCTAAAGAATTAATATAAGGTTCAATTTGACCCATGATAATTAGTAATCAGAAATTATTTTTGGTGATATCTATATATTTCACGAAAAACCTCCGAGTGCCCAAGACATGCTGACATTCGAGAGAAAACATATCGCAAAATAAGTACTTTCAAGCATCATATTTCCGTCCATGTTCAAGAAGGCAGGTAACAAAATGGCAATGGTTCCAGGGAAGGCTTCCTCTTATGCAATCCATCTAGTAAAAAAACTCGTACTATCTCATAACACTGGATAAATAATATATTACTCCATGAGCAAAACTTTTCTAAAGTGAAATGTAAAGAAAAGCAAGCAACGCTGGATAGCAAAGTATGAAAAGTACCTTGAGAACCGAAATTTCCTCCAATCTTAAACTTGAGTGTTCCTCTGAAAAAGGAATAACGAGCTTGGAACCCCTAGTGGCAGATTGTGGAACAAGCAACCGCATGGTATCAGCTTTGATTTTTGTTAAATTTTGTAGTTTCTGTCCAAGCTCTCTGACAGAAGACCTTTCATCCATCTCCACTTTCATGTGTTTGTCTCTCCAAATGACGGATACAGTGATAATGCTCTCACTTTCCATCTTCCAAAAATAAGGCGAATCAAACTGCATAGAAAATTTTCAATGTGTTCGAACAGGGATCATAATTCACCTCAGACATGAAATTATCCATATGTCACAAACCACAAAAGTTAACATTCCCCCAAAGTTTAAATATCATCTATTTCAACACAAAAAAAAAATTCAAACTTAATGGTGAGACTTTCGTTATATTTCCATTGAACTGGTAGATGGCAAAGCAATAGGAACCATTTAATCTTTTTTCCGTCATTTTGGTTCCAGTTAGCACGTAGCTCAGTGTTAAATAAATAAAAATTTGATCCAAGTATGGAGTGACCGGTCACGGAGGAACACGACAGAAAACATCGAAGAGCAGAGAAGAAATAGCGGACAACAATAAATAGAAATTAGTATCTGCATTCCCAAGTATTTTCAGACCAAGCATCCTCTCATCAGCGGGTAACAATAAATAGCAATAACCAGGTTCATAATCCGACAAAGAATCGTCGAAAAATAGCGCCAAACACAGCTAAATACCTCCTTACGAACGGGGGGACATTAATTCTACCACGTAAAAACCGTAAAGAGGAAGAGAGGATCAGCAACAGAGACGGGAAGGAAACAAAAGGAGAACGGAACAAGAGAAGAAAGACCGAAAATCTAGGATGCTACTTCTGAGCCCGGAAGAAGATCTCACGATGGCAGGAGATGCAACGATGGAGAATTCCCCTCCGAGATCGAAACCCCCTCGTTCAAAGGGGAAGATAGGAGGATCTGCAGAGTTGACGAGCGGACTAAACGATCACACGTTTCTCTGCCCTCTGGTTATTAAAAGAAAATGCTTCCAGTCACCGCCAATCGCCACCCAAAAGTCTAAAACCGACGGATCTCTATCTCCAAAACGTAACCAGAGAGTAAGCTCACCACCATGCCCGCTCACCTCCCCCTTTCACCCATTCTTGCGAAAGAAGAAAAACGAAGAATCTTCGAGAAACCACCCTTCACGAATGACGTAACCATTTAATCAACCTTAAACTGGTTTACACTAAATAATTTATTATATTCTTCCCCACGTTTAAATTAACTTGTTTAATTATTAAAGCCACGTAATGGGAACTTATCAGGTCAGGTGGTCTACGTCTAACATTCAACATGGGCCACAGTTCAGAAGCCCATACTCCAAATTGGGCTGGGCTGGGTGCTAGCCACGTGGTCCTTTGACACGCTATGCACCAGAGATTGCCACGTGGCAGTGTTTCACACCGGCCACAATTGTGGGCCACCTCTTATCATTTGGTTCTATTTATTCTCTCTGTCATAGCAAAGTGTCTACTTTATGCTCATCCTCCTCCAAGATCGAGCTCATTGCTCCTTTGTCCTCAATTTTAGGAGAGATTATTACTTCACTTTCCACGGAGCTGATAAAAGGTATAGATTACCCTACCAAGCACTCATCTATCTTGATATTGAGATATAATATATTTTCGGTGGTGACGAGGGTTCCAATTATCTAATTCTTCATTCCATTGATAATGGAGTGGACAATCTTGAAGATCTGTATTGAAGTGTTAGCCACAATACCCATCTATGTGAGAGATGATCCTAGACAACCCAGAATAATATTGACTATGCCCAGAAGACCTAACAAATAACCCAAAAGATCCTGCACACAGTTTGGAAGCACAATCAAGGGAGCCATGAACTAGGGTCTTGAGTGGCTAAGGATCCATGCATAGCACATGTGCGTCATTTCCCTTCTATGTCATCGGGGCCAATCATGCATGGGACAAGGAGTGGTACACACGTATGTGGGGGCAGACCCCACTTGACTTAGCCCTCTCCCTAGGTGGTCATGATCATTTTATTTTCAGGAGAGGAAGTATGAAGACAAAAAGAGGTATTGATATTATATATGTATATATATATGAAATAACAAGAAATAACTGATGTGAGACCAAACCCATGCCAATGCTCATTGGAGTTGTTTAAATATTTTTAATATAAAAAATATCCTTACATTATAAGAAGTAAATAATCCCAAAATGTCACTGAGTTAAAGATGTATGGATAATTTGTTAGCCCTCTCTCACATGGTCAACAACTAGCAAAAGTTCAAATCCTACCAAGGCCACAATATATGCTTTTTATCTGATTAAATCATAATTTTTCTAGAGAATGTTAGTTAATGATCAAATCACTGAAATCACTTGATTATCAACATAATTTCATTAATGTGATTCGTAGAGCATCATTATTAACTGACAAAATATTATGTATAAAAAGATCACTAATTTATCAAAGAAATCCTCTCCAGTTGATCAACAAACATGTCATCGTTGAAAAATATGTGATCCATTGAAAAGCATTGACATTTATACAAAGCATACCAAATGTGATACAAGCCTCCTCTTGTTACACAAACATGAGGATGAAGCTCCTTGAGATATGGCCTACCTCCATATAACTCATCTTTGTTAAGCGACAATTGTTGAGGATCTAAACATCATCAAACTTTCACTTCAACAGGTGACAACTACCAAAGATGTTTCATCAACCCATCTCATAAATTTTTAACCTTTACAAGAAGATCTAGAAATTTTTCACGTCATCTATGTTAAAAAAAAACCTTTGGGGCCATAGACAATGCTCAAAATTCTAGTGATTACGGTTGCAACACCATAACTATATTTTACTTATTGAAAACTTGATTAGTTATTAATTAATGTCAAAATATATGATGTTAAATTTCAAAATTATTTTTTAGTCAATTATGATTTTTTTAACTTTTATGTATCTTAATTTGATCAGTTAAATTATATGTAATAGTTTACATAATAATTGCAAGATGGAACTCTATTTCAATGCAAATCGTTGTCAGGGGGCTGATGTCAATACTTAAATTTACCTTTTTTGTGAATTTTTAAATATATTTTCTCTTCAATATTTTATCTAAAAATTATAAAAATTTCTATTCTTTGAAGAAAAAAATTATCTTATATCATATCGTTTGATCGACATATAATTTTTTTACTATTTTGAAAAAATATTTTATCAAAATATAATTTTATATTTATTTTATATTTATATATTTTAAAATTAGATGATTTATTATATAATAATTAATTCACATTGTCATGGAGGATAACTCATTTAAGTAGGAGTCAGTAGTGTTCAACTTAGACAAGGATGACATCAAGTGGTGAAATATAAAAATGGTTGAGAGATGAGTAGAAAAATTACATAATCTATGAGAAGATAATTAGAGAGTGACTTTTAGAGTTGGCTCTCTTAAAAGGTCATTTGAGGGCCCTACTAGTTATCTCATTCCCCTTATATTTTTTGTTTTGATTTCTTATTTTCTCTTACCTCACTCCAACACGTAAGTTGCAAGGCTTTAATGTTATTTTATTTATGTAGTCTTAATCAATTATAATCATATTCATTTTATAATCTCTCTCTTAGTCTTTTGAAACATTTAGGCACTCATCATATTAGTATCAAAGCTCTTTTTGATCCAAATGAGCCATAAGCCAAATGATCTTAAGTGAGAGAGCTTGGAGAAGAAACTAAAAAAAGTACAACACATCATTATCAAAGATTAGGTAGAAATGTTATGAGAGTTGAAAAATAGTCAAACATAACTCTAACATCAATTCATAGCACTCACTCAAGTCTTTGATGATCTTCATTGATAAATAAACCCTCTCTACAGTTAACTTGATAACGAGAAAAAATAAATCTCAATCTATTTAAAGAGTTGGTCACAAGATAGTTTTATTTTGAACTATTCAACCTTGGACCAAGAGATAGATAACAATGATAGTATGTGACATCACAATGATAGTTTGCGAACCACTATCTCTTTCAATTGTCATCGACTGTCCCATCAACATGGCATCAATTGCCACTAGTTGTCATCAGAAAAGTTACTTTGAAAGACACTAAAATTATCATTGCTCAACATGAAGGATCTAGAATAATTGTTATTATGAGTGGAGATATATTTCTCAATTTATTGCCTTAAAATTCTAGAGTGATTATTAGAAGTTAACTTCAACTTGGATGAACAATCAATACACTAATTCTAATAGGTAGATAAAAGGAGGCCATTTAGAAGTTAGGAAGAACTAAAATGTGAAATTCTAATATATTTCATGTCCAAATAATCTAGAATTATGTGTCAATAATTTATCAAGGTCACACAAATAAACATAGTAAAATATTATAGAGAAAATTTTGAGTTACTAATTGAAGTGATGTTACATGTTCTTAAAGAAATATTAGAAGGGATCTTAAAGAAGCTTTGCAATGACATCAAAATGATAGCATATGCATTTAATCTCACTAGACTATAAGAAATTATGTTGACTACATAAAGAGTCAAACTAAAGATCGACACATTTTTGGAGTTGAGGTCACAAGACAAACTCATTCCACAAGATCAATTAAATTTTAGAGTTCTACATTACAATACAAGGAGTCAAAGAGTTTTGAAGGTCAATACTTTCTACATTATAATACAATATCTCGTATAGCTTTAATACTTTTTTTCAATTAGAATGAATAAACATAAGAAAGAAAAATTAACTTTATTATGACCAAGATGTAAGCATGTCAAGCCCAAATATTGTGTTTTTTTTTTACTACAACATACTTTCTCTAAGACTAAATGTCACCGAGAGTTACATATATTATTCACTCCAATTAACTCAAATTTGTTAAGATATAAAAAAATCACCTTGACACTCAAAACGGAAAAGCAACCTTGCATAATTTGGACATCTTCTTAAATTTCTTATTAAATAGGACACATACTCAAGGTGTTAAATTTCAAGAATAAGTCAATTGCAGCCATATCACTATCCTCGTCAATAATGGAGCCACAAATAGCTTAATTAGTTATCATCTCATTAAGAAGCTTGGTATTCTGGTGTTAATGACTTCAAATTATTAAGTTACTATAGAAATCAGAGGAATACTTAGATCATGGATATGTAGAGGAATCACTACTAATCGATATGGAATATCTATCTATGAAGACTTATTAATCTTATCACATGCCACAGTCTATATCATTCTTAAACTTTAGTAGACAAAGTAATGAAAAAGATCAAACTTGACCTTGAAAGTAGAAATCTATCATTCTTAACATAATAAAAAAGGTGGCCCTAAAAGTAATATCTTTAAAAAACCAAAACTCCATCTCTTATAAAGCTCTAATTGGATGTTTAAAAAAAAAAATGTTTAGTACGAATTGTTCTAACTTTCGAATCATTTGAAGAACATAATTTTGACCCCCTTATGATTAAATTTTTTAGACGTTTTATAATGTCATGGACCTTTTCTCTTAGTTTGTCAACATACGACTACTTAGAGAATGAATTAAAAAGACAAATGTATGGCATATTTTATTTAAAGAATATCCAAAAACTCATTTTAGAGTCCAACCTTATTTGTTTAGAAAAAGCTCTTGACATTTTTATATAAGTTATTGTGCCCTCAATATGGTGACAATTGAATAAAGTACAATTTTTTTCCAAAGTTACATATTTAATTTGAGTCTTATTAGATTTGAATCAATATTGATGATATTCTATAAATAGTTTTCTGAACTCATGAAAAATATTATGAGTTTTCGTAATGCCCATATAACATTTCAAGTGGTAACGAATTAAGATTTTCATAAACTATTTTGTACGTTTTCTTGATAATATTATTTAACAATACTTTACTTGACAATAAAACTACATAAGATTATAAGGATTACATTACCCAAATTTTCTAACTCTTCTAAGAAAATCAATTACAAACCACTCCTAATAAATGATCATTTATGCAAATTTAAATCACATATCTTTGACATTATATCTTAGTAAAAAGAGTCTCCATTGATCTATAAAAAGTTATTATAGTATTACGATGACCTTCTTTGACCACACTTTGAAAACTTTGTGGACTTTTCGATCTCACAAGTTATTACAAATAATTCATAACCATGTACAAAATTAAGGCATAAGTGTTAACTCAACATCTCTAAAAAAAAATTCATTCAAACAGGATAACAAAAGTAGATTTTTTTTTTATGAACTTAAGTTAATTGACTATTATCCTAATACTCTCACTTGTTGATTTTTCTTTACCTTTTGAATTGAAAGTAGACATTTATGGACCTGATGTGGGTGTTGTTTTAATGTAGTGATGAAAAATTATCTCATGCTTTAGTCAAGTTTTATTTGCTAACAAAAATCTCTAGTAAGAATGTGAGAGAGAGTTTATGATCATTATTTTGATTACGTTAAAATAAAGACATTAATTGAGACAAAGATTCAACGATTTCACTTTAAAATATATTTAGGGCAACAATAGGTGGTACCAAAATATTAAAAGTTACTCTCAAAGATCCTCAACTTCAATTTTGAAATCATATTTAAGATGTGATCACAAAATACAATTGTCAATGTTCTATCACGAGCACCCGATTGTGTATGGTTTTAAGTCATAGAATTATCTCACCCTAAATTATTAGATATGAATCATATTTTTCTAGAAACTCGAGTAGATCCACAGCTACGACAAATCAGAGACAAACTTCTACAACACCTCAAAAATTAGTTAAATTACTTGATCCAATTAAGACAACTATTAAAGGTATGACAAACTCTTAGAATTTGACATTCATCTTGAATCTCTTCAAAGGATTTAAGATTAAGTAATCCAAAGACATTCAAGTTGTTATGCACCTATATGAGAATTACTAGAAAATATTTTATAGATTAGAATGAAAAATTGTGTAAGAAAATATGTAACTATTAGTAAAATATATTAGCCAAATAAAAGAGATTTTGGCTAATCTAACAATCAATTTTACCAAATTATTGACAAATTCAAGAAGATAATCTTAGTTATGGTGGATCATTTGAGTAAGTATGCCTACTTCTTTTTTGTCATCCCTATTCAATACACAATATTGCACACATTTTTATTCGAGATATTATTTGACATCACATGATTTTAAAATCTCTTAGCACTAATTGTAATTGTATTTTCATTAGTTTTTTTTCACAAAAATTATTTAGACTTCAAAGGACCAATCTATGTCAAACCAATTACTAGCACCCAAAAATAAGAGATTCAAAGTTTACTTTCATTAATTCATTGTAGATCACTCATGTAATTAAAACAAATGATTTTTATAGGCATAAGTATTGGTTCAGTATAATTTTTAATACCTCTAAAGACACAACTCAATTATATACTAATTATAACTACAACTCTGGAGTCTTTTTAAATTATATTAATTAATTCATAGTCTCATAAGAAATAAACCAATTTTCACAGAACCATAATACCACACTCACTCAAGTTAAATAACACCTTGAAGATCTAAACTCACATGAAGACTCATGTCAATTTAAATCATCGAGACTTAGAATTTATCGAAGGTGATCTTGTGTATCTTTGTCTTAAACCTTATTGATAAACTTCTCTTGTTCTACAAGTATATAAGGCCTAAAGATTTTTTTGTCCATTTAAGGTGCTACTATGTATGGGGTTGATGGTGTATTAAATTTTTCTGAAAAACTCTAGTGCTCATCTAGTTTTTCGTATCTCACAACATAAAAGGGTCATAATTTTAACTTCACCTAAGTTAGTCAACTCATTATAAATCAATGAACATCATGCTTGGACTACATGATCATCTAAAGTATTAGTAGTTCAACATGAGGCTTGTGGATTGCAAAAGCCATCTATTGCTAATATTTCGAGTTCCACCTTATGAACTAGGTAAAACTCATGGGGGGAAGCACTGTTGAGGTGCTAACCACAACACCTCACAAGAATCTCACCCATGGCCCACCAATAGAAAACATCACAAATGGTTCACTAACACAACACCTTTACTGGTCTCACAATAGAATACGGTGGAGACAATAAGCTGAAGGAAAATGTCACAAAAGACAACCTAGTTAAGGAAGAAGTGAGTATTGGGGTATGAATGTAATTAGCCTAGATGAAGATGACATCAAGCAACGAAATACTGAAATGGTCAACATAAAAAGAGGGAGGAAATATAAATAGATTGTTGATGTCTTTTGAGAGAGGCATAAAAGAATTGAGTTTGTAATCTCTAAGATGCAAACTAGAAAATAATCTTATTGAGTTGGCTCCTATGAAGAATTATTTGACTATCCTTCTAATTATCCCATTCCCCTAGTATTCCTTAATTCAGATTTCTTTTTTCCCTTCCCTCGCTCCAACACGTGCTTCGGGGCCTTGATATTATTATTCTCAAACAGTCTTCGTCAATTACAATTAATTTCATTATATAATTTCTCCCATAATCTTTTAACACATTTGGGTACCCATCAATCTTTTGATTGAGAAGAGTATGCATATCTATCAAGCCTTATGATTTATGTTCTTCTACTTTAAGAATTCTATAAATGTTATTAATTACTAAACTCTAGTATTTGTTTATAATGTTTTAAGATTCTCAACATTTTTTATGATAACAGATATCAGTCAAATTTGTGATGTTTTACCTCACCAATTTATCCTCGTTCACATCTCTCTATGGTTTGAATTGATTGATGAATCCATTTTGCACTATGAATACTTTTTTTTGTGTTTTATTGAACTTGTTGCAATAAATTTATGTTTATTTTATTGGACGCAATTATTGAGTACCAATATGATCTTAGGGTCATCAAAATCAAGAATACAACAATTAACAACAACTTCTTCCCTAGACATTTCCCTAATTGGCCAAAATCATGCTCAAAATCATTTTATGACAAAATCATCATCTTGCTGCATATCTTTATAGAAAAAAAATTGTCTGCTTTAATTACTTTGTAGTTTCTCTATTAACTCATCATTTTATTATAATCTCTTCCACATGCTTCAAAGTATTAATTCATAAGATTATCCTCAACCTCAATTCATTAAATGAGGGCAGTAGCTGATGTACACAATTATGGATCCATCTTAAGTGACAATGTAGGATCAAAAGTAGGTTCTAAAAAAAACATTTAGAAGAATGATTCACGCCCATCAGCATGTTCTCACTTCAAATGTTCTTGATTTGACTTTTATTTTACAGCCCAATTCTATGTCATCGTATAAATCAAAATTTTCAGACAAAGATTTATTGCTTCTTTATAAACCTTCTCAAAGTCAACGTTGAAAACCAGATAACTTCAATCCTTCACCTTGTGATGGATTTTTTGATGTTCTAATCCTAGACTCCTCTTCCAAAAATGCTAGATAGCTTCCTTAGGACCCATTTTAGTAATAGCCTGTTCTTGAGATACCCCTGTAACTTCTTTCACAATTTAGATGTTGGCCATGGAAGTGCTCAATTTCTTGTAGCAGAATTAGTTCTACCCAAAAAAAAAAAGAGAGTAGACCCCACCATTCTACTTTCTTGCTCACCTGATCAAGGATCAGACGAGATCTATCATCGCCAATGTGCTTTGAAGCCCCCCGGCCCCACAGTAATAGTACGGCTGTCTGTTCTCATTGGACTGTAAGTGGTTATTGACTCGAGGAAAAGACCAGGCGGTATAAGGACAGAGTCACTTGATCAGCGGTAAATGATTCAACTTCCAAAGTCAAACACTTAGGTCAGAGGGTAGTGGGGGGGTACACATCGGGTAGAGTACGGAGGGCACACTCACAGCATAACACCACGTCAGCAGATGACGTCACACTACTTGAGGAGCGTCTTGACGATGGACTTGACGTTGAGCTTCTTGAGATCCGCGTAGGACTGCCCGCAGCCGACAAACATGACCGGCGAGCCGGAGATGTAGACCATGGAAAGAGCGGCCCCAACCTACATCACCCCGATCCAGATGTGAGCAATCATCACCCCAAGAGAGATGGTTGACCGGGTGGAGATAAAGTCAACGCGGGCGCTTACCTTGTCGTCAATGGTGTCGAATTTGGTGAGCAGGATCCCATCGATAAGCCTGGCATTGGGAGTCATCGAAAGGTCCGCTAGTTTCTGCGATTCATCCCAACCATCAGATCAAGGATAACATGCCACGTGGCAATAAATCCAGTCATGTTGCAATTTATTTATTTATTTTAAAAAGGAGGGGGTGGGAGGGAAATGAGCACCTGGTCAAACTTGGTCAGCTGGTCAACAGCATCGTTCCCGACAAGGGCCTCCCCGACAAAGAGCACGAGGTCCGGCTGATTGAGGTTGATGAGCTTTGAGAGCGCCCTCATCAGCGGCTCGTTGTCCTGAAAGATTCCCACGCCTCAGAAAGTCAACCAAAGACAGGAACAAAAATGGTTGACTCCCCTTTACGGACGAGGAGGGGGTTGACCTGCATCCGGCCGGCGGTGTCAACGAGAACAACATCGGAGTGGTTGCGAGCGGCCTCCTGGATCGCCTCCTTCGCCACAATCGCCGGGTCCTTCTCGTACCCCTTCTCGAATATCGGCACCTGAGAAAAAGAGCATAAGGTGTCTTTTCCTCACGTTTTCAACCCATAGAAAAGACAGGGAGGAAAGGAAATCGAGGTAGGGAGTATCTTCCGGTGTCTACGATGTAGCCACGTAGAGGATTGTGAAGCATCCACCATTTGAACCATTTTACCAGAAAATTTCAAAGGGGGGAATATATGAGAGGATCAGAGGAAGAACTTTCCAATTCTCCCGATGCAGCAGCCACATGAAAAAACTACATCTCAAGAAATTCTCAAGGGCGTGGAAAGGAGGGTTCCCATCTTGGGAAATCCTAGGAAATCTCGAGTTCATGCCATCTTGGTAAATCTTCCCCAAGTCACAGAAGACGAAAATGGCAATCTTATCCCACCACGGCAAGCAAGTCAAGTCAACTTTTTTCTTAGATGCCCATCTTAAGAATCTGACCCCGAATGGATCACGGGTTTAGCAAGAAAAGTAGGGGTTCGTAGACTAAAAAGATGCCACATTTGGGAAATTCTTCCAGAGTGATGAGGGATACCTGGAGCCTGCGGGCATGAGTGCGGAGCTGCTCCACAGCGCCAGACCGGAAAGTGTCACATGCGGCCATCATCACCTTGAGCTCGTGCTGCTGAAGCCAGTACGCCACCTAGAAAAATAGAGAGGAAAATGTTATTACTTCAATCCAAGAGAAATGACGCGGAATGAGATAACTAAATGGACTTTTCTTAAAATATGCATATACCTTGGCAAGATTGGTGGATTTCCCGACGCCATTCACCCCAACAAAGACGATGACGTAGGGTTTCCCTTGATCCTTGGCGACGTGGACATCCCTCAGGATGTCGATGGACCGCTTGGGAGTCAAGATCCGGAGGAGTGCCTCTTCCATGGCCGTCTGCAGCCACAGCCAGATGATGTTACAGGGGTAACGGCTCTAGAAGGTTGACCTTTTTATGCATGTCTGTGGACGATACGAAACCAAGGGAGAGATAAAGGGGGGGGGGGGGGGGGAGGGGCGATATTTACATGAACAGTAGATGAGATTCTAGTGAATGATCCGAGCTTTTTGCCTTCAAGACTAGCTGCCACAGATTCACAAAGCTTCTCGGCAATTTCTTCAGCCTAAAAACGTTGTGAGGCGAGAATTCGTCAGACTTGATCAACTCAGTGGGTTTACAATTCTGCAGGAAGAAAAGGTGCGGAGTGAGCATTGCACATACCACATTCTTGGTCATCAGCCGATCCTTCAGAGCCTTCAACGCCGGCTTCAAATCCGACTTCTCCAACACAGTGTTTCCAGATATGCTGAAAGAAACACAAAGTAGAACAAAGGTTGGCAATCGAAGCAAGCACTAATAGAATCAGATGAAAGAATTGCACGAGACTAGTCTAGTGTAGGAAGAAAGAATAATATCTGTTTTGAACTGATTTCCAAAACTAGGAAGAGAGTTTAGGCATTCGATCAGCATAGAGAAAACGCACTTGCATACATCCGAGGTTATAACATCTGTGGCAGCATAGAAAAAGCAAAATTGCCCGGCTTACTGCTTTGTAAAAAGCATCCCCGGCTAAGCAAAGATCCCATTTAGTATCGTGATTTGCAGACATCTACGTTTACTACCACATCAAACTATCCCGATCTAATTTTATTCATTGTATGCACGAGCGATTCAAAAACATACAAATTGGAAAAAACAAATGCATCCTTATTTGTGAGCTTGCTTCTAATAATCTGCTTTCTGTGATGTTTGTCTGCAATGACCCATCATGTAACTAAGAACATTATTTGTTAATCCCTTTTAATATTCGTCAAGTAGGACCCCAGACGAGGCAGTGAAAGTGACAAACAATGCGACAATGGTTTCCCCAAGTTGAGCAAGGCAAGGCATTTTGAGCTTGGGTTCCAAACCATAGGACCCAAAGGCCCCGTCCTCATCTAGAACCTCGTTCCCAAAGCAGACCCCAGATGTCGCCATGAAAACCATAGGAATACATTGACAAAGGAACCATTAAATAAGGAAGACTCGTACCTCTGCAGAACTGATGTGAACCAGCCCTTCTTTGAGCTTGGCTGAGTATTTTCGCGTACCTCATCCACCTCATCATCACTATCACTGCTCAGCTCTTCCTCCTTGTCCATCATGCTTTCACCCTGGACTGCTGCAACAACTTCTCCTTCCCCCTCCTCTCTCTGATCTCCCGGATCAGTAAAATCCAGCTGTGACTCGGAAGGTGAATCATCCCAAACTCTGTTTTTCTTCGTCGCCTTCTTTGGCTCCGCTTTTGGAACCTTACCTACGACTGTATTTGTTTTCTTGACACCTTTAGAACGCAACTTCTGTAACTTATTTACATCAAAAGCCCCCCCATCGGAACTCTCGTCAGTTTTCACCATACCGCCGGGGGCACGGGACTCTTTGATCCCGTTCATGCTCACACGGTGATTACCATTCACCATTCCATTGGCTTTAACCAAATTTCCATCAGCGTCGTCCTTCCCCGAGCCACTGTCACTGCTGCTCCTCTGACTAACCTTATGACCGGCAAGCTGCCCTTGTTTCTTTATCGTGGTGTTTCCCGAACCCCTGGCCGTAACCTGCTTCAGCTTCCTCATTTCCTCTGCCCGTGCCTCCGCTTCCTTCTGGAGCTGCCGGAATATCCCATCAAAATCGTCATAAACCACGCTTCGGGGATCGTATATGGCGGCGAACTCGCGCTTCACAGCGGCGAGGAGGTCATCGACATAAAGGAGGCGGAGGATGCGCTGATACACGGCGACGAAGACGAGGTTAAGCTCGTTGTGGAATGTCCACTTGAGCGTGTACGCGGCGCCGGCGCTAGGAGCCTCATAGTCGTAGGACGCATCGGCGGATCTCTCCTCGAGGAGACAAGATCGGATCAGCGTGTCGATCGGAGAACCCTTAAGTGCGTTTCCGAGCTCCTTGCACGTCCAAAGGATCAGCCCGCCCCGGGTGAAGATCAGGAGTTCCTCCAACATCTCTGTAGAATCCCTAATTCACACCTGCACAAACAAGCCGCCCTGCGATCAGATCAAATAACAATCTCTCCTAATTCGCACCCAACACCAACAAAAATTCCACACCCGCAGAATCAACACACGAAATCGACGAAAATCCCCATTATCAGATCGAGAATTCCGTTAAAACAACAGATCGGATCGACGATACTCACCGTCTTCGTTGACCGAGGAAACCCTAGAAACTGAAAAAATAAATTGGGACGGGCGGGGGCGGAGGAGAGATCGAGCGGTTTGGTAGATGGGGAGGTTTGACGGGATTGTTTATAGGGCGGTAACGGGATCGGACAGGGAAAACGCCTCGGTCCGCCGTGACCAGACCGCCTAAGTGGGACCCACACGGCTTCGAATATATTGAAACCCCGAACAGGAAGTTTCTCTCCTCGCTCGCCACGTGTTAAGAGGACCGATTATTCCCTCATAATTATAACGAAAAAATATACTTCAAATAAGCCATTTTTAGAACAGTATTCCAATATATCCACGTAAATCACGCAAAATAGACAGATTTTATCCCACATTATATCATAATTTTCAATAAAAAATATTTTTTTACTGACATTTCTACCGTCATTTAAATGACCTGCCATTTAAAGACGACGATGAGTTTTGACCCATCATCAATCAAAGCGCGAGTCATCCCAATAAAAACAATAATATGTTCTGTTGATAAGTCAACGTGATCATTCACCCGCACTAATGCACATAATGCCTCGCACCCCCATGGGTTGACCACGTGTACCGACCTTGCTGTGCCGATCAACGGCGATCACGTAAAGTCAACACTTGGGACCGTACACGAGTATTATAAATTTGTTATAACTTGTTGTAATTTCTTTATTTTTCTCTCTCTATCTGAATACAGAAAAACGGCCTCGGGCTAGCCCGCCATCGCAGCCTCTCTTCGGGCCCAGTTCCCGTAAGAAGGACTACCTACCTCGAGAGTCAACATACTCCGGCCGTTGGGTCTAAAATCAACGGCCAAGATTTCTCTGATAGATCTCCCCCAATCACCCGGGAGGAGAAGGCGGTGACCATAACCAGACTGTTTTATCTCCCCGCTCCCTTGAACGGACGCCCACCCTCTCTCTGCAGACGTCGACAGAAGAAAGAGGAGAAAAGAGAACACATCGCGAAGGAAAACCAGAGGAAGGATCGAGACTGTGGGCGCGAGGAGGAAACCCTAACCCTAGTCTTGCCTAACTAGCTGCGGATTTGCTCTTCTGGGGAATTTTCGGTGGACGGATGGCGAGGAGGACGAGCGCGGATGTTGTATTGACGAGCCCGAGGCGATCCGGAAATGAATTCTCGAGCAGGGATCTCCATGGACGAAGCCGAGCGGTGCTCCCGGGGGTCGGTGTTGCCTGTTAGTTTCTGTGATTTTTCCGGTGGAAGATCAGTGAGAGATCCCTGGAAAGCCCGATAAGGAGTGATTTGCGGAGGAGAAAATGCAGGGGAAGCACCGGAACCCTGGCGATCGGTTGGGGCCAGGGGGAGTTGGCGCGTCTCAGGCTGGATACCGGAGCTTTGGCCGCGGAGGTGGGTACCGGCGGAGCGGGCGGGGCAAGGCGTCGTTGTATGCTGTGCGGCCTCCGCCTCCCTTGCCGCAGCGCCGGATCGATGTTATGCTGGAGGCGGGCCGGCTGGCGGCGGAGTACCTTGTGGCTAAGGGGTTGCTCCCGGCTAGCTCCCTGCCGCTGCAAACGGCGTCGGTGAGGTCTTGGCCGAACGGGGAGGGCGGCGAGATCGGAAGGACGTCGGCGCTCGCACGGCTTGGGCGGAGGAGATTCGACGAGGAGGATGTGGGATTTGAGCCGAGGAATCATAAGGGCAGAGGAGGCAGGCGGCGCCATGGGAATGGATCATACAGTCGTCAAGGGTCCGACTGGGGGCGGGAGAATGGGAGAAGCGGAGGATGGGCGGACTCGTGGCCTGAGAGGGACCAGGGTTATTCGGATGCCGTGTACGGTGACGACTTCGATCGGGGAGCGCGCTGGCCGGAGAGAAACAGGGGATTCTATGAGGCCGTGGAGGGCGATGATTCAGATCGGCGACCAGTTTTTGAGGACAGTGGCCGTGGTGGCGGGGAAGCCGCGAGAGCCATGGCGACGGACGAGTTGTCTTTGGTTTCGAAGAGTGAATCGACAGATGAATCGGAATCAGAACCGGAGAGCCGCAAGCTTGCTGATGACAGTGGCCTGCGAGCCACGGCGGATTCTGAAGCGAAGGCAGATCAGGCTATTGAAGCTGAAGAGAGTCTGAAAAGAATGCCGGATGATGCTGGAGTCTCGGATTTGGAAATTGCAGAGGCGGAAAAGGTGAAGGATAGTGTCGATGTCAGTGCATGCGGTGAAACAGATAAAAAGAATGGTTTACAGGTCGAAGCGGAGGATGCAGCGGCTCCACCCTGTCCTGCCACCGAGGACAAGCAGGCTGACAACTGTGGAGAAGCCGGGATCAATTTGCTAAGTCTCTGTGGCTTTGCAAAGGTGCCCACCAAGCCTCGATCTTTAGTGCCCAATCGAAACCTAAAACTGGATAAGGCATTGAGTACAGACGAGGTGGAGAAGATTGACGGGGAAGCTTCAGGTGAAGGAGAACTTGGGGCCAAACCAGAAAGGATTCCTGGACTCAGCCCTCAAAATGATGCAGTTACTGAGCAGTCTCCATGTTCAGGAGAGTTAGCTTCCGAAGTCTCTGAATCGACCACTTTGAATGATTCAACTTGTGAGCTGTCTCGGAGCTCGAATGTCCAGGTGCGTGAAATTTCCAGGTCTCTCTCTGCAAGGTTGGTAGATAATTCTCTGGGGCATGATCTGATGTCCAGTATGGAGGGTAGGTGCACGAGGTCAGTCTCACTCCCAAAGATGTCATATTTTGCACACCAGCAGCAAGAGAGGAGTCAGAGTCAGAACAGCTTTCAGTTATCCACAAAGTTATTTGATACTGGAATCGATGGTCTTCCTGAGCATTTGAAGAGGGAGGGGCTGAAAAGGCCACGAGAATGCTCCCAGGCGGACAAAAGCTTGCATAGTCCAACTGCAAAACGATTGGAGCTCTTGCCTGATCATGAAATGGGTGGTGCTCTGGAAGAGGAGCAGTTAAACAATGGAGATTCACTTCCAACTGCTGTTGCTGATTCTGTTAATAAGTTGGAAAATGAAGGACAGCTTGAGTCAAGCTCTTTCAAAATATGCGATCTTAATCTTGTGGGAGCACCTGATGCAAACAATATCCCCGACGATCCTGTCCCAGATCATATTGCTTCCACTTCTGCTCCTCCGTTATCTGAGAATGACCTGCCTATGGACTTTGGCCTATTGATAGGTAAGAGGTGTAGTGACACAGATGGATACACACACCATTCAAGTGTGGAGGACAAAGATATCACGGTGATTGATTTGGAAGATTCTCCTCTTCAGATCATTGCATGTGATACCTCGAAAACAGAGTAAGTCATGACCTTATTTTTATTGCTTTGTCCTTGAACTATTGTCTCATTTATTTCACTGCGGGAAAAAACATCGACTTGACACCATACTGTCACCTAAATGTCATTTTGCGGATGTTCTACTGAGTAATCATCTTATCTTCGTTGATCAACTAAGGCCAAACCTCTTTGCTTCGTGGTACAGGATTGACGATCCTGAGTATCGAAATCTGGAAAATCTTTTGAATCACGCAGTGCACAATGTTGATCTCCCTGAAATTCCGGATGGGTATGATCTTACGATTTCTGAGTTTCTAGGAAATGATATGGCGGGCTGTTCATCTGTACAAGGTGACATCAGCAATTTGCAGGCTGGAATTCCCTTTCATGGTGCAGAGGTATGGTGACATTGTCAGTATAATTGATTACTCGGGTTTTACATCTTCATTCCCGTGGTTTTTTCTTTTATCAGGATGTAGATATGTTGAATAGTCTTGCATCCTTTTGCCTGTATGATGATCATGACGTTGGAATTTGGGCTGCATTTCCTCTTTCAGGGAATTCCTGGTGTTGAAGATTCACTATACGTTACTTATGGCGAAATAAGTATGCAGCATTTCATTTGGCTCATTTCGTAAATCTCGGTTTTTTTTATTTTTTTATGTGGTTTCGTCTGTTTATTTAACTTATATATTTCTAACTGCCTATATTTTCATGTGCTTAATGATGTCTTCTTATTCTCGGCACACCTTCAAATAAAAAATAATAATAATCAATAACATCCTGCGGAAAATTCATATCACATTTTGTTTTAATTTTGAGATGGAATGATGGATTTGGCATGGATCTAGCTGTAATTTCAATATTTCTCCTCGGAAAATAAAACTAAAATTTACTCTGTGCAAGAGCCCAGATATGACCATTTACATTTTCTCTTTACCATATGCTTATTATTATTTCTTGTTGTCTCTTTGCAGGCTTCATGGAAGTTTGGGACCAGCCTCCTCCAGAGTATGGTAAATTCTTTTGAGCTGTTTTGGTTGGGCATGCCATCCTACATGGAGCCAACGACTCAACTTAACTGGTCACCATCCCTTGTAGCAGTTGAAAAACCAATGCGTGGCTACCTCACGATGTACAGATTTTCTTCTGACAGATATCTTATAGTCGAGGGTGTAATAGTGTTATCATCATTAGCATCTTCTTACCATCCTCTTAGTGCTTCGTTGGTGATCATGTGGTATTACTGCCGATGCTTCATGTGCTTATCTTAATTAAGAGCATTTAAGATTTCTACGACTTGTCACAGTGTAATATATCACTTATGTTTTGATACAAGCCTTTTTGAGTTTAGTATTCCAACAGTACTTTCTGAATTTGTATCATGCTTGCTGCTCCGCCCTTGTCTTTCCAATCGCGGTTTTGTGGTCAAAAGCTTCTTTGAAACCAACTCACTATGAACAGTCAGAGATAAATATAAAAAAATCATGCTTACTGTTACTGAATGCTGCAAACATCCTTGTCAACGAGAGGTACGATTGGCCCACATTGGGGTTCTCTGAACGTCATTTTGAATGAAAGTCAGACGCTTCTTTATTTAGACATAAAGGTATATCTAATCAAGTATTTGTAAGAAATTAATCATTGTTTGGAATGTGGCAACGGCCATACTGGCTGGAAAGGTGGCATTGATTCAGATGCCCTTTTGGGAAGCTGTTTAGCAGTTGACAAAGGCCACGGAGATTTCTCTTTACTGCATGTTCCCTTTTTTCTTCCATTTGAGCTGGTTATGGAAGTCAAGCCCCTGAGCTCTGTCAAGGTTTGTCCCTGACATTATAGTGAACTCCTTGGTCATCACCTTCGTGGGATTTCCTTCCAACCAGGCAGAAAACTAGGCATTTATCTCTTCCTGCATTGAGGAATCCAGTCGCATTGAGAAGATTTCCCCCCTCTCTGCCAGTAATGTAGCTTACATAAATGACCCAGACTTGGGTTCATCTAGCTACTTTCATTGCTAGCATAATGACTCAGTTACTGACATAAATGCGTCCAAATGCATCAGCTTGAGATTTTCTTGTAATATTTGAACGGAGAGGGATTTTGGGAAGTGGATGCAAGCGTCAGGGATTCATTGCAGGATGCCTCAGCTGGTGCAATTGCCGCAGACTGCAGGAGCTATTCATACCAGGTGCCTCCCCCATCATATCATATCATATCATATCATATCATATCATATCATATCATATATGGGGAGTTTCATTCGATGAATAAAAAGAGGTACGGTTTGTGAATACCCTCATTTGAGACTAATCATATATTATTCCCATGGCCAATCATCTTATGATGGTGATCTTATTCCCTAATAAAGGGGTGAATTAATATTTTTCAGATTTATGATTTTTTCACCAATATTTTGTGAATTTTTCCGATGTTTGGTATTTCTAGACGAATAACAAAACTGAAAAGGAAGAAGTTTGCCAATAGTTTTACCACTGCGGGCCTGCTTTAATGGGCCGATGCTGTGGTAATTACTCGGGCGGGTATCGTCTCTGAAGAAATATCTTATTGGGCTATGCTTTAAGGCCCAAAAATAACATACCGCGGCCCGGGATTTTTTTTAATCAGACCATCAAAGAAAAAAGACTGTTAGAGTGGTGCTTTAGCATACTAATGCCGTAGGTAATTAACTATCATGACCATTTTGCTAGAGGCTCTTAATGGGCTTTTTATTATAGGCCCATAAATCTGTTCCGCCCTTCTCGTCTCCTCATTCTTTGCTTATAGCTGTAAAAAAAATGATTTACTTTGCTTTACTTCTGTATCGGAGTCAACATTTTTTATTGTATAAATAATTCATGTAAATATTTATCTTATATATTCATATTTACTGATATTATTTGTTGCCGTTTTTAGTGGTATAAATTATTTAAATATTTAGAAGCTGATGCTTGTGGCGAAAAATATAGTGATCGCATTTCCGAGGGTTGATCAGTAAAATACTATTTTTTTGTAGTCATTAGACGGATAAGGAATTCCATGTGAGAGAGTGGTGGTCTGTCGCTTTCAACATGAGTTCATGGTGGGGCCCACTGACACGCGTCAGACGCTACTTCAATCATTCTGTTGCCTTTTAGGTGGGGTGGGGCCCATTTTACGAACTCGGCGACGTCTAATACTGACAGATTCCGCTCTGCCGAGTGGTCCGTAGGACTGGCTCGTGACATCATCATCTGACTTCTAACTCCACACAGAGGCCAGAACTACCATTTTTCAACCGGCTTTTACTCTTATTTTCAAAAATGTAACTGGGGCCCACACTCCAACATGGTATGAGAGAGAGAGATGACCAGAACCAAGAAAACTTTACTTGGGCCCGATGCACCGGCCACGTAATCAAGCTCTAATAGCAAAGGCCCAATAATGGTTGGCGCATTGGGCCCAATAAAGGGTCGTCTTTTGATCTCTGCCCTGGCAGCGACTCTCTCCCTCTCTCTCGCTCCCTCTAATTCTACAGTAAATTCAAATGATTGAACTGGGCCCATGTACTAAAATGGGCCTGGAATTGCAGGGCTGAAGTAGTCATACTCCCGGTCCGGCCCATCGACTCGGGTAGCCCCCGACGTCGGATTCCGCGTTTTGTCAAACCCCGGTGGCCGTCATCGAAGCAGAGAACCCATCCGATAAATGTCGCCAAGAAAAGGCGATCTTGACCGGCGGCGCCGCCGCCCGCAACGGGAAGCGGCGCTTCCGTCTGCGTCAAGGAATCGGTCGCGAGGAAGAAAATCCGCCCACGCATTCGTTCACGAGCCGTGGTGTCAACATTCAACGCGGCGCTGACGTCGTCAATCTTGTCGCTTTCCCCTGCTCGATGAATTGCTCTCAGAAGGAATTCTTTATTTAAAAAATAAAAACAGCTTTCTTTAGCTCACCTATTTTTTAGGATTTAATTGCATTGCCATTTAAAAAACCAATGGCTTTTTGAGCCTCTGACTTTTTTATTTGTATATGAACCTGCTAATGGGTTTGTTAACACGTACGAGAAGGGAGAGCGAGAGAGAAGACGAGGAATCTTTCAGAAATCAAAACTTTCAGGGTTATATTGTATAATAAATTATTTATTTGGGCTGATTGAGGGAGAAATATATGCCATTGTCAGAGAATGAGGGGGTACTTACGTAATTATCAATGTAGCCCCCCATGTTTTGGCTGTTTCCACTTTTTGAAAGAAGCCGGGGATGGAGGGAGTACCGGATGGGCCCCACATATATTTAAAAATAATAATACACGTTTCTGAGTAGAAAAAAAGAAAAAAAGAAAATCTAAAAATACTCTGAAACGTCGTGAGCGGTCATTCAAGAGAATCTGTAAAATCTCTACCGTCCACGTAATAGGACGCCACAAGACTCGTGGGCCCCATTGCACGTGATATTTACTGGTCTCGTGTTGGGATTCTTATTCTGTTCCTGCGGAGTACCGGTGAGACCAATTTAATCAATCGGGGCCCACCCCCCGCCAAACCTTTCTTTAAAAATGGGGAAAAGCCACCGACCCTTTTCTCGGCCGACAAGGAGAAGTAGGAAAGCGTTGTCCTCCTGCGCGAGACAACTTGCTCCGCCCCGGGAGAAGCACGGACAAATTACAAATTATTAAAGGTCGCGAGTGAACTATTCAAGGGGTAGACATTAATTCATAATTATTTATTCAAACGATAAAGCATTATTAAATAATTTTAAATGCAATAAAATTTATTTTTGATCCCATAAATTTTAGAAAATGTGACGACTCGTGAAAAAAGAATAATATTATGGAGCTTTTTGTTTTTCTTTGTACTAAAAACATACTGCTGATTGCTATGCTATTTTTATATTATTATAAGCTATTTTTTATTAAAATATATTTTGCTTATCGATCGCTGCATTTAGCGTGGAGATTCACACGAAAAGGAGGGGAGAGACAGAGATAGATAGAGATATATATATATATATAGAGAGAGAGTGAGAGAGAGAAGAGGAGAGAGAAACGGAGGAGAAGCCATTGGAAGCAGGTGTAAGACACGACAGCTCATTAGGAAAATTAAACTCCTCTTCCTCTACTCTCTCTACTACACATCTCTGTTCCCATTCTGGTCTCTCTCCTCTCTCTCTCCATCTACTGCTTTTCGAGGCGAAGAACCGGATGCCTTCTTCGATGGGCGAGTGGGTGGTGCTGTGTCGTTAACTGTTACTCTCTCAATAACCCTCTCTCTCTCTCTCTCTCGCTCTAGATATATATATATCTGTGTGCCGTTGTTTCGTCCACCCTCCTTCCACTGATCGCTTGCTCTCCCAAACGGAGGGATTTTTCCAGACGACCATCTGTTATTTTGGGTTTTCTTCTTTTTCGAGGCTACGCACCTAGGAAAGGGTTCTGGATTCTGCTGAGGAAGGTTGGTGTGAGATTTCATGGCGGTTTCTCCTCGTTTTGCCCGCGTTTTCTCCCCTGGACTTGATCAGTCTCCCACATCTTGCTCGGAAGCTCCCCTCCTGCTTCGTCCTGGTTTTATTCCATTTTTTTCCCATTTAGCCGAATGTCCCTTCCTCCTCCTCCTCCTCCCCCTCCTCCCCCCTCTCCTACGAGCACTATGTAACGATCCATCTGCGTACATATCTGTTTGAGCTTCTTCTATTCCCCGTGTGTGGATCCCTTCTTCTCCCCCTTGAATCACTTTCTCATTCACTCTCTCTCTCTCTCCACCCCCCTATCTTCTCACACAATTTCTGGTCTTTCCATCCCGTTGAGGAAATCCCCTATATTGCCTTGCTCTATTCGTCCCCGAGGTGTGATATTTCATGTGAGGATTTAACCCTTAGAGGGCTCGATTCAGACGGAATCCCGCACTGTGGAAGATTTGATGGGTTTCTGGTACTTCTCGGATAAGCATTCCTCTCCGTAGGGCTCCGTCTTTCCTTTCTGCTGCATAAAATAACGGCCATCTTCATTCGGGCAAGAGGATCCTTCGATCGGATCCCATGGGTCTCATCCTCTCTCTCCTCTCTCTCTCTCTCATCTTCTCCTGTTATTCGCCCCCTCGCCATGGAAGTAGTGTTCTATAAGCCTCCCTTCCATCTCGCTGTAATCGGATTTATTGCGGTTCATGGTGGGTACTGCCTTCACTTCGGGATAGGATCTTGACGACTCCTCCTTCTCTCCGGTTTTTCATGGGGGATGCTCCTCGAAGGTTCTAGAGGGCTCCCTCCCTCCCCATTCTTCCCATGGAATAATGCTCTAGAATCCTCCGCCCGCAGAATTTTTTTTATCCGATTTCTGATGCCCAGCTTCTCTTCTTTCTATTTGATCTTCCAGGCACCAGACCAAGCAGAGGAGGTCGGTTCTCTGAGCTTCTGTGCTTCTTCCTCTCTCTAGTTTCTCTCGCAAGACTCTGTTCGGGGGCTCTGTTGATTGGCATGCTGGAGGACGAGAAGGGCGGAACAGAGACAGCTCTCGTCGGGGCTGTCGCTATTTCCGCGAGGAGGAGAACCGCAAGTCTCCCCTCAGATGTTATCCTTTGAACGGCCTCCGCCATGCTCTTCTAAGATCGTATCTCCGGAAAGTGATGAGGCAGCAGATCCAGCTGACGACGGCGTTGACGAGAGTCAGCATACTCCGCATTTCTGCATCAGGTCAGCGACCCGTGATCTTCGATCGCGATATTTTCGTTTTCTGCTCTTTTTTAGGGGTTTTCCCGGGGATTGATCATCGTAGGAGATCTTGCCGGCGCCGGGTTCGGATGAGTTTGCAGGGATATCGCCTCTCTGGTTCCTGCTTCCCTGTCGTGATTTCATGTGTGTTCTTCGACATTGGGAAGCATTCGGGTTTCTTTTTCTGTGATGCCTGGTCCGACAGGTCTATTTCTTCCTGTAAGATTGTAGGGTTCTCGCTGGAACAGATGGATCTCAGAGTGGGTCATATGATATCAGTCGATAATCTTGCTTCCATTAATAGCCTTCCTGATCTTCCTTCTGGATCTTCTTCCTCTTCCTCTTCGTCAGCTCCTGGTCAGGGTTCCTCTTCTTCCTCCGTTTCCCGTTAGTCGTCTTCTTCTTCATCATCGTCGTCATCATCATCGCCTGTCGCCATCTACTTTTGTAAACCCTCGGAGGATCTAACGCCTGGTTTCCATTTTTAATCTTTACAGAAACTATGTTCTATCATCGAGGGGGGAAGACATCGGGAACCACTGGCCATTCTCCGAACAGTATCTCCGGCTCTGCCTGAAGCATGGTGTCAGGAATTTATTGCCCCCCTTTGAACCACCTGATCTGGTGAAAGCCCGCTGTAGCAGAACGCGGCTCGAAGGAGAACCTCCTCAGAAGGTCGCCGAAGCGCCGCCGGCTGTAGACGGCGGCGCCGCCGAGGAGGAGCCGATCCGGCGAGATGCTCCGGCGGAGGTAGAGCCCTCGAAGGCGGCAGATTCCATGGCGTTCTTCAAGGTCTGCCCCGTCTGCAAGGGCTTCTCCTCCCCCTCGAACACCACTCTAAACGCCCACATCGACCAGTGCCTGCTCGCGGCCGGGGGCGCCGCCGTGGCGTGCGGCGGCGGTGCCGGGTTCTCCCGGCTGAAGTTGAAACCCAGGAAGAAGCGATCCATGGCGGAGATTCTGGCCAGCGCCGCCAGCTCCACTCTCGAGGACCTCGATAGGAGGAACGGCACCAGCTGGGCTGTGGATCTCGCTCTGATCAGGCCGCCGGCGGGGGTTCCTCCTCCACCTGTCGCCGAAGCCGCCGCCGGTGAGGGGCCGGTGTATGTGGATTCCGACGGCACGAAGGTGCGCATCTTGTCAAAGCTCGAGGAGGCTCCACCGCCGCCGCTGGATTTCGATTTCTCCCCGCGAAGGAGGCTGAAGCTTGAGCTCCGAGATGGGAGGAGCAGATTCTCCGGCGGGGAAGCTTGTTCGCCTTTAAAGTACAGGGGGAGCTCGAGGGGGAAGGTTCATGGCAGGAAGACGAGATCGTTCTTGCGGCAGACGGGAAAGGTATCGCCGTTCTTCCCTTCACTGTTCTCAGCTCTCCATTCCAGTTCATCAAACAGTGGCCTGAAAGAAAAATTAATAGTATCTGATCCTTTATTCAGCTCTCCGTTGACTATTTCTGAAACTACATTAAACATTTTTATTGATCCGGGACGGGATACTATTCAAGATAAATACATTCACCGACTGAGATGGTTCTTCTATGCATTCTGATCTTGCATCGTTGACCTGAATCCATTGCATTATGTTCAGATTGTCCAGGCCATGGGAGGCGAGCTCAAAGAGGAAATCCCGTTGATCGCCCAAGAACAGATCCAAAGACGGCGGGCGATGTCCAAAAGATCCGACCTTTCGAGTCGCTCAGACGGCAGACTCATCCGCAGGAGAGCAGAGCTGCCTTCGTCGGCGACCCAAGTCCCCGGCGACGAGGGAGACTCTCCAGCAAGCTCGCCGGAGGATGAGCATTGGCTTCCGGGTTCCACAACCAAAAGGCTTCGTCAGATGTTCTTGAGATCCTCGGAAACAGCCGGCGGCGGCGCCCGAACTCGCCGGGGGCGTCGATGGGCGGCAAGAAACAGGAGAGATGCATCTGATAGAGAAACTCCGAGCCCGAGCGATGAAGAGGAAGATGGTGAAGTTGCCACCACCGTCGCCGCCGCCGCCGCCGCTGCTGCTGCTAATGATGATGATGGGAATGGTGGTGGTGATGGCGATGCCCTAGCTGAGGTCTCAGCTGCCCATATGGAGTCTGTGAGTCGGAGGAGTTCGTCGTACAGCGGCGCTACCGGCGACTGTGATAGCAGTGGAGTAGCGACTTCTGATGAAGAAGAAGAAGATGCAGGCGTTCTTGAGTTCTCTGGAGATGGAGGGACGCAGCAAGTGGTCGGCGAGATGGAGGCGAAGGGCGAGTGTTCTTCAGAGATCCCGAGGAGATCTCCGGCCGATGATTCTGTGCTGGTTCAGATCGACTGCCCTTGTCTGATCAGCACGGAAGATAACGTCTTGGAACTTCCGGAAGATTTCACGGCGGCGCCGCCGTCGCCGGCGTCCCTCTCCTCGACTCTCTCCGATCCGATTCTGCCGGAGCCGCCGTCGAACCCCCCCGCTGCCGCCGCCTGCTCCGGCGACCTGGGATTGCATCTGGAGGAGATCTCTCAGGTTGCCAGTTCGAGGAATTTGTCGGAGTCTCAATTCCTGAGGGAGAGCTTCATGGCGGCGGCGCCATCGAGCCAGGCCGAGGTTTGCACTCATCTTCCACATCAGTCCCGACGGACTCCTGTTCTCCGGCTGATGGGTAAGAATCTGATGGTGATGAGCCGGAAGGAGGAAGAAGACGAAGAAGAAGAAGGTAGAGGAGGAGGACGACGAAGACCAGAGTCCTCAGTGGCCGTTGCCTCCACGGCGAATCATCCCCCGTCGTTGCTAGGGTTTTCTTCTGCTTGCAGGTTCTCTAATGGCGGCGACTTTCTGGACGGGCCCTTCTCCGGAGAGAGGATTCCAGGGAGTCGCCGGCCGTTTGCTCCGCCCCCGACCGCCGGAATAAGAAGCCCTTATGTTCTTCAGAGAAGATCGGAGGAGGGAGCAGATCCGTCGGTGTACGGTCTCCGGCAGCGGCATGGATATCGAGCTCCAGTTCAGGCGAGCGAGGTGGTGGTCGTCGACGATTATCCCGAACCAATGACGCAGTTCAGTGGAAGCTTTCCGGCGCCGGCTAACTTTCCGGCGACGCACAGCTTCTTCTCCGTCGTGGATCGAGCGAGGCTGGCCGGAGGAGGATATTATTCCTGTTTTCCATCGGAGCTGAGGCCAGGCTTCCCGGCTTCTTGCCCGAGGGAGATCGGTGGGGCCGCCAGGTGGGTTGCCGGCGACGGCGAAGCTCCAAGCTCCTCCTTCGTGCCGTCCCTCTCCGCCGGCCATCTTGGCACTCCCATGCCCCACTCTCCGATGTTCTGGTGAGGAGGAATACTGCACTGTCGTTTTTCTCTCTCTAGAAGAACCCTACCGTGTGCTCTTTCTCTCTCTCTCTCTCCTTCTCCGTCTGCGGAAGTTGCAGAGGAAGGAAGCAATGTCTTCTTCTTCTTCTTCTTGTAAAGACCTTGAATAATCGCCATGAAACCGGGGAGAGCTTCCCATCCAAATGGTCTGTTCTCCGCGATTCTCGGAATGGAAGGAAGACAAAGCTCATGGAGGTTTCGATTGATTTCGATTGATTTCGATCTATCGGAAGCTCGGAAGCTGCGGTCGGTGGTTTTTTTAAGGTTTTCGAAGTTTGACGCCGAGCTGATTGGGTTCTCAATTCGTTCATCCCCGATGGTTGAATACGACGTATTTGAAGACAGTCAATACACTGCATGCCGGTATCAGTATCTCTCTCACGTAGAGGTCAGATGGAACCCTTCTCTCTCTCTCTCTAGAATGAAGCTCTCTTTCTCTCTCTCCCCGTCACCCTTCTGGAGACTCTTTCTCCCCGCTTCTGTAGACTCCCTCTCTCTCTCTTCTCTCTCATTCGGTAGAAACTCTACATGCAGAAGGGAACAGTTCCTTTCTGGACTCGGGAAGACACAACAGATCCCGAGAAGAGACACCATCGAGAAGCAAGAGAGAGAGAGAGAGAGATGCCTCACACCGCCCTGCGCATGCTCTCTCTCTCTATCTCCGCCCCCCGAGAGCCTTTTGGCCACCATCTCTTCCTTTCGTACTCTGAAGAAACTAGCCGTTGGTACCGTGCTAAGCCATGCTTCCTAGCAGTGAGAGAGAGAGAGTGAGAGAATAAGAAGAGAGAGGAGATGGAGACAAAACGAAGAGGAGAGAGAGAGAGGGAGAGAGCCGGAGGGATTATCGTTCTGTTTTACGGGGACATCGTCGTGGGAAGAAGAAGACCCCGGGAGTGTAGAGAGAGAGATTTTGAAAACGTCTCAAAAGAGGTAGGGACACGTGCAGAAAGCTGACAGGGTCTGACAAGTTCGCGGGTCCCACATCCCTCCGACGGTCGCTCAGCATGGGGAACCGATGCTCGTCTCGATGTGGCTAATAAATCCCGCAATAAAAATCACATTTATTATTATTATTACTCGAATAGAAAATGAGGCAACTTCACCGACATAATTACGAAAATTTGCCGCAATCGGATCATCCATCTGTCGACATCTTCTCGTCACAAAGTCTGTACCATTCGGCTGGACACGTGTCCTTCTCCCTTGTGATTACCAAATCATTATTTTTTTTAATAAAAAAATGAATATAAATTCCGATTTTTTATGTTTACATTATTTCCCACATACGCTTCCCAAAAATATATGAGAGAAATGTTGGGTCCTTGTGTTGGATAGGTAGCAGAATCAAGAGGGGTGAATTGATTCTTAACCTTATTTCAATTATTATTTGAATCTTTAAAACCTACAGAAGGCGAAAGTATGGATTCAATTAACTAATGATAGTGGTCTAGGGTTTATATCCTAATCCTAGAGGCAGCTTAATGGGCCATAACATTTTTACCCCATTACCACTAAATGACAGTCCTTTAGATGGGCTGTGACATAAGAATGCCCAATAGGAATGACCCATTACATTTAATAACACCTTTTAATTCATATAAACAAACCCATATCAGCTCACAAACATTAAGTTTATAATTCCTCTACCTCTATTGGGTCACATAAACTTCTAAGATACTACTAAGATTCTAGTATTATCTTCTTGAGTAGACATATAATTTCATAATATCAATAATGCTACCTTCTTTCTATGATAGTTCTTTACCAAGTTTAGGATTTAGGGTTTAGGTTAACTATTTTTGGAAGTTTACAACTTTTTTTATAAGTTTGAAAAAAACATGAATTATCCTAAATTAAGTTGAATAGTACAACTTTTTACCAAGTTTGATACTTTTTAATTAAGATTAACCACAAAGTATACTATTCAAATTTTTCTATCAATATATAAATAACATGAATTATCATGTATTCGATAGTGGTATCAGACTCCAAACCCATTAAGGCCTATTATCTCTCCTTTTTTTTTATTTTCTATATAATCTCATGTACTCTTTTTCTTTCTTAAAAAAGAATTATAGATTCTAAGGTTTCTTCTCTTGTGTCAACATGATATTAGAGCCTTATATATCTCACATCATCCTCCTCCTCCTCCTCTTTGCCGACTTTTTTCCTCCTCGAGTTTCAACGTCACCACTTTTCCCTTTTTCAAAGTCGTCGTCTCAATCGTCGCTTTCCTTCTCTTTTTGACACTACCCTCCTCACCTCTACTTTTACCTTTCTCTAGGCCATCAGCCGCTCCTTCAAGCCCACTAAGGGCCATTATCTATCTCTTTCTTCTCATTTCTTTTTTTTCTTATCTTCTATATAATCTCATGTTCTCCTCTTCTTTCTTAGAGAAAGATTATGGATTATAGGATTTCTTCTTCTGTGTCAACATCATGATTTTTACTATTATTCATACGCTTTGATGTGGGGAGATTGAAGGCCTAATCAAGAACTAGTTGTCATTGCTTTTAATACTCAAGGATACAAAATAAGGCTTGGACTCTTTGGAGGAAGGTGGTAGATAATAATGACATCATTGACATAATTAGAAATATTACCTCAATTTTATTATCCATCTGTTGCAATCTCTTAGTGGCATCTCATATTATTATGCAATGGTCTATATGCCACATTTTGATGCCATTTTAAGCTCCCCCCCTCCCTACCCTTTTTTCTGGACACATGTCGTTTTCACTTGTGCTGAAAAAAATAAATAAATCAATTTTTTAAATATTTTTAAAAATAAGTTCCTTACCTTATATGTAATTTTTTAATATAAAATTATTATTTTTCACTCCCAAGCTTTATCAGACCCCATGGGCCCATCAATTAACATGGCCCAATAGCAACTTGACTTCAGAAAATCTCGACCAATTTTTTGTTAGAATGTCTTTCAATTTTTTTCACAGTTTACGTGTATTAAATTATTTCCAACTGATGTTTCCCAAAAAAATACGAGAAATTTATTATAATTATACATAACTACTGATTACTGGAGGAAAATAGAAATGCCGGTGGGCTGGGCCTGTACTGGGCTGGGGTTTTGGGCCGAGTTGGGCTATCAATGCCGTTATGAATAATAATGCGTGATGTTATGTAGTCTACGAATTGACTAATTTCATCATTACCGCTACAGTTATATATTCACCTTTATCATCTTCATCTCCGTCACTTGGAACTCGTACGTCAAGAGGAGATGAAGGTGAATATGTAACTGTAACGGTAATGATGAAATTAAAAAAGCATTTTGGGCCTGAGCGAAAGTAACCATTTGTTTCCTGACGAGGGCGGAACCCTAAAAGGAGATCTTTAGAAACTCCTGGTTCACGGTTCCATTTGCCGGGAGCATCTCTCTCTCTCTCTCTCTCTCTTCGCGTCTGTGAGCCCTAGCGTGGTCTCTCTCTCTCTTCGGTGGAGTCGGAAGGTCGATTTTCCTGTCCAGGTATGCTTCCTGCGTCTAATATCTTGCTCATCTTTTTTCATGGCAGTTCTGGGAAGTCCTGCGGAGTTGGTGGAGGTTTTGCGAACTGCGCCTATGCTCATTTTTGTTATCCTCTTTTGTTCTCTCTGTTCTCTTCCTGAATCCCCATCTTTTGGCTGAAAATCTCATTTCGGCAATCCTTGCCTAGCGGCGGTTTCAATCGGAATGCCCGATTCGGTTTAGATTTACGAGTGTTACAAGTGTTTTCTTCGTAAGGATCTGGTGTTTCTGTGCCCTATTGTTGATTTGATCGCTAGATCTGCCGTCCCAAGACCCCGTTACTGCGCCGATTCATCTATATCTTTTTTTTTTTTCTGTAGTTTTGTTCTTTGTTTTGATTTCCTGACGTTTTTTTTCCCGGATGCTGCAGAATTCCAATTCGGAGAAGAGGATTCAGATGCGTTTCTCTGGGGATTACAATCCTGCTGAAATTCGAAGCTCCGACCCTCAGATCTGAAGCTTTTCAGTTCCTTACTCTTCTCATTCAGGGATCTACTAGATCCAATAGAGCGGGAGGGGGGGAGAGAGCCCGCGCGAGGCAATTCCATGGCTCACCCTCTAAATCTACGAACCTGTTCTTCGATCTCGCTGGCCACACTCCTGATCTTCATCTCGCTTGCCTCTCTCTGCAATGGCTTCTACCTCCCCGGTAGCTACATGAAGACTTACGCCCCGGCCGAAAAGATAAACGTGAAGGTCAATTCCCTAACCTCCATCGAAACCGAGCTGCCCTTCGACTACTACAGCCTCCCCTACTGCAAGCCCCCCAAGGGAGTCAAGAAGAGCGCAGAGAATCTGGGCGAGCTCCTCATGGGAGACCAGATCGACAACTCCCCCTACAGATTCCGTGTCAACATGAACGAGTCTGTGTATCTCTGCACCACCACGCCATTGACGGAGCACGAGGTGAAGCTTCTGAAGCAGAGGACCCGCGATCTGTACCAGGTGAACATGATCCTGGACAATCTGCCCGCCATGAGGTTCACCAAGCAGAACGATGTCACCATCCAGTGGACTGGATTCCCCGTGGGGTACACCGAGAGCAGCAACAAGGAGGACTACATCATCAATCACCTCAAGTTCAAGGTCTACGTCCATAAGTACGACGGGAGCGGCCTTCAGATCATCAGCACCGGCGAGGAGGGCATGGGAGTGGTCCCAGAGGCCGACAAGAGTATCTCTGGTTATCAGATCGTCAAATTCGAGGTCTACCCCTGCAGCATCAAGCACGACCCAGAAGCCCTCTCGAAGCACAACATGTACGATCCAGTGCTACCCCAGGATTGCTACTCGGGTCCGGAGAAATCTCAGATCATCCGCGAGCACGAGCGGATCTCCTTCACCTACGACGTGGTCTTCGTGCCCAGCGACATCAAGTGGCCCTCGAGATGGGACGCGTACCTGAAGATGGAGGGGGCCCGAGTGCACTGGTTCTCCATCATGAACTCCCTGATGGTCATCTTCTTCCTCGCCGGCATCGTCTTCGTGATATTCCTGCGCACGGTGCGGAGGGACCTGACCAAGTACGAGGAGCTGGACAAGGAAGCGCAGGCCCAGATGAACGAGGAGCTCTCCGGGTGGAAGCTCGTTGTCGGTGATGTCTTCCGCGAGCCGCCGCTGCCGAAGCTTCTCTGCGTCATGATTGGAGATGGGGTCCAGATCGCGGGAATGGCGGTGGTCACCATCGTCTTCGCCGCCCTCGGCTTCATGTCCCCTGCTTCTCGTGGAATGCTCCTGACGGGGATGATCATCCTCTACCTCTTCCTCGGCATCGTTTCCGGATACTTCAGCGTCAGGCTCTGGATCACCATCAAAGGCACTTCCGAAGGTTGGAGGTCAGTTTCCTGGTCCACCGCCGGCTTCTTCCCTGGTATCGCCTTCGTCATCCTCACCATCCTCAACTTCCTCCTCTGGGGGAGCGGAAGCTCTGGTGCCATCCCCATCTCGCTCTTCTTCCTCCTCCTGGCCCTGTGGTTCTGCATCTCCGTCCCCCTCACCCTGCTCGGGGGCCTGTTCGGCACTCGAGCAGAGCCCATCCAGTTCCCTGTGAGGACCAACCAGATCCCCAGAGAGATCCCGGAGAGGAAGTACCCTTCATGGCTGCTGGTCCTCGGAGCGGGGACCCTCCCCTTTGGAACCCTCTTCATCGAGCTCTTCTTCATCCTCTCCAGCATCTGGCTGGGGAGGTTCTACTACGTCTTTGGTTTCCTCTTCGTCGTCCTCGTCCTGCTGGTCATCGTCTGTGCAGAGGTCTCCGTCGTCCTCACCTACATGCACCTCTGCGTGGAGGACTGGCGCTGGTGGTGGAAGGCCTTCTTCGCCTCTGGCTCGGTCTCCCTCTACGTCTTCCTCTACTCCATCAACTACCTGGTTTTCGACCTCAAGAGTCTCAGCGGGCCAGTCTCCGCCACCCTCTACCTGGGCTATTCCCTCCTCATCGCCACAGCCATCATGCTCTCCACCGGCTCCATTGGGTTCCTCACCTCCTTCTACTTCGTTCACTATCTTTTCTCCTCCGTCAAGATCGACTAGGCCCACACCCCTTCCTTTCCCCTCCCTCTAATTTCCCGCCACACTTCTCTCTCTCTCTCTCATCTTTCCAGTTTGCCATTTCTAAGAGTATCTTGAATGCTTTCGGATGGTAATTGCTTCTAATTATATGGGTCAAAGCGAAGTGAACTTTCCATCTGGGGAAGAGTTGGTGTCTCTGTCATATGTCCTTACAGCAGTTGCTGTAGGGTAGGGAGGTAGGCACATAAATCAACGGGCATGAGGATTTCTTCTTCTTCTTCGTTTTTTTTTTGTTTCCATTGTACCTCCACTGTTAATGGGACATCACTAGAATGGCGACGGGGTTTTATGAACGCTTCCATTGGTTCTGGAGATCCATCGTCAAGAGAAATCTGCAGATTTTCTATAGATAATTTGAGCAACTGGATCCTCTTTCTAATCATAAATAGTATGCAGAGGTGGATGATTCAGTTCTTTTTTTTTTGGGGGGGGGGGAGGGTTGGGAGGCGTTGACCCATCAGTAGCGCGAAGCTTTGTATGACTTTTGGGTCGATATGGTTTGACTTTCTACCAGGGCGGGAGATCCGAAGAATTGAATTTTTGAAATGCCAGAGGGTTTAAGATCAGATGAGAAGATTCCTAGTTCATTGAGCATTCCAGCTAAATGTACAGGCTCTAAAAGGATGACACACTCTCTCTCTCTCTCTCTCTCTCTCTCTCTCGCTCTAGCCCATGGCGTACTTCTGGGTCCAGGTGCGGGCGGTGGTCTCGTACTTGTCTCGGTTCGTCTTGTACATTTCGGCGATCTCCGATACCAGCGGGTCGTCCGGGTTGGGGTCAGTCAGGAGGGAGCACACTGACAACAGCACCTGCAGCTCCAGCCAAGGAAGATTTCAAGCCTATTAGTATCGCTAGTCGGCAAGTTTCTACGGATCGACCACATCTAACGGTCAAATCTCACCCTTCAAGGATCATACCCAGTTTATCATATCTTCTGAATGAAAAAAAATAAATCGAATTAAATCACCCTTTTGTTCCTGCTGAACAAAAGAGAAACGGGCTGTCCTTGCAGCTTGGTGACGCCAATTACCGAAAAACGAGGCCGAATGTTGTCATCAACCATCTACGGATTTATTTCTATTTGTCAGCGAAAGAAGCATATGCATATAATGGCTTCACGGTTGGGGGGTGCCAAGAAGATGATGCTATGAGAAGGCAGCCCTCTGAATAGTAACACTGGATCGAATGGCGAATGGAGTATAGAGAGAGAAATCGGAAGAGATCCATCACCTTGGATATGGTAAGGGCGGGGCTCCATTGCTCCTTGAGGATGTCAAGGCAGATGCTGCCATTGCTGTTGATATTTGGGTGGAAAACCCTGGTCTTAAAGGACACCTGAAACGTGGATTTTAAACGACTATTACGAATTAATATATGGACAGGGCAAAGTGGATGGAGCAGGCAACAGGTACTCTACCTTTGGCGGTTTGAATGGGTAATCCAGTGGAAAATGGATTGATAGCACAAACACACCTCCTGCAAAGGGGCTATCCTCGGGACCCATGATGGTTGCTTGCCATTGAAACATGTCTTCACCAACTGGGCCTATAAAAGAAGAAGGGAAATTGCTCAAGAACTCATCCATATGCTCGTTAACAACTGGCTTCTTCACAGTACCATCATCATACGTGAGGCTCATAGACCCCTTTTCAGTAAAAAAAGAAAAAAAAGAAAAAAAAAGGCTTCTGCTGATAAGAAAAAGGAACTTCAGCAGCCAAGGTCAACACCCACTGTCCTCTCCTCCACCTTGAGCATTCCGCCTCCATGACCTCGTTCCCTTTTCTCTTTCCTATCTTTGCTTAATCTCATCTCCTTCTCACCCATCCTGAAGGAAAAATTTAGTAACACATCCACCTTTCCCCATTTCTTTTTCTCCCTGTTTACGGCCCCTTTACTGCAGTCTCCTTCCTCTTGTCCCTTCCCCTTTAATCATGAAGGGGGCAAAACAAAAAAACTCCAGCACACATCCATACAGAGATCAAAGATCAACTTCGGCATTGCAGATCGTCAGAGTGAAATGGTGCATGGTATACATGGCAGATTCTCCGAAGCCGATCCCATCAACCTCCCTCCCTTTGCCGCCTCTCCTCTCCATACATATTCTCCTTTCTTCTATCTCCCACCTTCTCCTTGTCTTCTCCCGCCCTGAACCGCCCTTCCTCTCTCCTTGTCTTCTTTTTCCACCCTTCCCAACATGTTTCCATCTCAACTAGTGTGCCATATCACTCAGGCCAACTGCGACCATAGACTCCTCGTTGTCTTCTCTCTCTCTCTCTCTCCATAGATACTTCGCCCTGGATAAGAACCAAATACAGCTGCAAAATGGAGCTCATAATGGGGATGAAAGCTGCGGTAATATAAGTCTACACATAACTTCAATGGAATGAGATGGACATAAGGTTGGCAACGGCGGGAAGCAGGACCATACCAGCGCTGCATGAGATGGGAGGATCCTTCCGGAGGTCCTTAAGCTCCTTCATTATCCTCTTTGTGGCCATTATAGGCGCTTCTTCAAATCTGCAGACGATGAAAGCCTCACCTGCAAATCTCCCCGATGCAAATCACCAGAAGAAACAAGGCATTCGGGTCTCTCCATGAGCCAAAAAAAGCGTGAGACCGAACACACGAAAGCAAAAAGAAGAGGAATAAAAGCAAACCAAAAACAAAAAGAACCTCAGAAATTTCCAAATCAAAAAGAGCAGAAAATCCTTCTCAGAGATCAAAGACATGCTTCCTGCTCAAACTAATTCGCAAACGGAGGACATTCTACAAACCTAACGCATCCGAGAAAGATACTCGTATCAAGAAGATAAACCAAAAACCCTAGACAACCAATTGCGCTTCGGGAATCACGAAAGAACACCGAGGAACACTTCCACATCACGAAAGAACCGCGCGAGTTCTCTTGGAAGAAATTCGATCCATGGAGGACCACCACTGCCGTACCACTCTCTTCCTCCTCGATCAACCACGCTGGAGATCCTTCCACCCACCCGCCTCCTCCTTCGCGACGTTACTGCATTCGCCGGTCGTTTTTATCGGTACTCTCTGAAAAACTCCAAGAACACTGAGAAGAAAAGAAAAGAAAAAACGAGCCTGATATATAGGAGCAGCCGCATCTGTTTCCGGACCCGTTTGACCGGTAAGGCCAATCCGAATAGCAGTAGAAGGGCCGGCCCCGGAGTACGAAAAATTAATTTGGACTATTTATGAAATATTACATTTTAATATTTTTCCAGCTGAGATCATTTGGGGGAATGACGTCAGCAGACCACTTGGGCTGCCCCGACGTACGAAAATTTTAATTTGGATTATTTATGAAAGATTACATTTTAATATATTTTCAGCTGAGATTTGATGACGGAAGCAGATCCGTTGGGCCCGGATGACGTCAGCTATATCTGAACCGCGGCGGCTTGATTCGGATAATGATTGCGGGCCGGGTCGGAGATTCGAGTGGACCGGGACCACCCAAAAACCGGTCCAGCTCACCCGCCACAAAACCGGCCCCCCCCCCTTTTTCTATACCAACCCCTCCGCCGCCGCCGCGCTTCCTCCTCCCCTTTTCTCTCTGTCTCTCTGTCTCTCTGTCTCTCTGTCTCTCTCTCTTTCTATCCGGCGACCGGAGGAGTGCTCCGCCGGCCGGAGCATCTTGCCTGGATCGCCGGGCACCATGGCAGCGGAGGAGCGATGAAACGGGGAATCGTGGGTGTGGCGGCTGGCGGGCTTGCGTGCTGTGCGCCGGTTTTGAGGTTCTTGGCATGGAGCAGATCGAGTCCGAGATCAGGAGGGTGCTGTTGGACCACCAGAAGATCTGTGCCAGTGTGAGGAGCGAGGAGGCCACCATAGATTCCCTGAGCAAGGAGATCGGGTTGATTGGGGATCGGGGATGTGAGTCGGAGTTGGGGGACTTGGGGCGGCAGCGAATGCACAATTTGCTGAGCTACCAGTCTACGCTGATTGCTAGGGCGGCTTCGAGGACTGAGCTTCTTCGGGTGCTGCATGATGATCTCCTGGTCCTTTTCCTGCGAAGGAAGGAGCTCCGGCAGTCAGGTCTGTCGTCTCGTTTTTTCTATTAATTTTGTTTGGTTTTATTCTGATTGTATATGTAAGTATATTTGTGTCAATTTTATGCATTGAATTTTTCTCAGCCATTCTCGCATTATCGGGTTGATGCGAATGTTTATATTTCGTGGCGGCTCTGTCGTGCATCACACTCTGGCATTTCTGCCCTCAATTTTGTGTTCGTCATGCCGGTCTCACATCATAAATTGATGGTTGGTAACTCTTTAGGAATTGGGTTTTGACATATCTTTTGAGGTCATCGCACTTGTCTGCTCGTGAAGCACGAACAAATTTTAGAGTGTTTTACACGGGGATGGTACATTCCGAGCATGTTGTAGTCATACGAGCCTAAATGTCCCGGCATTTAGATGGCAAAGTTTCTTTGGTTTAGGCTCCGCTCGGCTCCCCTCCCAGCAAGAACCTTGAATAATAATTTTAATTCTGGCAGAAATTTTAAACTGAAAAAAACCACACTTCTCTTACCATGGCCTAGTTAATAACCTCTGTAAGCATAAAACTCATCAGATGTCAGATGCCCCATCACACTGGCGAAGCAACCTGGCTTGCTTTGATGGAGTGCAGCCAGGAATGGAGTGAAGGAGGCCCGCGACTACTGTTTGCCTGGGCCGCCCTGGGAACCTGAGTCTGCCACAGGAAAGAGAGGCAGTAGTAGTTAGCATGTTGGCATGAAAAGGGAGGGGGTGGATGGGTGGAGAATAATTGTGCTAATGGGCTGCCTTTTAGGAACGATGCCATCTCGGGGAGAGTGAAGGAAAGAGAATGATTATCGGTCTTATTTAATGTTGGCTTTTGATGTAATTCTCACTGTGGATCAGTTGTTGACCTCTTTTAGTTAGTTTTAATTCGAGTCAAATTAATGGATGGTAGTAGAAGTGCTAACATCTAATGGTTAGGTTGGACTGGGTGGATTATATGTAAAATAAAAATAGTGGCTCTTTCAATTCAAATGAAAGGAGCTAAAATCAGGAAATCAATACGTGTGTTGGCTAAGAAACAACTCAGGCCAAAGCACTGCGTGGCTTTCTTTAATGGGGTATAGTGAATTGACGACGAAGTAGGAGGCTGGATCATGATGGGCAACCTGGAAGGCCTCCTACCCAGCTAGCATCTGCTAAGATGTGGCTTAGGCATGTACATCCTTCATTTATGTGCTTAAAGAAGGGTTTATGAGTAGTAAGCTTACTTTTATGATCATATCCCTTTCCCTTAGTCGTTCGTAACTTAAAAAACTTCTTTCGGGCGGGAGGGTTTGTAACACCTCCGCACTCTTTAGAGTGCTAACTATCTGATCACATGGTTGCACTACGGCATCACTTCTATGACAGAAGCGGGAACAGCCTGCGCAAATACCTTACTCTAAGTGCTTTGACCGAAAGGAATGCTGCAGGCTTGATTCTCTTTGATCGTGGTATTTTTCTTGTCACAAAGGAGAATGTAATTTCTCTTCAATAAGAGAAATATTGTGAGCTAGATTTCTGGAAATGATGGAGAATGTTAAATCGCAAGCATGATTTTTCTTTCATGCTGTCCACTTGGTTACAATTGGTGTTGACACAATGCAAAAAACTGCCTCAGCATTCTATTCTGAAAGGGATCGGGCTATGCTTAATATGTATTAAATGTATCAGATACAGGTGGCTACCGCTGTGATCTTTAAGGAACTCGTGAGAATGTGGCAGAGGAAATGACACCCAGTGGTGGACCGTATATTTTGTTTGACCATTCTTCATGTCACATTTTAGGCTTCTGGACAAAGGAACACTCGGACGTACAAAAGGCTTGTCTCCCTGAACTCGGTAAACTGGTTTTCAAGTTTCATTCACAGTAGGATAGTATTTCTTGATGTAAGTTCGTTGTTCGTCCCTTTGGGGAGATTGGGTTGATCTTTCTTGGGAGATCTGTGCCGCAGTTCTTACATATATTTTCCTTCCTTGAGAGCAGCCTTTGTGAGCTCTGTGTAGATATTTGAAGCTACATCTTTTATATTCTTGTATACATGTTCGTACGAGGGTATTGAATTTCAAAAAACTTTGGCATCACCCCTTAGATTCAGTGTGCTTTAGGCGTTTGTAGATATGCTTTAGGTTTTTCAAGATTCAGTATTTTTTATCCCGATTTTTCCTGGGTTGTTCTGGGTGGTTTCTAGTTTCAAATGGTAGATATTGAGCTGGGATGTCTGGGTCCCGAGCAAGATGATTTCAGGCGTGTCTTAAATGGTTTGTGGACTGCTAGGCATGCATTACAATTATAAATGCCTGATCGATACAAATATTTACGAGTCTCTAGTTCTCCATCTGGTAGTTTGAGTCTAGTTTTTCTTCACTTTGGCATCACCCCTTGGAAGTCACTCTTTTTTGTAGAAGTACTGATTTCGTGTGATATAATATTTTCAGCGAACTCTAACGAAAACAATACATGGAAGGAAGAATTATGATCAGTATTTCCCCCCTCGTTGAACAGTATTTCTGGCGAGTAAAGTAACACTTTAGCGTATTATTCTATGATTTTAAAAATATCTGGATAACTCATCGTTGGAGAATAATGGTGCTGCTTCCTTTTAAGATTATTTTTTTCCCCCTTATTTTCATGCTCTGTTCATTTTATTTTTTCCGAGGAAGGCTGTGGATCTCAACCCTTATTCATTTTACGATGGAATGTTGACCTGCAATTCGTGTGAGAACTGTCGATGCAACTAATTCATTTGTATTCTCTGCATTCATTTCGCTCACAGATGGCCTCTCTGGGCTTGGCATTGATGTAGTGCCTAATCTTTCTCCAAGCTCAGGATTGTCAATTGGTGATGAGAATAATGAAAGGAGGCTGAATGAGAGTGCAATGCCTGCTTTTGTGGACATCATGAGAATGAGTGATGGACAAACCTACTTGGAGGAAGTAACTACCGAGGATCTGCAACTCCCATTAGGACTCAAAATCATGCAAAACAATGTGAGTGATGATTTATGCTTGACATCAGAAGATAATGGTGAATATGGTGACTTTCAGTATGACAACAATATCCTGGATGACATTGCAATGAGTGTCCTTGATCCAGATTCAAATATCATGAGCATTTTTGGGGAAACAATGGAGAATCCTGATCTGCCGTCTGCTGAAATAGAAGGTAAATGGGATATAGATCTATTTTTTTTCAGGTATCTGCGCCTATGGTTATTTGTTATGCATCATTCATCATACGGTCACCACATTTGATATAATTATTATTCCTTTTTCTTCTTTTTTTCCTGTTTGTACAATCGCATTTGGTGCTCACTTGGACTTTTTATGTTTGTTGCTACAGGTTCTGGAGAAATATCCAAAAACATCGGTTCCCCAGCTTATCGTACTTTGGCCAGTCGATTGGCCGTGGATTTTGATGAATTTGGTAATCCTACTGGCCCAAATGCTGGGGCTTTCAAAAGATCAATCAACTCGTATGTCTGCCATTTTTTCCCGATAAGATTTAAGCAGATTGGTGATGTTCCAGTTGAGGATTACAAGGCTGTTCTGAATGTGTTAACAGTATGCACCTTCGTTTTGCTCTTGCGTCCCTTTTGGAATCTCAAAGTTTCTTATATCATTACTTACGCGTCGGCATCCTTATCCCTTGATTTCTGTTTAATGCCAAAGCCCTTTCTCCCTTCAGGAGAGATATAATTTTGATCCTAATACAAGCTATACAAGGAAGAAAATTTCATCTTGTTACAGACAGCATAAATACAAGCTCCTGGTTCAGGTGAAGAAAGACTTGGAGAGGGGCATTGAGCCACAGAAGCCATCCTACGTAAAGAAAGAGGACTGGGATGCTTTTGTGGTGAAGACTAAAGATGAGGAATTCGACGTGAGTTTCCTTCTACAGTACATTAATTTCACCTACGACTGTTTTGTGTGTGCATGGCCAAACATTGCGCGACTCTTAGACACATTTAGCATTTCAGAGGATCAGTAAGAAAAATAAAGCCAGCAGGAGTCATCAGGGTGCCCTCAGTAGGAATGGCTCGCCAACTTCTCTTCGCCGGAGAAAGCTAGTGAGTGTTGCTCGTACCCTTGAGGTCCAACCCGGACATCTTCTCTAGATAAGAAATGCTGCAGTTTTCCAACTTGTGGGCTCAATTTTTTCCATTCTTGGCAGAAATCAGATCATGAGCTGGTGGATGACTGCAGCTGGAGAAGGCTGCACAAACCTAAGCGAGGTCTGGTCCTTTTATCCTTACTTTACCGACTTGCGTTGATGGATGCTGCTTTTTCTGTTCATCGTTGACCTCAGAATATGCTCAATGATGCCCGCAACTTTCCCTTTTAATGTTAAACATACGTCTTTGCTTATATGCCTCATTTTTTGCCATCTTATATGGTAGAATCTTGGTCTCCCACTTTGATTCTGTCGAATGATTCATGCCAGGTTCTATATGCTGTTGCTTCCCAGGCTTCGGCCTTTTGTTCTTTCCAGGAATCCCATATGCTCTAATATGTTTCACATGGGCACTGAATATCTGCTTCGCGTGTGATCCTTCCATATCTCATGAATGTTGTTTTAGAGAGAGAAAGTGAAGAGCCATTTTTGTTTGGGTGAGTCCGTTTCCCAGGTGTAGGAGAGAGAGGGAACAGTGCCTCTGGGCAAACATTCGAGCAAAGATACGGACCACTCTATTAGGTACTTGATGCTGGGCCGGTCTGTGTTGCAGAACTGGAGGCCATTAGACTTTACCCACTTGAGCAGGGAGTTGAGTTGACTCTTCTCGGCTCTCTGACTTCCACAGCCTTCAGTTTTCATCCCCCAGTTTTTGGCTCTCTACGGGGTCAACGCAGGGTCAGTCAGCTGTGCAATGTTCTTGGGCCCATTTTCTTGAACCTGATGAAATGTTCTTCGGGTATCCCATTTTCTTGGGCCCATTTTCGATGATTTATCGGCTCTTATTAAATGCAGGTTTAGAAGGAACTGGCTTTCTTTCTTGAGTCTACTCATTGGTTCTTCTGTCTTTCTGTGCCCAGGTCGTTTGAGGAAGACTCTCCCACTGGTCAACGATCCTGATGATGTAAGTTCCCACTCCCGTTGAATTTTCTCGATCTGGTATCCACCAATCTTTTTATTATAATATTCTCTCGACCTCTGACCCGCTATATTTTTTTTTCTCAAAACTTATTTTCTTTAAAAAAAAAACAGGCCGTAGTCCGCGTGGACTCGTGCGTTGACGGAGAGGGTTGACCGGCGGACCCCACCAGAGGATCGGGAATTGCGGAGCTCGCCTCCCTCAGATAAATTTTTGCTCTGTATCTTGGTGTCGACTGGGCTATCTTTAGTGGGCCTGCTCGCCGTTGTTTGTCCACGAGAGCCATTTTTTTTTTCCCTCGGAGTTGCTGCGCTCTGCTTCGCTTCCCCCTCCAGCAGTGATTCGCCCTGGCCGCCGCCGGCCGTTGACTTGGTTCTCTTTGGCCTGTGGGGCCACGTATGCGACGACCGGCATATGCGAAGGTGGACCCGCGGGAGAGTTTATATCGCTGGACGAGGGAGAGAGAGAGAGAGAGAGAGAGAATTGATGAAGCCGAATGAACTGCAGACTGTCCATCACCTCTAGTATAAGGAAAGAACAGCTGACTGAACCACTTCCTTGAGAGGTGCTCCTGCGGCGGACAGTAGAACTCGGAAAGCACAAATAATCAGACTCTCACCGTACCAAACATTTCCCTTGAAATTTGGGGGTTCTCTTCTCACATGAGTGCAAGATACAGGACTAAACTGCAAAATCACTACCACCATCATCATCATCATCATCATCATCTTCATCGCCTCTAGTACAAGGAAAGGGGGCTGTAGATCGGATCACTTCCCTGAGAAGTGCTGCTGCGGCGCCGCCAGCCGCCAGAAAATGGGAGGCCTTTTGGGCGAGCTTCCCGGGCAACCCAAGTCTTAAGCCGTCTCAAAACCAAACACCCGAAATGTACCTGCAGAAAGAGGCGGTGGAGATCATCCTCAGTCAGGCTTCACTGACATGGTTGACCAGACAGCTCCCCAAGGGAGTGACTTTTAATGGCATATTTTCCTCATGACGGGAGTTTTCATAGACATGCCATAAAAAGAAAGTGAAAAGGAAGTACCTTCATCGGCCTGGTACTTGTTCTTGTCGTCTCCCGCGTAAGCCAGTAGATTGTACTTGGGATTCCATTCGACGCTGTTCATCGGAGCCTTGCAGGGAATTTGATGCACTGCTCGCCCGGTCTGGACGTCGGACTGGATCAGACAAAAAACACGAACCGGGTGATTGAGGGCCCGCGCCATCCACGAGGCGGACAGAAAAGCTCGCAAAAACAGTACGAGGCTTACAATGTCAACGTACGCGTCTTCACTAGCTGAAGCAATGTATTCGCCCGTGTTGTTGAAACTGATCGTCCTCACGGGCCACCTGCGATGTGCCACACGGAGATCAGAATCCATTGCCGTCTCGTATGAAGAGAGAGAATTGAGACGTACTGAAGATTTGTGAATGTTCGGAGGCACAGCATCTCGGAGATATCCCAGAGACTCACAAGAGAGTCGGCACTCCCAACAGCGAAGTACCTGCGGAAGTGAGGAGTTCAAAGACCCAGACCTTGAAAAGTCAGCGGAGTCGGCAGAAATGTCAGACAATGTGTAGTGGGTCGTCGCTTGCATCTATCTGCCTGGTTAAGGAGACTTTCCTCCCTAATGACTGTGGGCCTGAACTCTGGCAGCAAGTAGAAAGCGACCCAAGAATAGAAATGTGCCCACCTAAGAATCTGATGTCGTTTAGGAACACTCGCTTCAATGGACCAATTTGGCAATAATCGGCATTGATTTCCACGAAGCCAAACACTCCTTTTGACCTAAGACTGACTTCACAGAATTCTCAAATCCTTTCTCTGTACAATACATAGAATATCTTCTGTCCTAACATTCTTGCCACTTCATACATGATATTGATTCAAAGCAAGGAGGATTGGATGCTACTTGGATTCCGATTCGATAAAGAAGAAGATCGCAGTGAAAAAAAAAAGGAAGTGATCCAACGCACCTGCCAATGGGATCGATTGCAATGCAATAGCATCCGGCTGTATGGGCCATCAAGGTGTGGAGGACCTTCAGGGATGGGTAGCCCAACACTTCAACAGTACCTAAAAGAAGAAAAGAAAGATAAAGATCTTCTCATAGAAAGGTACAATATAATATATGACTCTTCAAAACCCCGACTTCTGCTATCTTCCGCTCATCCTGGTTGTTATATAGAGGATTACAATACGCACAAAATAATGGTTCTAACCATTTCCCGTTGTGAGAAAAAATAGCTCTCCTGTTGTGTTCCAAGCGATCTCATTAACCTGAATGTGGAAGAAAGTGTTGATATCAGCGGCAGAAACCATAATTACTAGAATGTGGTTAAAGAAAAACTAAGATGGATGAAAATATTAATGAGCATCATTCAGAAAACGCAAAGATGGCACCAATCGTCTAGGGAATGTAAGAAAACCAACAAGAAAAGAATGTCTATAGCCGCCTACGGAATGCTCAGATGTAATCTCAATCTCACAATCGAAGAGACATCACTTACCAAAATAATAGTTATGAAACAGCTAAAACACTCAAGTGAGGATCTCCAAATATTAAATTTCATATAACATAGGAATGATTGGAACCCAAATTAAGCAGAAAAACCTGCCTTACAACTGTCTAAAGAAATAAGCATCCGCTGCCAGAGGATTTGCATCATGAAGAAGAATACTAGTGGTTTTTATTGTTAGAATATGGATGAAAAATAAAGTGATACACTGCCAAAGGATGAAAACAATAAAGGTGAGAGAAAATAAACAAACCTATTGAAGAAGTTAAAATTACTTCAAAAATTAAGAAAATTCATATTTTTCAACCCACCTCATAATTAAATTTCCGCCTGTGAATTGGTTTAAACTTGCGAACGTCCAATATTGTTAATTCGTCCTCCTGAAAAATAAAATGTACCACAAATTGGTCAACATTTTATGGAAAAAACCAAGAGAATTTTCTTCATAACCAATAAATGGCACGTACAAAGATACTGATTGGATAATAGGCGAGCGTTGTCTCAGTCATCTTAATCATTTTCCACTTGTCTAAAACTAAATTCACAAAATCCTACATTCAGGCTAACACATGGAAAAACGAGATATTGAGAAGACTGGATTTTATCCACGAAAATCCCCATTTTGTGGACTCATAGCTAACAAAAATAACAATCTTGAACTAGAGAAGGGATAGGAAGAGAGGAGGTGTGAGGGATGGTTAGCGGGACCTTCTCGAAATGGAAGAAGACTCAGACATCTGATTCGAAAGTACAGCTAAATACAATTTGAAAATGAAGAGGAAAAGTTACCATCATACTAGGAAATACCTTGTTTCCAACAGCTATATGGGTCCCATCAGGTTTGTATGTGATATTGATGTTTTCACCGCTAAGCTCTGCCTGCTGGGAGCATTTTCCACCTGCGCATGAGAGTAATACTGAGCATATAGAGCTGCCAATAAATTATAGTCGACTTTATGTCAATACAAAATAAGATGCTTTATTTTCTGAATCTAATTACAACACGAAACCAATTTTAAATGATTTTAACTATTACTTGATTCTCAACGTTGGATTACTTCATCAATGACCCATGGAAAAAGAAATCGTAATTTCTCTGTACATATTAGTATTTAAACAAACATAATCTTTTCTCTCCCGAAAAGTTAATTTCATATTATATATAGAAGCAGTGCACCTGAAGTTCATAAATCTGCAGTAGGAGATGACAAAATATAAGATCTTAGAGTTGCTATGGTGTAGGCAGGGATACGTGTAACGCTAGAAATGATGGCAGAACAGTATTACAAGGATAAATGTCCGTTTAAGATTATGTGATGCCAGGGCATTCGTGACACTAAAATGTAATTTATGGATTATCAATGTAGAACTTGAACTCCCCAAAACAATTGACTGGTGATAGTCACATCCGTGTTTACAACACTGTTTGTAGTGTTTACAACACTGTTTGTAGGGTTACAACCGTGTTTACAAAGAAATTGTTTAATGCGGATAGTCACATCATTCAATAACCCTTTGTAGTGGCGGGCCTGCAGCATGGTTTAACGTCATTGACTAATGTGTCACTTACTTCGAGCATCCCACAGACGAACAGTTTTATCTCCAGCTGCAGTCGCCACTAGCTCAGAATGCTTAGGATCCCAACAAAGTTGATCAACACTATCTGTGTGTCCCTTCAATTCAATATCTTTAACTTTTCCCTGCATTTCGAAGATAAGCAACACGAATAAAACTTTACCCATCAGCCTATCAAGCTATATATGGTGTCTATATATTTACTCTGAACGGTAAGATATGTAAATTATCATTCTCTAGCAGTAGTACAGGTAATTATTGAATAAGTTTTCCTCTTTTTCTGATTATTCTGTTAAATTTGTTTAGCTAAGGTTAGATATGTTACTTATTTACTGCTCTCAGAATGTACAGCACTCCAATTCCGAATCTTCTCTTCAATTGTTTAAAGTGACAACACTAGCATCAAACCATAAATAAGATAAGGGAAGCCGAAAACTGGATTAAAAATATGAACCCCTAACATATCCACACTCAAAATGAAAAAGTATGCACAGTAAAAATCTAAAGTTTAAGAATTGGACGTTGCCTATTTGCTTTCACTGGTTCATAATCCATGTAAACTGGCATTTGTACAGTCTTCCAGAGGCTACATATAGCCTGTGAAAGATACAAGTTCTGTATACATGATTACCTGTATCTTAAGCATCAAGAAAGAAGAAAGCTTCGAGAAACCCACACGCACAAGGTGTTCATTCATCTAATAAATAAATAGATAAATAAATAATAATAACTGTGACGTCAATGAGGATGAAAGACACATCCCAACTCCACACTTCATCACCATTCCTAAAGCTAACATCAAGATTTCATTCGAGTTCAACGGTAGACCAACTATCCTCCGTGTTCATGACCAAAAATCTTCATTAAAATCTCAAGAGCATCTAATGAATTCGATTGCCAGTAATAGATGCGCAGTAGACAACCCGTATGGTACTCCATCACCATTAAGCCAGAGTATCATGTGGTGAAGGGCTACAGTAGACTGCAGTCACCATGGTGAAGCTTGGGCCGACAATTATATCTTGAATCCGTCTAAACCCATATCTGATTTTATAAATTTTCAATTCAATTTTTTTTTCCAGGAGGGGGGCAAAAAACAAGAGAGCTCATAATCCTGACAGCCTTCTCGAGAAACGATCTATAGTGCCTCTTGACCGAAGGCAACTCAATTATCATACATTTCAGTAACACAGACAGTCACATGGGGTCATCATATCAGACCTCAGCAAAGCACTGGCAACAACATTGTGACATTTCCACAACCCATCTATTATCATCCAAGTTCACGAGCACAATCTAGGGAAAAATTGGACAAAAATCGACTGGGCATGAGCTTGTCCACTCAATTGGCTCATCTATCTCACAACGGTACATACACTAACAACCATTCCACCGGACTAATTCAGACCGTGTATCTCTTTCATCTGCAGTTACTTAACATTCAATGAATGAATGAGAATGAGGATTCATTTGATCTCGTGATATCAATCCAATCTGGCTCATTCATGAGAAAAAATTGACTTGACTCGCGCAATGCACTGCTTTTGAATAGGATAAGATAATGAATGAGTTGTACTCATATTTAAAAAATGCATAATCGGGTAAATAATTACTTGAATGCGTAAAATCTCAGATATAAGTGTTAATCGGGTAACAGAGCCATAGAAATCCGCATATCAGAAAATATGCCACCTGACTGACGCGTGGGTTCAATCAGATTTCCATGGCAAAACCTAAAAAGACTATGCTTATTCGAGGAATGCAACCTTTGTCAGACCCTCGTTAAGAAAGTGGAAATAAATTATAATTTTATAACCAAGAGCCCAGCCAAGTGTACAGAAAATGCCTTTCACACAAACAAGAAGGTGCAAATTACTCCCCAGGGTCATTATAGTTCTCAAATGAGGGATGGTATATCATTCAAGACGCCAGAGGACAGCTCTGAGTCTGCAAAATGTTTCCGCAAACTGGAGGGAGGTAATATTGTATGTGGCATACAACGGAGATTTCCAAGCCATCTACAATTGAATCCATGCACGCATATTCAGACCTCTGTTTCTCCAAGCTGGTCATTACAACTCTGTTGACCACAAGAAAAAATCCAAGAGCTACTAAAGATCTTAATCCAGATTTCATACGGCTTGAGTAATCTCCAAGGAAACGTCTGCCAACTGACGACTACAGTCAACGGTTCTCGTAGCGATGCTTCCTTCTCAAGCGAGGCTACATTATATATCACATTTATCTCGAGAAGAAACTGCAATGAATAAAAAAAACTATGTAATTCTTCCAATATCTGAAGCTTTCTTAACATCACGTGACGACCTAGGTACTGAACGCTCGTCT